TTACCGATTTTGTCGCACAAATTGAGTCGTCATTTTTCTGTGTACCTATCTCGTACTGTGACGTCACGCCATCTCATGTCATGTCATCGTATCGGTAATTATTTTTATACTACATTTTAGTTTTCCGGAGCTAGATATTTTTTTACAATTATATAATATAACGATGTAAGCTATTGTATATAAAAAAATCCCGCATATTCCCTATTGTAACTAGGTAGGTATTCCCTAAATAAATTTAAAAAACGATATATGTATAAATTCGATTGATATGTTAGATACTTTAGTGATGCTACAATCTCAATGGTCATAAAATGAATAAATATAAATAAATTAAACATTAGTTTATACAAACATTTATTGCATATTCATGAATACAATAATTAATCTTGTTTTATTTACTCAATGGAACAACAATTAATATCTAACATTATTATTTATGTGGTTACACTAAGGAAAATTAATAAAATAATGATGTCACTGGAGTACTAATAAAGTATAGAAATATTTTATTCATCGTTGTAAATTATATCCTCATACATAAATTAATGCAATATTAAATCTTAAGTATTACTCCGTCTAGTTGTTGCACTTTGCTTAATCGTTACAAAGACTGTAATGGCTCGTTTTCTGAGAACGGATATGGATAATTTTTTCCCCAAAACGTTTTACTTAGTGGACGGAAAATGTCAAAAGTATTCCGCAGGGCGTACCAGTTTTTTAAGAAAATACCTTTAGCACACAAAAACTTCATAAAGAGTGTCTTTATTAATATAGAAAGATCAACATGACATTTTTTAATCTAACTTCGCTGACTCAAACGTGGAGATTTCAGCAAATGAATTATAAGAACAAAAGGTTAAGTGTATATCATGAAAGTGTTCTACTTTTTTCTTTTTTATTATAAAAATACACTGAACATTTCAATTTCAAACCTTTGATTGATGAAGGACGAAAGGATTGGACATAAGATACAAATAGATTAAATATACATGCTTTATGAGGAAAAGGAAGTGAGCAAGAAGAATTCCTCGAGAGTAAAGCATATTGTACTAATATATATTATGGTACTGTCTCAGTAATCTACTGGCTAGTGTGTACGGATGCGGGATTCAATTCTCGGGTCGGGTTTAAATAGTTGCCTACTGGATTTTTCTGTTACAAAATACCATGTAACAAGTAATAACCCCTACTTAAGCTTTCCGCCTTATCTCTCATCGGTCGTTTCGTGTGTTCGTCCTATCAGAATGTGAGAGTTAAAGGAATAAAGAGTGCATTTGTGTAGGCGCACACACTTGCAATAGGTCCCGTGCAGTAGTCTGCCATGTGATATGCCACAGTAACCGAAATCCGTTAAGAGGAAATTATTATTATTACAGTACGATGATTTTGAAATTGAATCATATTAATAGTTTGTGGTTGTGCAATTAAAAGGCCGATCCCTTTTGGCACTTTGTCAATTTTTTTCTTATCCCATGAATGATTTAGTAGCGTTTACCGTATTTGCTTATAAAAGTTACTTAACTGAACATTTATCTTTTTTTTGTACTTATTTACCTTGCCCAAAGATTACCATAATATGTATGTATATTGTTATCGTACAATGCTCAATACACATTTCTATTAAAATTCATATTTAAATTAATGTTTAAACCTCGTTTAATAGTCCATATGAAATAGTCATTGGTTAGGAATATTACGAATATGGAGTGGACATTATATTTCATATAACGAGTGACTGTCAGCATATGCCTGGTCAATTAGCATGAATTAACGCTGGATAGGCTATGCCGTAGCGATAAATTGCCCTATTGAATAGATAAGAACGAAGATAACGTATAAACACGATTGGTTTAAAGCTAATTGATTGTAATAGTTCGCTATAAGTACGCGCCAATATTGAATAATAAAGTTGGAGAATACTAAAGTATAATACAAGGGTTCTCAAACTTTTTCTGCTGCTTGAGTTTATTCGCCTTATAAAACCGTTTTATATGTTACAATAATAATAATCTATAATAAACTATGTTAATGAATTAATAAAAAAAAAATTATATAATAATTGGTCATACGCCATTGATAAAAATTGGTAATTAAGAGGATTGTGAAGTGCCGATACGCGGCGAGAGTAGGTATTTTTAAAAATGCTATCTGTTTCATACCGCTTTGCATCCCCCCGGCAGTGAACAACACAAATACAACATACGCAAATTCTCACACACACTATGATAGCAGCAGCCGATGACGCGCGGGCGCTCGCGGGGGGCGGGGGCGGCGCGACTCGGCGCAAGAGCAATTTCAAAGTTTATCTAATATCTACGGTTTGCGTACAATATACATTCCCTACAAGTTACATCGCACCTTTATTCATAAACTGAAATAACTCTAAATTACAATTTTGTGGCGAATATCATTTAAAATTTGACTTGTTTAGATTGATGACTTCAAAAAATCATAGAAAAATAAATAGGTGATTTAGATCAATTACAAAAAGCTCGTTCCAAAAGTTGAAAGTTTTAGAATTTTTTGTTGTTTATGTACTAATAGACCCATCGGAATCCTTTTATTTTTAAAATAATTTATTTATTGCAAACATGAAGTTTTATGATTTTAAAATGTTAGCAGGTATATAAGGAATAGAAATTCATAAAATGACCTGATCATGAATGATGATGATTTACGATTTTTTAACAAATCTATGACTAAATTTTATAAAATATATCAACTTAATTTTTTAAAATATATTTTTAACTAATGAATAAACAAGATTAGATTACGAATGAATTTCATTTCTTTTTGTAATTGTCCTAAAATCATTTTTTTCAGAAAAATCAATAAAATTAACTGCAAAAACTAATAAAATATCGATAAATTCGAAAAAATTATAACGAATAGTATGTGTATATTTATAAATATACATATGATATTCGTAATATTTTTTTAAAATTATAACGAATATTATAAATTATAACGAATATAAAATTAAAAATATAAATTTTACAAAAATAAAAGTATTTTTATTGCTCCTTCTAAACGGTAGTAGTCCAGCAATTAGCAAAAGAAAGCGCGTGACCGGTGGAGGGCGAGGGGTGGAGGGGTGTAGGAAGACCCTTACTCATTTAAACTTATACAAACAAATATCTCGAAAACTTTGAGGTTATCGTAGAAAGTGTTATTTATCAAAGTTGTAGATTTTTACTAGACCTTTTACATTTGTAGAAAATATTTTTCGATAGAACGTCACAGTGAGCCGGAAATTGAAAAAAACTATTTTTCAACGCTTTGCGTCCTCCCATTTCTCGAGTGTAGCTGGACAGATGGGGCATTTTACGAATTTCTAATCCTTATATACCTGCTAACATTTGAAAATTATAAAACTTCAGGTTTTCAATATATTGTTGTCAGATTCCGATTGGACTATAATACTAGTATACATACCAAATTTTAGCTTTCTAGGACTTCAGGAAGTACCCTAAGAGTTTTGATGATCATCAGTGAGTCAGTGACGAAATCGGAGTTTTTTAGATATCAATAAAATCTAATGTAAAAGAGCTATGCAATTGAAACTTTTTATGTTTAGCTAGCATTGCCCGCGGCTCCGCCCGCGTTCATATGACCAAAAACAAATTCGTAGGTTTTACATATTAGTATATTCGTACATTGCAGTTTTGTATTTTTTCTCAGAAATGAGATATTTTCCCGCAGTAATCCTATATGTTGATCCGGATACCACCACCAGCTACCACCATACCAAATTTCATCAAAATCTCTCCAGTGGTTTTTCTGTGACGTGGTAACAGACAGACAGACATACAGACAGACAGACAAAAATTCAAAAAACTATAGATTCGGCCTCTGTATCGATAATAATGTTTATTTCAATAATATTTTCCAAAAAATATTTAATGTACAGATACGGCTTAGTTACAATCTATACATACGAGTATAATAAAATTCTAAACTTTGGATTGAATCCTTTCAGTATCGATCGATATATCGATATTACCTTCTCCTCCCTAGGAGATAATAATATCGATAGCACCTTCAACATCACTACAGTCTAAAATATGCCCCTGCCCCCGACCCGTATGGTGCGATAGAGAGAGTTGCAAGTCTTAGACTCAATTACCTACATTTCCTTTTTGAAATATTGTTTCGGGCGATAACGTTTTCACCCCCCTAAACATTAACGAAATGAGACGATTTTGGTCTCATTAGATTTAGTACACCTTAATCTAGGTCTGTACGTTTTCCTTTTTTTGTAATTCAGTTTAGTTTAATTTAAAAAAATAAAAACGCTGGAGGAAGTTTTTAGGTCAAAAATATAGATATTTAGATGCTAATAACTTCTGTCGTACGCAATATTTCAAAAAAATAAAAACGTACGGACCTAGATTTTGATTATATCTACAACATTTCCAAAAATTATGAAAATTAGACTATGTTTAAGGGGGGAAAAACGTTATCGCTTTTTGTATGAAAATTTACAGGTTCACAATCCTCTTAATTGACAGATACCTTGTTCTTTTAGTAAGGGCAATCTAGCAATTTTTCTCGCTAATTTCTGCCAATTCAAGTGTTAATTGAGATTATTTTATAACTTTTATAGACATAAAACAAATATTGTTACTTGTTTTTATAAGTAAAAATATTTGTTTTCGGAAGCTATAATAATGGAATGTATAGTGCCATTTTCAAAATTTCTTTCTCGCTTATGGGTCGGTTGTATCGTTGGAAAAGTTACTTTATTTTTAACCCCTGACGCAAAAACGACGGGGTGTTATAAGTTTGACTTATCTGTGTGTGTGTCTGTGATGGACGTTTGTTTTTTTGTTTGAAAAGTGAATTAGTCGAGAGTGTTTTTAGAGCTATGTTTGATGAAAATCGATCCTAGATGGTTGGGGCTTCTTTATATTTTTAATTTATAAATGTTTTAGTAACGTCTCAATGAAGCTGTACGAATTTGAACGATTTTATTAACTCTTGTATTTCTTTGCTTACAGGATACTACCAGCCGGCGGGGCCTCTCATAAAAGAAAGCAGCGCAGACGCCGAGCGAGCGCTTGCGAGATATCACCCCCCACCGCATTATCATGCTCCGCATCCACCTGTAAGTAATTAAAAAGTTGCTTTTGTCGTAAATAATATTAATAATTATAATAATATCTTACATATATGGGATGATTACATAACTTTAAGGGATAACTTTATGAGTTTCTTTTTCTTACTCGTGCTTAAGTTATGATGTTGTTAACGTAATATTATAAGTATCAAATACATAATTCCGTAGTGACTTTTATTATACGAGATTTTAAATTATATACGTTTTGTACCTAGAATAATTGACTATGTAATTCAGTAAATACTAAATATGATAAATATCTACAGCATCCTAAACAACACATTATAAAACACAAAGAAACAAAATCCATCAAAAATACCTAAAATTGTACTATAATATGAATATTTGTAATTTGCATGAATAAAAGACCTTGAAGAAACTTATTCGTAGTTAAGACATGCCTCATGTCGAAATAACGCAATATTAAAATATGAGATATACATATATGAATTACTGTAGAACCATTTACCAAAACATATGAGTTTAGTTTTAAAAATATCCCTAATTAGGCAATTTTAATAATACTTATCTATACTTAGGTACTGCCGCAGTACGGGCCACCGTATTATCAAGCGGAACTTTGCTACGGCCGGTATTATAGGCCGCCAGGACCGTACCACATGGGGCCCCCACAACCTGATGCACAAGTAATTAAATATATATACTAATTAAATAACTTTTAGATTTTAACTTGGGCATTAATATTTTTTCACCATTCTGTATATACTTGGGCCTGCATATACTAAGTATTTACGTATATAGCGACTGTTATTAACTAAATAAAGTTGTAGGTACATAAACAACATCAAACTTATAGTAAAATATAAAAATCCAAAAAGTTTTTTTATACATACCTACTTATTTTCAAATCTTGTCAAATTCAAATCTTTCAAATTTGTGTACATTATGTATATAAAGAAATTATATTTTTTGCAGATGGTGACTATGCCGAGTGAAGCGTATCCTCCACCACAGTATTACGGAACGCCACCATGCTATCAACATTCGCCTCAAAGGATACCATACGTTGGTTAGTATTTAATGGATTATTTTAGTTAAATTTATAATAAACCAAAAAATTAAATTAGTCAATTAAGAAATGTCGAATATAAAATATTTAAATGAGAATAGAATTAGTTACGAAGTTTCTCATTATTTTTTCTTACATGTTTTCTTTTCCATCCAAACTTCTACTTTCCTTTAATGTTTCCTTTAATACTTGAAATATAAATAAATAAGAAAACATCTGTCATAGAATACCGCGGATGCCCGTGCCCATTGAACGCGTGTCCAAAAAACGTCCATATTGGGCCCGCTACTGGTAAAGCCCCAGCCGGTGGCGGCCCGGACGTCCCTCCAGCCCTCGCGCCGCCCGGGGGCGCCTTCAGACCGAAGGTGCGGGCGTGTGCGCTGGACTCTGCCGCCGATACACACGGCAGCGGCAAGGTAAGAACATCTCCTTGTGGTACACCTATAAAATGGTTTATATACCGACTAGCGACTCACCTACGCTTCGCTCGGGTTCGTCCCTAGCTTGCTTCCCGATACAAACTTTCATCTCCATTTTCACCCCCTTAAGAGGTGATTTCCGGGATAAAAAGTATCCTATGTCCTTTCCAGGGTCTCAAACTATCTTGTTACCAAATTTTATCTAAATCGGTTTAGCAAATCCAAAGATTAGCTCCTACAACATCACAATCTCACAAACTCACAAACTAACTACATACCTCTTTATATTATTAGTATAGATAATGTGGATAAGTCGATGATACTAATGTAAGGAAAGCAATTTACTAAATGATGGTTTCAAGTATCAATGCTGTAGTCCTTTATTTTTAAAGTAGTGGAGAAAAATATGTATATTTACGATATAAAAATCAAACCAACAATGTCCAGAGCATATAGGGAACGAAGCAATCGAATCATTTTACTTTACTAATGTACAATTTCTTGACACATTCTGACATGATTTATTTGAATGAAATATTATTACAGTAAAAAGGTTGCTAAAATGTTAAATATTTCTTATAAATATAACTTATTACAGGATCCACCACTAGAACCAGAACCACCAGAGCCACCAACAGCAGCAGACGCACCTCATCCTTGTCCACTGCCCACTATAGGTGGAGCGTCACCAAAACGTGAAATGTTCGATGTGAGAGACAACATTCGTATGAACGCTGACATCCCCGGACCTGAAGCCGTAGGCCCTCCTTCACCAGCCAGAGGGGCTTATGCCCCACAACCGCCCCCGAGACGAGCGAGGCTAGGAAAAGCCATGGCAAGGCGATCACTAGCAGGCGACGACACTGGTTTACTCATATCACCGCAACAACCTACGACGAATAGTGAAGCAGATGATGATGTTCTAGCTATATCGCCACCTATATGCGCTCCAATTGATCTCTCATCATCAGATGAAAGGTCTACACCATTGGTTGATGTTAAGAAAGAAAATGAAGGTCCCACGTATGCAACGTCGAGAAAAACAGACACGCAAGCTTTAAGAGAACATAATTGTACAACAGCGTTAACGGAAGCGGTAGACGCGACAGAGTCAGCGAAAGCCGTTAAGCGAAGATATTCGAAGCCCAAATTAGAAATTGAAATGAAGGACGTTCAGCTCGAAGATGCTTGTAAAACAAACGGAATCGGGGAACACGTGAAATTACAAAAACGAAGAAAAGTTTCAGGAGACCAAACACAAGTTCCGCGAACAGAAACGGTTACAAAAGAACCCAAAAAGAAAACTCATAGTAATAAGAAAACACCGAAAACGTCACCTGGTGATAAAAAAGCACATAAGCGAAAATCTGACACTGCTCTTAATGAACCCAAAGTAAAGAAAGCGTTAGTTGAGCCAGCTAATAATGAAGATCCACGTCATTTCAATGTTGCGGCAGTGTCTGACGAACCCCTTTCCATAAAACCAAAAACTAAAAGTGCACTGTTACTAGACAATCTTTTAAAGAAAAACAGTATTGACAGGCCTGATGCTAAAGGATATATTTCAGATACTAAATTAAATCCAGCCGAATTATTCCTGTCCCCAAATGAAAATATTTCACAAAACAATACTAAGAAAACATTAAATATAAATAATAATATTGTAGAAAATAATGTTCCTGTCAACGGTGTGAGACCAAACACTATAGCAGCGGTGAGCCAACTAATAGGAAAGAAACTAGCTTATAAGAATGCTTGTAAAGTAGACAAGGTAGACTCGAAGGTCACACACAATTTAAAGTCAGTATTATCATCGCCCACCGAATCCTTAAATATTAAAGAGGATCCTAATCCTGTAGCGCTGCTAAAGAGTGTTACAAATAATGAAAAATCTAATACATTTTTTGTTGAAAAGGACAGAAAGAAAGCCAACGTTGAAGAGAAATGTGAAATAAAAGACGCTAAAATGTGCAATTTATTAGAAAATAATATGACAGACGATGTCATGAAACCAGTAAAAACATTAAAATGTGGAAAGATTATAGCTCAAGAGAGTACTTTAGAATCAGATGTTGAGAGACTAAAGAACGACACTATAAATGAATCTCATGAGAAAATAGAGAAAAACTTAGACTCTGAAGAGAGTAAAATACTATATAATGCATCAACGGGTGAAAAAACTACTGATAACACTTTGGAAAAACCATTATCCAAAAGATGTAAAGGTAGCACGGAAAAATTAAATGGGGAATTTAAAAGCAAAAATGTCGAAAAACTAGTTAGGTTACTGGCATCGAAAAAACAGGCCGGCACACCAGAACCTGAAGTTATTGAAAAGGATACTGAGAAGAAAGACATGGATGATAAAGATAACGAAAGGGATAAAGGGACGACAAAGCGGTGCAAATTGACAAGTGAAAAGACGAACGGAGAAAAGAGCAAAGTTGAAAAAGTTGTTAAATTGCTTGTTTCTAAAAAAACGGTCATAAAAGCGGACGAGGCATCACTAGTCGTCGAGGATGCGTGCTCGTCACCTGTGCCCAGTGTGAGGAAAACTAAGAGAAGACGAAGTGGTGGAAGACGAATGAGACGAATACCAGTTCCTCTAGCACCTCCCGATGTGAACCTGAAGGCACCGCCCCGATGGAGCAATGGATGGACATGGGATGGCGAACACTATCTTTCTAAAGTCTACCTCAATGTAAGTAATTTTTTGTTATCACTCAAATTTACGAATCCCAGGAAAATATTCTTTATTAAATGTGTGTGAAATCTGGCGATTGAACACATTTTACTCTTCTTCTTCCAAACGATGTGTTCTATAATTGTATTAATATTATGATGTCATGTAAAGAAGTTTGGATAGCTGTGTCGTTTATATCTTTAACTTTTTTATATATACTTTCCGTTATGGCATGGCAGGCAAGTGGACCCCATGGCATTACTTCCGTTTTCCTCCATTTTCGTGTGCATAAACAGATATTGAAAACTTAATTATTTTCCAGAACGACTCCCGATTAGACCGCACGGCGCGATGCTGGCCGCGCATGACACACGCGAGTGGTGACCGCGTAGCGCGCGGCGACTGTGTCCTACTGCGCGCCTCCCAGGCTCGCGCTCAGCCCTTTGTTGCGAGGATAGCAAGTCTGTGGGAAAACCCTGATGATGGTAAGTTAAGCTATTTTTGATTTATTTTAAGTTTAGGTATTTTTAAAGACACTTGTTTCATATTCTTTATCTCCGGGACTAATATGTGACTCGGTCGTTACTATCATTTCACAAATTACAAATTCGTGTGTTTCAAATTACACCGTTAACGAGTTCTATTGCTTATCTCATAGTTATAGTACACAACTTGAACCCCACAAGTTAAAAACTGTTTAATATTCTTATAATACTTTTATAGATTTCTAAAACTATCCTTTCAATATTTTCCCTTTATTTATTAAAACAAAACTTAAATAAATCCGCGAAAAAACATTTAATATTCTTTTTAGCAGATTTCTTCGTCTAAAGATCGAAAATAATGTGTAAATATTGCAGGAGAGATGATGGTGTCACTAGTGTGGTATTATCGGCCGGAGCACACGGAGCTCGGGCGGCAGGCGTCAGACGCGCCGGACGAAGTGTTCGCGTCCAGACACAGGGACGCCAACTCTGTGGCCTGCATCGAGGATAAGTGTTACGTGCTCACGTTTAATGAATATTGTCGGTGAGTGTGCTAGCGTTACTTGATTTGATACTATTAGTCCCAAATTTTTACCTTAAGATATAAGAAGTGAAGTCAAAGAATAGTAAAAGTACTTTAATAAAAAACGTGCGTGTGAGTGCAATTCACACATGGTAGAAGATTTTCATAATACTTATACTTCAGAAAAGTAACCTACTAGAGAATAGGATGAATATATAATATCAGGAGTAGGAGTAAGGTTTTTTTTAATAATATTTTTACCAACTTTAAAAGTTATTTTACATTTTGTTTGACATAAATATACAATAACAACGGTTACCGTAGCAAAATGGCAACGTATTCTCTTATTCTCTCGCCGGCTTAATCCTCGCCGGCTTAATCCTATATATTTATGTGTTTGTCTCTTTTTAGTATTGTGTTTCAAATCACAACGATTCTAAAGCAGTTAAACTTCAAAAATTACTTAACAGTTTTGTTATCCTTTTGGCTTTTATCTAGTTCTGCTTAGCTATCAAGATATTTTCCTAAAATAATTTTCCATACAAACTCAGTTAACAAACGTGGTGTATGTTGTATAACTGATTTTTTTTTCCAAACAAACAAATTCAGTTATACAAAATACACCACTATACATTATAGAGATGTTGCGTGTGATTAATATATTATAATGACAAGCACATTATCTGTTTTGTATGTCAACAAAACCTCAAAACCTTAATTTGATGAAACAATCCAAGCTATAACTCTTTGTTACAGGTACAAAAAGCGACTAAAAGCAGCAGAAGAGGGCATCACAATAGCGCCTTCAATAGTGCCGCCTCTACCCGCTAGCGAAGTGACTCCGGCCCTAGCGCCCAATGACACGAAACTACCGCCTTCTGTATCACCAGAACTAGTCTTGTTCTGTCGGAAAATATACGATTTTAGATCCAAAAAAATACAAGTTCCAAACAAATGAGCGAACAACCAAATTATTTGTATATTGGATATCGATTTATAGATTCGGGCGGACCGCCATCGCCGGGATGTGTGAACACCAAAGCTTGGAGATAAGTCTGGTCTTTGCAAGGAACTGATACTTTATCGTAGTCAACCCTTATATTAGTACAAAGCCCGATTCCAGTAGATTGTGTGTGGCCATTTCCTTTGAATTCGCCGATCGGACGTTATTTTGCTTGTATTGTACCGTAGATTTTCTTGTATATTCAATTGATTTGCGTATTATCATGATGAAGTTTTTGACAATGGATGCCTTTTTATAAAGTATAAGTAGTTGTAAGGATGCATAATTGTGAATAGCGATATGTTTATTTTTGCTTCGGGATTGATGAGTCGCGTTCTCACTGCTGTAGTGTATGAGTGTTAGCTGACTTCGACTGTATTTACGAACGTCCCTTAAATATTTATATATATATATAATGTTTCGAAGAGAATTGGCTAAGAGAAATTTTGCGCATTATTGCCATGAAGAAATTTATTAGTATTGAGACATTTTGTGATTATTTAGCAAAATTGTCTTTTTTGTGTTTTTACAAAGAGAAATTAAAAGACCTTAAAATTTAAATATTCGTATGTAGCAATCGGCCAATCACAAATTTAATGTTAATTAAAGGGACGTTTATAAATATGGAGTATTTTTCTCGGTCTAGTGTGACTGTGTCTGGGGTGTTTCGGTCTAACATTAAGTTTTGTTTGGCTAAACGGAAAAGGCATTTATACGATTAAAATTAATTTTAATTTACTGTTACATTGTTATCTACGTAGAGTCTATAATAAATTATTATTTTAATACATTAAATACAATGCAAGTAAGCTGTTTTATAGTGAATGATTTTGTAAAACGCTTTCTTATTTTATACACACATTTAATAAGAGATTTAAGGTATCACCTCTAAAAGAACCTACTAAAATGTATCCGGTAACCATTTCTCAAAATATAGAATAAAAAATTAAAAAAAATACATAGCCAATATACCATTTGTAATAAGCAAAAAAAAAGTTTTTGTTTATTTACCCATCCTAATTTAGACGGCAAATAGTTTTTATACCAGTTTTATTCATCACAACTATATTATACTTTATTATAACATTATTTTCCTATTACTCTATTAAGTTATTGATCTTTGTCATTTAATTTTATGACAATATTTTATTTTATTCAGCGTGTAGTAGAATTGGTCTAATTTTTTTTCTTAGGTACAGATTCCGTTAAAGGCTGCTTTCCAAATAATTTATTTCAATTCAACATTGTCTATAAAGACTGATTTTGCAAAAGCAAAGCACACTTTTACAGCAAAACAATCTTTAAAAAAGAACCATTGATACCATTTTTTTCACGTGAAGTGTCAAAATTTTACACTTATAAAATAACAAGTGGGAACATTGTAACATATTTTAAATGTAATATTAGTGCATAGATGTAAACAAAAGTGTGTCGGACGGAAAGAGATATATTGTACGATTATTATAGCGAAATCTCTTATCATTAGAGTTTATGTGTGAACCAACGCAAGACATGTTTTAGTTTAAAGCCATTTTTTTTTGTATTATGATGAAAATTTGATAAAATTGCTTTGTATTTGTGTGTATTGAGGTCCATATTTCCGTAGCGCGAGACAGTATACATATATTTAGCACTATTGTTCCCGAATGGGACGATTGTGTGCAGGGCATTTACACGTATGCAGCTCGTGCATACTTGCTTTCTTCTATTTCTTACAATGTATCTCATTATTTCCGTTGTTGGCTGTCTTTCAATAAATTATTTAATAATTTGTTGTACATATTTCTTTTAGTCTTAATTACTTTATTATCTGACCAGTGAGATTATTACTTCTAACTTAAATTAACATCAATTTGTATCAATGGTTAATTTACTTATAGTTTTATTGGCATTTATAATCATAATCATGTTTACCATTGGTCATGCATAAATTGTTACTTAATATTTTCTACGTTTTAAAGTAACGGTTTTTATAATCTTTATGAAAATCTCACTGGTTTCTATTCCAAAAGCTTTAAGCTTGGTGTGCTCAGCAAGGCGAGACAGTACTTCACGTCGCGTCAGCGTCTTATTCTTTATAAGGCGCAAATTCGGCCCCACATGGAGTACTGTTCTCATCTTTGGGCGGGAGCTCCCCAGTACCAGCTACTTCCATTTGACCGCATTCAACGTAGGGCGGCTCGAGTTATCGACGATCAAGCTCTCTCCGATCGGCTTGATCCTTTAGCTCTGCGTAGAGATGTTGGATCACTCTGCATCTTCTACCGCATTTATCATGGGGAGTGTTCCGAGGAATTGTTCGGACTGATCCCGGCTGCTGAATTTCATCATCGGACATCGCGCCAAAATAGTAAATTCCATCCACACCACCTCGATGTCCAGCGTTCCACCACAGTGCGATTTTTAAGGCATTTTCTGCCTCGCACAACCACTCTGTGGAACCAGCTATCGCCGGCGGTCTTTCCGAACCGCTACGACCTGGCCACCTTCAAGAAGAGAGCGTACACTTTCCTTAAAGGCCGGCAACGCATCTGCAAGCCCTGCGGTGTCGCAGATGTCCATGGGCGGCGGTGATCGCTTTCCATCAGGTGAGCCTCCTGCCCGTTTGCCCCCTTAGTCCCATAAAAAAAAAAAAAAAATTCCAAAGCTTAAGTTCTTACTTCTCTTATTCTTTGCTTGATGCCAAAAAATAACTGCAAAAAGTCTATTATTCAATATTAATGTAATACCATTCTCTTTTCTATTTAGGTTATTACGTATGTGGGCGAAGTGTGTACGACGTACTTATCAAATTATATATGGGGTGGACATTCCCAGAACATTTAAAATGGACAATAAAGGACTATAGAAAATTAAAATTATTATGTATACAAGGAAAATATTCAATTTACATTAACACTTCACGTAAAATATTTGTATAATGAAGTACCGCTTCAGAACACACTTCGCCGACATCTTACTCATTGCTAATTAATTATAGAATTAATGAGTAAATTCCATAATAGTACTATTACTATAAGTGAGCTCTCCCTTGCTTGTAGATGGAATGTTTTAAAGAATGTTACCTGGATTCCGCAGTTGCAAACTTCTTATAGTCAATGATAATTTTTAGATTTAGGTTTACTAATAAGAAAAATACCTTGTTTTTATTATTTATTTGTTTCAATGGAAATTATATAGGTATATTTTTATTATTGTAACCTACATAGTTACGTTGGCTGTAATTTAATATTGATGTAAAAGTAATATATGTATTTTTATTTCAAATTCTGTTTTATTTGGTCTTATAATATATACCCAAAATTATAGAAATAGATTACAATTGTTATTAAAAATAAAAGATACCCTATAGCGCTTGGCGGTAATCCCTACTTAAAAACTCCAATAGAATCCCATCAAAAGCGAAAAAGCCACATAGAAACCAACAAATATTTATTGGTTTGGATTTTCAACAGGGATATATTAATATTGAAGAATTTCCAGAATTGTATGAGTAGTTTTAAGTAATACCAACTACTTACATCCAAATTTACAAATGATCAAACTTATATTAAAGTTTACCTCTTCACTCATTTTTAGGGTTTCGTAGCCAAAAGGCTAAAACAGAACCCTTATAATTTCGTCATGTTCGTCTGTCTGTAGGTACGTTAAAGACATTTTACTCGGAGCAACATCGTTGAAATTTAGTAGGTTTCATGTAAACCCCTAGACAATTCTGACTTCCGTAGTCAAATTACAAAAAATAAAAAAAGGTGGCTCTTCATACATAGATGTAACACGTATGAGATGTGCAAATTTTTTTCAAGTCTACATAAGCACGTGAGGAATTTCTGTATAGGTCTTTAAATTTAAGTCTGTTCAAATCCATAGTTGTAAAACAAAAAAACTAAGTCGTAAATACTGTGTCCCCGCTCCCCTTTTAAAATATAATGTGAAAAACTATAGGGTGAAAAATTCTGGAAAAAAAATATATAAATATTCCAAAATACTTTCAACGAAAATTATTTTGAAGAAGATACGTCGAGTAGTTTTTGAAATATAAAATGTGTGCGATAAACGTGTTCGTCCGTCTGTTAAATTGTTTTCATTGTGATATTATAAAGTACAAGCTTGTTTCAGCAGTCAATAAAATTAAAATTTAGATGAGTACTCCTCTGTCGATCGCATTAGCCAGACTAGAATTGTATCATTTTTATTTTTCACAAATATTTTACACTAACGACTCACCCTCGCTTCGCTCGATTTCGTCCCTACGTTGATTTCACATACAAAACACCTTCACCTTTTCATCTCCTTAAGGGATGATTTCCAGGATAAAACTATCCTATAACTAATCCTATGCACTTCCCAGTCTTAAACTATCTTCTTACCAAATCATCTAAATCGGTTTTTCGGTTAAATAGTTTCGGAGCCTATTGGTTCAAACAAACAAACCAAATCTTTCCTCTTTATAATATTAGTATAGATAGACTAGAAAGAAACAAAAACAAATCTATCCCACAGGAACCGTACATCTTTTTGGTATAAAAAGTAGTCTATTTATGTTCTATATTATTGTCGTTTCATTAAAGTCCATTTTACTAAATACTGCTGTTTTTGGGTAAAAGAGTAACAAACACCCATACATTCATACATCCTCACAAACTTTCGCATTATAGTATTAGTAGGATATGTTGTGTAGGTGAAACTGTAATGTTCCGTTTGATCGCGCAAGAGTTTGCAAATGTGTAAGAACTGGATATATATTCATTAAAGGAATATAAAGCAAAAAAATAAAATAAACTTATAATAATATTTTTTTTTATAGTAATAATTTTACAGTCTCTGCTTACAAGTTATATAGATTTTCAATTCTTCATTAGAAGCACTAGAACTAGCCACTCTACAGACACAAATACAGCCTACTATTAACTATAACTTGTGCAAGAACATGTTTCACATTTGTTCAACTAAGGGAGACTAAACATTTTCTGGTTTAAAAATATGTATGTATATATCACGGGCACGATTCACATATCGCACCTTTCATACTGTTCGTTACAACATTAATGCCCGATTTCATTAACGACCCATAAGCTACCAACTACGTATGGGATACCTAGCTTAAAAGTCCCCTAAACTAGCCCCTAAATTAAATTTCGTTTTACGATCGTCTTTAAGCCCATATTTCGAGCACCTAAATTTAGGGGGCCTTTTAATATTTAGGTGATCCCTAACTGTCAGTGAAACAGAAACTGTCCCCTAACAGCCCCCTAACCATGCTTAGGGGATCCCTTAAACTTAGGTGACGTTGGTGAAATCGGTCATAAATATTCCAAATTTATTGCTTAAAAGTAAAAAAACAATATTTTTTATTTTAAAAATGTATTACAAAAACATTTGTGATGAAATAAAAATATATCTAGTTCCGTATTACCAGATAAGGTATATAAAATAATTAGTGGTACAAATTACTAAAATCATAACTATACATATACAATACAATTGATTGATAAAATAGGTATTTTTTGAATGTTTATTAGAAATTAAGATGGATTAATTATATGTTATATATATGTACATATATTATTATACGCAAACTGGGACTTCTTCATGGATAAATGACATGGACCAGGAACAACATCGGTTTGATTAGTACCAAAAGAATCAAAATACCCTCATCTAAGAAGTTTATAGTAAAAAATGTGCATATAATGTCTACAATCTACAAATATTCTTTCTTTCAGTTTTCATTATGCCAGACATATTAGGTACTTATCGTACGCAGCTAAAGAGCTTACGAGTCACACTTTCGAAAATAACCAAATAAAGTAAAAGATTTTAAGTTGAGTGAACCTACCTCTAGACAATATTACTGAGAGTGTCTGCAGAGCAATGCACTCTTGCCCTATTCCCTAATCCCGACATACTGCATCACATTTCAGATATTTTGACAATTAATCACTATGTCCTCCCAACATAATAAATCCAAAGGAGACACAAAAATATTTTATAATGAGTGACGTGTGTCAACAATCAACATAATAGATCTATGTACATATATATTATATAGTCGGATATACATATATATATATATATATATATATATATATATATATAAAATAAAAGATTATTGACTAAATCTTTTATATAAAATAAAAGATTTAGTGAAAGAAAACAAAAACGGTTTTTTCCAAAATTGTCAATTTTGACATATTAGTTTCTGACTGATCTAAGTTTCTGACTGGCTCTGTATATAGAATAACACACAAAATGTTTCATCTCGTGTATCAAAAATGCACTACTTAAATAAAGAAGGTTTACAATAGATTTCATAATCTAATCATCATATAGCAAATATATGGCCAATCTATTTACACTCCAACTCCCATTGATTTAGCACTATGACATCAAATCACAAATTCTACCGCAGTTGTAATAAGCCTCTCCTGTAATAACAAGGTTGAACTAACAACTTATGGGCCTTTGAATACAAAAACTATACTTAGTCTTCAGGTATTTTTTTACAAAATCGCATTTTTGAAGCATTGCAAGAACATGCTTTAGTCAATAAAACCACAAGTTGTTGTATATAAAGGCCCTAAAATAGTTTTTATGCTTAATATTTAAAGCATTTTCAATATATTTCAATTCATATAGAAATTAAGCAAACAATAATATATATTCAATATTAAATATATCAATTACTTAAAAGATTACCCAAAAAGTCACAAAAACAGATCAATCAATACAATTTACTGCTATTGTTCTTCAGACATGTTCATTAATAATATTATCATACATAAATAATTTGGAATTTCCTTTAAATTACAGCTGTTAATACCATAAATGCCCACATTTTATTTTCTACATACGTACATACAAACTATAGCAATATTATTTTGTAGATTACTTGGGTAATATTAAATCTCATAATCATCTCATCTGATTGAATTATAATTTTAAATTTGGGTCTTTCAACTTCATTGAGCATTAAAGTTTATTGTCCTGCTTTTTGAATAGTTGAGAGATAATATTGTTTACTATTAAATATTATAAAACTATGATGAAAACATTCTATAATATTTGTCTTCTAGTTTTAAGTATTACCCAAGTTGTCACTTACTATTATTTCTTACAATTAAGCTACTATATTATTTATTTTTCAGGATCTTAAACCTGTACCATGTAGTAAGAACATCAATTTACACTAATACACCAAAGTATCACACATAATGTTATACAAAGCTATAATTGTCTATTGCTCTATAAAAATCAGAGTAAATTTCCAACATTAATACTTCTTACTGCAAAAGCTTTAACACTTCAGACAACTTTAAAGAACAATATCCAAATTTTGATATATGAAAACATGTAAACATACAATATTTTGATGGCCAGGCACAAACTTAAAAACTACAACAGCTGTTTGTTTTACGAGCAGTCTTATAAAAAGCTTTACTATGCATTGACAGACTGTCTGACTTTGCAACCAAATCATCTAGTTTTTCACCTCTATCCAATACTGCTTTTATAGTATCATGTAAAATAATCTTAGTTTCATCTAAATCATTCTGTATCTTTGTCAAGGCATCAGCTTCTTTAGGATTTTGATACTTAGCTAAATATTGAGGCAAAACAGGGAAATCTATTGTAGATTCATCTGCTGTAGGCCAATTATTAGGTGGAATTTTTGCTGTAAATTCATCTAAAATTTTTGTAATTAAAGTATGTGCCACTCTATTTGGGTATTCATGATCAGATATTAATATACCAGCTAAATTGTCAGCTCTTACATAAACTTGAAGCATATATTCACCTTCTTTGACAGATTGCCTGGAAGCTGGCTGTGTCCTTTCCACCATAGTTTTGCTTACAAAAGTCATAAATTCTTGAACAGAGGCTTTTTGAAAAAAACTAAAGCTCTGCAGATCATATGATGCCTTTAAAACTGTAGCGTTGTTTACGCCCTTGTAAAGGACTGCCAATGAGTATAATCTCACCATTGCTCCTGGTGAATGTGAACACGTCAATGTGAATCAAAACAAGGAACACCTAAAAAGCGCCTAAAGATTAATAACAATACAGTACAATAATTTTAGCGTAATTTATATACGTAAATGAACAAGTAACACTCACCAACTTGACAATGTTGGATACAAATGTTGTTAATGTAAAATTATTGTAAATACTAATGTTATATTTATTTTCAACTTTTTAAAATAAATTATTTTCTCTTCTAAATTAATGCGAAATTATAGAAAAGGAGCACTACAACTTTCTCAGATGTAGACGTAATTGACAAATGACATATGACACTTTTGACTTTATTTGTCATCCATCATCCATGGTTCTGACTTTGTAATTCGGACGACTTTATGCAGTAATTTTCCAATAAATAAAAAAAAGACATTGAAATTTTAAAATTAGAAATTCAATTTTTATTTATTAATTAATTTACTAAACTAGACTATACAACTTAGGCACTTCATATTATTAACAATGGATATATTTCTGACCAATGTGAATCACTTTAACTAGGACCCATTTTTCCTCTTATTCGTTACGTTAGGACAATTTTCTCTCAATATTAAAATAATTTAAATTATTAAAAATGATGAAAGATCACCAATCACCATCGTGACAATGGGGAAGAGTTTTGCCTTATTCTCCCGCCAGATGTCGCGATCACTATAGCCCTAGCATAGAAGGATTATTTTTCATTTTAATTAAAATTCAGTCAAAATGACAAATTGTGCAGTGCCAGGATGCAAAAAATTTCGACATTTCATTTTCGGCATTTCGGCGGACACTTTTTTATTACAGAGATAGTCCTCCTTACCATTCAAAAAAATTGTAGAGCTTTGACGTTTTACTTTGACAATGACAATTATCATTACTGAGTAAATATATTTATTGCAATTTGCAAACTAAACTTTAAAACTTGTTGTTTGTAATCGATTGGTTTTACATTGAAATAAAATAAAAACTGTAGTGGTTCAAAAATAAACCTAACTTATCAATTAATTAAAAGTGTTGACAACATTCATCAGCTCAATATGACGGAAAATAATGAGAAAGTTGATATTTCATGTGATGCTAGGCGAAGAATATTAAATATAGCAGTCTCAACAGTACTTTTAGAAACTGGCTTCGATGCCACTGATAAAATGTCACTAGAAACTCTCACTGAAATCTTACAATGTTGTAAGTATATAATTAATCAATAAGGATATCTCAGAGGAAACCAAAGTTGATTCTAATAAAATCATTCTGATTATATTTTTATAGTTCTATCAGAAGTTGGCAATTCAGCAAAAGGCTTTTGTGAATTATCTGGGCGAGTTGAACCAGTTCTTGGGGATGTTACAATGGCTTTAGTGAACATGGGTATGTATTATTATTAACACTGATCAAATTATGAAAAAATTGTAGCTTTGTTTTATTTTTAAGAGATTTTAAACTTTTTAAACTTAAAATTTAACATCAAATTTTATATAAATAATAATAATTAATACTTGTACATATATGTATTTACTTTTTATTATACTTTTTTCATTTAACCCTTTTAGAACGACAATAAATATTTGGATTTCTGAAAAACTTTCGAGCAATTTTAAGATTATTGGGAGGTAAAATGACCAGAAAAAATAATTAAAATAATCCCCACCCTTTTAAATCACACTAGAGCACACATGTGCGCCCTGGTTACCATTTGTGCTAACGCACGATCATGCATGTATGCATGAATAAAGATGCAAATAAAAAGTCTCTTTTTGATATATTTACAAAGATTTATTAAGGGTATTATTAATTTATTTCTTATTAATTTATTTATTACAGAGCACTTTAAAATCAAATATTTATATATTTATTTATTAGGATCTCCCGTTGGAGTTACCGGAGTATACGGAGACCGTTAGTACACAAAAAACTTACACTAATACATTAACAATACTTAACCTATATGCACTTACAATTATAGGAGAACACAACATGCTTCATACGCCGACCAGTGTCGTCAACGAACACAATGTCCATCTTGAACGCGTCACAAGACGTTATTGCTTACTACTAGCCCAGTCCAAACTTTGTTAAAATGTAACTAGATTAACAGACGAACGATCGGAACCGTTTGCGCTCGATGAAAAAAATTTTGGCGTCTGTTAGAATTTTTTAAACCATATCGCACGATTAGTACTGTAAGTTCTGAAAGGGTTAAAATTACAATTGCAGGAATAAGTCTACAAGGTATAGAGCAATATGCAGCAAGGCCAAACAGACATGTAATCCAGCCTCCTCAACAGGCTCCAGTTCCACGCACACCTGCAATGCTCTCAGCTGGTTCAAAGGCTAAACCAGCTCCGCATATACCATTTCACTTACCACCACTTCCTGATCCACATGCTTATATAAGAACACCAGTATGTCTGTAGAAATTAAAGTTATAGTTAAATATTAAATAATAACCAAGAACTTTAATAACTTTTGTTAAATAATATATTGTAAATTATTTTATAATAATATTCTTAAGGACATTTGTATTCTAATAAACATTTTTATTATAGACACACAAGCAACCTGTCACAGAATATGAAGCCATAAGGGAGAAAGCTGCTAATCAAAAGAGAGATATTGAAAGAGCTCTAACAAAGTTTTTAGCTAAGACCAGTGAGACACACAATCTTTTTAACACTGAAGATAATCAAGTTTTTCCATGTAAGTTATGCTAGAATTATAATTTTTAATAACCAATATTTAAAAAAAATGTGTTATTTAAGCTTAAGAGTAATTTGAAACTGTGCAAGTAATAAAATAAAAGCCATTGAATTTGAGATTTTGTCATTGAATTTAAGTAACTCGAAAACCCTGGACCAATTGCAATGGTGTTTTTATTTTGCAGATGTTCCAGAGTTAGTAGCTAAGTTTTATTTAAACAGCTTGAGTACATCAAAAATGTTCTTAGAAAATAACATTCTCATTCCCATCAATGAATGGTGGAATGAATGGAACATTCCATTTTGTAATTCTATATATTTTTTTCTAATAATAATAAACAGTAATATCAAGAAAACACTTATTAAAATGTGTCCTTGTTTTTTTAGTAATAGCTTGTAAGCCAACTTTCCCAGCATATTTACCATGTCTCCTGCCTACTGACCAGGTGTTTGATTTTGATGAACTGGAGTACCACTTTCAGGTAGCTAATAGAACTGAAGATATGCCTGCTGATAAAAAAGGTAAATATTATACAAGCCTTAGGCCTAGAATCTTTATGAATAGTTTGTCTGTGTCTAAAGTGACTTAAAAAAGTTATACCAAGAATATAAGAAAAAAATGTTTATTGAATTATATTGTTAAAAATTTAATTCACACTGTACATTTTAGATCAATCTGACAATGAAGGAGAAAATGGAGGTGACAATGAAAATGCAAATAACTCGCAATCTGAAAACCAAGATGCACCATCTGCATCCAGCCCAGAAAGAAATAAAACTGGAGGATAATTTTGTGTCTATGTATATTTTTAACTGTAAATAAAAACATTCTCTCTTTACAATTTTTTTTAATCCTATTAATGGTCTTATAGTGGTGTAGCATAGTTTGAGCACATGCAAACAAGGTAAAGAAAAACACTGCAATGAAACCTGCATTTCTAAGGCAAGTCTTACTCTTCTTCTGAAGATTGTGCAAAGCCAGCAAAGTCACAGGACCCAGCAATGGAATATTAAAGGGGATAATAAAACAATTATTTTATGAATTCCCTTTAAATACGTACATGTTAACATGATGTAATAATATTGATATGCTAATTTCTGGTTTCTCTCATGGGATAGAAAAAAAAATACATAATATATTTTAATAGTCATTTACTTTATACTTAAAATACAAAAATTATTTGATAGATGCAGAGTTGATGACAGGCAATACTTTGATTCCATCTCTATTCACTACAGTTACTTGGAAGTTTGGTAAGCTCACAAACAAACGCTTGTGAACCTCTTGTACACACTTTTTCAGGATATTATATGCTTCTTCTTCAGTAGCATCTAAAAGAGAATTATAAATATTTTAAATGTTCTTTAGCAATAATAACTTTTCATATTTAGATGGTGGTTTTAACAAAAAGTAAATAATAGATAGTTTTCTAACATTCATTTAATGAGGATCAGTACAGTTATAGCAAATTCCATAGAACTAGTATCCACGTTATTTAATAAGACATAAGAATATATCTTTTTGAATTTTCAAAATCGGACCATAACTTACGAAGATATTAAGTAATAAATATTACGCCGTTCCTGCCGGCAAAATCCAGGTACGCGAGTGCGTGTGACATCACTGTGACGGAACGTACGTAGCCGGCCCACCGCCCGGACCTCTTACTTCACAATTCGACGGAGAGCGCGCGACGCGATTAGCTACTATATATAGTAATTACTTATTTAGCGTTTTTTCAAGTGTGTTTGTTATCTTTAAATATATTTAGAAAGTATCTATACGTATAATAAAATTCTAACTAAGTCGAATCTGTACATTAAATATTTTTTGGAAAATCTTATTGAAATAGACATTATTATCAATGCAGAGGCCGAATCTATAGTTTTTAGAATTTTTGTCTGTCTGTCTGTCTGTGTGTGTCAGTCTGTCTTTCTGTCTGTGTCTGTCTGTTACCGCATCACGGAAAAACCACTGGACATTTTGATGACGTTTGGTATGATAATAGCTGGTTATCCGAGTCAACATATAGGATACTTTTAAACGGAAAACATCTCATTTCTGAGAAAAAATACAAAAACTGCAATGTAAGACTATACTAATATGTAAAATTGACATAATTTTCCATATCTTCTTTTAACTGAAATATAACATATATATATATGTATATTTTAATTTATTTGCTTCTAACAATAAGGCATAGCTGAGGCAGATACACATACACAGCTATTCAAAAATATTATCATTCACCATTTGCTTTTTACCCGAGTATGTCTTGTAGCCTGGGCAGGGGGTGGAGTTTTATCATCTGTTTTTACAACAGAAAACCATTTTTTAAGAAGTTTTGGGTCCTTTGGTACATTAAAAAATAGTTTTTCTGGCGTTTTAAAAGTAGTGTTTGTACATTTCGGCACTATACAATATTTGTACATAATTAAAAAGGTGAATTTGACACAAATGGGACACTTAATTTGTTTCAAAGTCATTAAAACACTGCGCGCCTTATTGCTGCCAGCGGCTTACTGGCGGCGTCCGTCACGATGACGTCACAGCTATCGCGGCGGCGACGCTGTGAACTTCGCTAGTAATTTCTTCATAACTTTGTCAATTTTTGTTGTAGAACAAAAATTTTTGCACTGTATGGTTAAGGATTTCTTAGCTCTATAAATCTGCATTCTCAACTAAAAACGTTACGGATCCTCATTTTCTTATGTTTCTTATATACATATTGAGCAAAATGATTATTATTTATATTATATATCTCATCTAAAATAGAATAAAAAAGATTATTTAAGTTTTATCCTACATTCACAAAAAAAAGTTACCCTTCTTGTGATAACGGTCCATAATACTCAAACTAAGGTAACCACCATAGCCATGGGCAGCGAATGGCACTTTCATACTAGATGCTAAATAGTCCATGAAGTATAATTCTGGGCCATTTTCTTTATCATAGCCTCCCATCAGTATATTCACAAAATAAGGAGTCTGTAAATTAAATATTAAAGTGCATTTAAATTTCATTGGCAAAATATATTTTAAGTATCAATAATATATTTTATGAACAGAATAATATACAATTTAATGTCATTCAATACTTACACTACTTCTAAGATATTCCGCAAGATTTCTTCTTGTAAAATTAGCGGCAGCAGATGGTCCTAATTCGTATCCGTTTCGCATCTTATAGAGTTGAATATTCTTTGCAATGTATTCTGCAAACTGAGTTGTGTCACCAGAATCACCAATTACACCCATGACCAATTTGTCAGATATCTTGTAAATCTTCTCCTCATCTAGAATTATTTAAAAGACATAAGAATAAGCAAGCATAAATCGAAATAAAAATTAATAACTGACTCTCCGATAACTTACCATCTTTCATCACCATAATACTATGGCCGTTTGTTTGATCCGCAGCAATCATAACAAAATCATCACACTGAATTCCCAGCAAACATTGCAAATTAATATTGGACATCTTAGTGAAATGTCTTTTGTAAAAATATGTTTTAGATCTTTTTTGTAAGCCGCAACAATGACAATACAAAATACAAATCAACGTTAACCTGTAAAAACTTGTCAAATCATTTTTAGTATACAGATAAAATAAAATAACTTGATGTCATCAAGACACAGCTTTTAGCCTTTTAGGCCAAAATGTTTTACTAAAAATACTCTCTATGGTTATCAGTTATCACTTGACACTTGTCAGTTTGCATCTTGTTCCTGGTCTGTGGTTCGCATCATGGATGACAGTTGACAAATAAATTATAAAAGTTTGCAATTTGCATTTTGCAATGCTATACTGCCTAACCTAACCTGAAACCTCTATGAATAAAATTATCAAACTTAGTTGTTGAAATGTTTAAAAAAATAGCTGTAGGTATTTCAGGTGGAGTAGATAGTGCCATTGCTGCACTACTACTAAAAAGAGCAAGTAAGATTTAATACTTTCTAGTATTTACTTTTTCAAATTATGTATATGGGTAGTTGTTTTTAGTTTCAATTCTCTAATTATATAATGATGAATTTTTAGATTACCAGGTAGAAGGAGTATTTATGCGAAATTGGGATAGTAATTATGAAGCAGGATTTTGTTCTGATGAAAAAGATTTTGAAGATGCATCATTTGTATGCCGTAAGCTTGATATACCTTTGCATAGAGTTCACTTTATTAAGGAATATTGGAATGATGTCTTTACTGTCTTAATAAAGGAATATGAGACTGGGCTCACACCAAACCCTGACATTTTATGCAACAGATATATAAAATTTGATAGATTTTTTGAACATTGCAGGAACAATTTAGCTGTTGATGCTATAGCAACTGGACACTATGCCAATACATCTTTTGGTCCTTTCTTGGAAAATTATAATGAAAATGAAGGTATAGTATTATTGATAATTGGAATCTTTATTTATACATTGTTTGTTTGTTTTTATGATTTTTCAACTATAAATAATTGCATAGCTTTCAATTCATTCTTACCCATAGGTGTGAGATTACTACAGCCTGAAGACAAACATAAAGATCAAACATTCTTTTTATCACAAGTAAAACAATTTTCTCTTAGGAAATGTATGTTTCCAATAGCTAACCTTTTGAAGAGCCAAGTCAGAGAAATAGCTAGGAAAGAAGGTCTACTTCAAATAGCTAGCAAGAAAGATAGTACTGGAATTTGTTTCATAGGAAAAAGAAGATTTAAGGAATTTATTGATGATGTATGTCTTTGAAAACTTATTCATTTTAAATTAATTGGTGTTTAAATATTATAAATTTTGTATGATGTTTAAATGTCATATGTACTTTTTAGAAACAATAATAACTTTAATATAATTTCTTATTTTTCAGTTTATTCAAATAAAAAAAGGTAACTTTATTGATATAGACACAGGTCAAATTGTAGGAGAGCATTCTGGAGTACATAAATGGACAGTTGGGCAAAGATGTTGTCTTAGTAATTGGAAACATCCTTATTTTGTATTAAAAAAAGATATGGAAACAAATAATATATATGTGGTATGTTGTCACAATATGCTAAAGTAAATACATTTAAAAATTATTTTATATTTTATTAATCTGAGAGCAACTATAATCTTTATTAAAAGTCTTTATAAAAAGAAAGAGAAAGCAACATGTATTATTATTTTATTACATAGCATAGCTAACAAAATAGCTTTGCAAGTATAATGTGTTATATTATTATATAAAGCTAAACTAATGTTCGTTTTACATTTTCAGGTTGCAGGAACTGAGCATCCAGCTTTGTGGAATAATCTATGCAACACAGAAAAACCTCATTGGATTAATGATGAACCTATTGAATTAAAACACAATAATATTTTAAATTGCTTATTTAGATTTCAACATACAAAACCATTAGTACCTTGTCAAGTTTTCAGCAATCATGAAGGATTAACAATTTTATTGCACCAAAAGTTACGAGCACTAACTGAGGGACAGTTTGGTGTGTTGTATAAAAATGAAGAATGCCTTGGTAGTGCAAAAATTAAAAATGTTTGCCATAATTTAGTGTTTTAAATAAAAAAATATCAATTGAATAAAACTTATTAAACAAATGTTTCGGTGTAACATTTTTTAAAACTCATCAAAGCAATAATCTATACTTATTATAAAAATAAGTCCCCCGGCCGCGTCTTTCTGTCCTCCTGTCTGTCTGTACGCGATAAACTCGAAAACTACTGAACGGATTTTTATACGGTTTTCAACAATAGAAAGAGTAATTCTTGAGGAAGGTTTAGGTATATAATTTATTATGCTTTTATGTAAATTAGCTGAAATACGGCGACAAATGTTGAAGAGGTCGCAAAAAATCTCGCCAAATGGGAACTTTCCACGCGAACGCCGCGTAAACTAGCAAAGATACAGTTAAGTAATGTACTAGAGAATTCAAAATCTATAAAAATGCTACAAAAAAGTCCGCGATAGCATATCTCTATCTCTTACGGTTGACTTACAATAACCACTTTTATGTTAACATTTTTAATTAAAAACATTACGTTATTTTCAAAGTTATTTTCTTTAGTTCGGTATTAATCCTTATCCAAATGAATATTTTAGTTAGCTTAGTCATTTAATGCAGATTAAAATTGCTCTTTACACTAAATCAATCAGATGAATAGTTTTTGAGATATCGTTGTTAGAAGTAATTAGTAGCGAAACATTTTTAATGCTTGGCGAGCATTGAGATGCCTACGGCGAGTCCATCCCCTCTGCCCCGCATCGCTCGACCGCCTGCTCAAGCTATATAAACCGGGCGATGTAGCGCGCGATCCTAGGATACTTTTTACCGCGGGAAAATATCTTATTTCTGAGGAAAAATACAAAAACTGCAATGTAAGAGTATACTAATATGTAACACCTAAGAATTTAGTTTTTGGTCATCTGAACGCGGGCGGAGCCGCGGGCAATGCTAGTTTTATATAAAAAATTAAATGCGCCTGTAAAATTTTGTAAGTATATTTGTTTGTTTCTACATAATTTGAAAAGTAATAATATTAACAATGGAGGTGTTTTGTTAATTTAGCTAGATTCTAGTTGTTTTCTAAAGAATCTTAGAAATTTTCTAAATATGAATTATTTGTTAGAATGTTAATTTAAAATCAACTTTATTCATTATATTCAGTGGTGTAGTCAAGTCGGAATGCTGAATTTATCGATATAATAATTTTAATATGTGGCTACATATGCAATTTACTAAAATTTGTCAGATATTTAATACCACATTGTCGTAATATATAAATTTAAATGAAATAAACTCAATTATTAAGCAAAAAAAAACAGTTTTTTTATTTTAATAAGTATATATTTAGCAAATTTAAATAATATTCAACAATATTTCAACTTTTTTACTTTTCCAATATATTTTTAAATTAAATAATAATATTAAATATAAAATAATATTTATCGATAATGTAATTAATAGATTACGCCACCTCTGGACAAGAAGCAATTTGTACATGTTAGAAATTACAATACAAAATGCCATAATTGGGTACTACAGTATAACAAAATAAATCTCATAATGGGAAAAGATTAATTTTTATTTATGGAATATTGACAATTAAGCTTGTATTGACTAAAATATAAATACAATATTTAATTGGTTGTTTATTTGTAGTACAATATGCCCATGTGTGATTAATAGTGTATTTCAAATAAATTTCATTAAAACGTAGTGATTACATTCTTTAGTGTATTTGTTTGTTTGTTGTGAGTTTGTATTTATTTGTTTGTTTGTTGTGAGTTTGGCGACACATCGTATTTTCCAATTAGAGCACTAAAGCACATTATGCGGCATAAATCTTAATGCTAACTTTAAATGTTTCAACTACAGCAACGCTCCGCACAATCGAATGAATCGAGCATTTTGAAAAGTACTCCTTTGGTGTGGTGTGTGCAATCAGCAATGATACCAATTCAGTAGCAGAGAATATACAAAATATACTCGTAAGAAGTGTTTTTTCTTCAAGGTGGCATTGATCAAAATTTTATTTACATTATCGTTAGTAATATTTGTTTATGTTTTATTTAAATTATTACATATTTACTAGTTATATATTATTATTTATTATATAATTTATATTATGTATTATTCTATATTTATTAGTTAGTTATATTTTTACTTTCAACACTGAACCTAGTGCCCTATGCTGGTGCATTTAAAACTATTTCACGTTCCAATTTAAGCAATAGCACACTTCGGCATTATGCGCCAAAGTGCGGTATTATACTCGGTAATTGGAAAACGGACAGATTCCGATACAAACATAGTCACATCGCACTTCCCTTATTTTTTATCTTCCGTGAGTGTTATAATTAGGCATGGAACATTTCACGAGTAGCAAGTGAAAAATCATACGTCACGTACGTGAAATACGCTATCATACGTCACACCTGCTACTTAAATTCATAGTGACTGCTACAAATCACAACTTGGTGAAATCTAGAGCTGTAGCAAACCGTATGTATTCGTTACTGAGTAACGGGTACGCCATCTAGTACCGAGTACCGAAACGTTACTCACGAATACATTTCGTTACTCGCATTTTCCGTATACATTTTCGTACTGATGTTTTTATTGATTTTTTATTCAACAAAATACAATTTTCAGTTAATACCGTTGATCAGTAAATTGGGGAGTTTATTTATTTCAAGTTGCATGATTTCGGATTCTTAGAAATATTGTTTAGAAATAATTTTAAATTAGAAACAACAATTAAATTTAGAGCACATTTTTAGTTTTTTATCCAACAAATACTTATAATTTTTACTGAATGATTATGTGTAATACGTACAGACATAACCACCAACGCTGAGAACGAGCTAGAAATGTTTATTAATGAACCAGTGCTTCCGCGCGATTCTTCGCCATTAGTTTGGTGGAAATCTCACTCCTATATGTACCCCAATTTGGCGGAAATATTTCATGAGCACTGTCACATCGTGGTGACATCAGTGGAGTGTGAGAGAGTATTTTCAAAAGCGGGAAATTTTGCAACCCAAAAAAGAGCACGATTAAGCAGAAAACGAACAGCGGAACTTGTATTTTTAAAAAGCAATGAAGACTATTGTATATAGATATCTCATAAAAAAATCAATCATCAAAACAATGAACTTTTAAATACGCCAATGTAATTATGGAACTTAGCTTAATACAATTTTACCGTGTGATTACTCTGATATATTTAAAATTCATTTAATTTTACATTGTCAGTCCCAAGCCTGTAGAAGTATGAGGGAAAGTTCATTGTTTGAAAATAGGTTCATTCAAAGCACCATGTACGTATGCAACTACGTCAGATCTATATCTCTGCTCCATATCACATCAGTAGCGCCATTGGTGATATTTCATACTTCATTTTAATAGCAAATAATATAAAGTGTGACACCAGACCGTCGAAATCAAAAATCTATGCGTGAAAAGTAGCAGGTGAAATCACGTGAAAAATATACGTAATTTTATCACATGATAATGATTTAAAAGTAGCAATCATTTCCATGCTTAGTTATAATCATAGATGAATAATAAAAAGTTATGTCGATACATCACTATAGGTTTTTGATATGAAATTATTGGAATTTGTTAGGTGATCAATGTCAATGTCATTACTCATTAGTTCAATAGTCAATACATTTTTTTTATGACATTTGAAAGGCTGAAGCTGTCTGAAGTTTGGCTTGGAACATGGAAATTGGAATGGATTTAGATTCAGGAATCAGGATTGGCAATGGCTTAATGATTTGCACCACAGACTAGGAGCAACAAGAATTTGCACCATGGAGAATGTTCTCAGTAATCAGCATAGAGTATTTTGCTACATATAGTAATCAGTTATTATCATAACAAAAGTAGACAGTATATTACTATATTTCGAGTATTGATCTAAAATAATCTGGAGCACAGTGAATTCTTGGAAAACCTAAAAATTTTACTCAATAATACATATTATAATCGTTTATGTGCATAACTTGCCCTAAATTTTGATTTATTTGTAAATTCTGTTTACAAATTTCAACATTCGATGCCTTTGTAAAGATGTCGATACCACCGGTTGATTTTAGTATACCGCCGCCTCGTTTTAATATTCCACCTCCTGCAGCTTCTACAATTGTACCCACTCTAACTTCCCAACAACCACAAACATTATACAACCAGCCTCCACCTTATCTACCACCTCCGCCTACCGATGTACTACCACCCGTTTATTTACCGCCGGCACCGTCGGTTAATATGATTTCCCCTATGCCTCCTTATTCACCACACAGTGTTAGTCTTCCACCTCCATACTTACCTCCATCACAAAACTTTTCTCAACCGGCTCCACAGTATTATAACATGGATTCAAACTGGCGAAATTATGACAAGTCTACTAATTTAATAGCTCCCTATAAGAATATTTCTGATAAACCATCTTCAAGTGCATCTAATTCTCACTTTTATGGTAAGGATATAAAAAGTGGTGAAGGTGAATATCGTGACAGGAGTTACAGTTCACCTTCAAGGGAATATTTACCTAAGTCACGATATTCTCCTCATAGGGAGCATAGCTATGAAAGAGGCAGTAGATTTGATAGAGAAAGACCAAGATCACACAGATCTAGTCGCAGTCCAAGTTACAGTCGGAGTTATCATAGCAGAAGTCAATCTAGGAGCAGGTATAGAGAAAAAGAAGAATATTATCGTAGAGAAAAATATGCTAAAGAGAGATATGAAAATGAGCTCAGAAGACATGCTAGTCATGAAAGACAAAGAAGTCCTTCTGCTTATAGAGAACAACGAAGTCATAGCCGTACTTATGACAGTCATGAAGGTAAGGGACGCTATAGAAGCCCTGAGAGATATCATTCTCATCGGAGGGTATCTTATTCTCATAGCCGCTTACGTGAGCTGTCACCAAGATCAGCAAGAGAAACACCATCAACTTCTAAGCCTTTAACGGATAGAGAAAAAATATTGGATGATTACAGGTAAGTACCTTACATAATATAACAAAAGAAATACTAGGGCAAAGTAAAATATAAAATAAAATAATTATAAAATATGTAAGCTATATATCATCAAAAGATAAAAATGTCTTTTATGAGACAAAGTGAAGACATAATAAAATTCGACTGTTGAAATTGAGCTTGCCTATTTAGTTAAAATCAATAACTAAAACTTTAGTAAAGCATATTATTCCTTAAATAAATTGTAGACAAATTATAAGCAAATTTTATTTTTAATAAAGCAACTGTTGAGTTTCTTGTCCGCTCTTCTCAGAAGAACTGCTTTGCAAGCCTTTGATAGGTAAATGTTATTGTAGTAAATGAAAAAATAAGTAAAAACATCAGCATTTATTTAACATGAATGTGATTTAAATAGTAAATTCAGGCATTATTTTTGTTTAAAGCTTGATATAATTTATTACATTTTGTATTTTGTATAAACATATTTGTTTTCTCTTTCTATTAAACGTAAAATTAATGGCTTATAAATTTTTAAATTCATAGATTGATAATAATTAGGTACATATAAAATAAATTACATTTTATAACCTTTAAACAAAAATATGTTTTTAATTAATGTACAAAAGAATAAACATTTAATTTCATACAACCTTTGCTAGTAAAAAATCATTAATCTTTTTTTTACATTGTTTATGATAAACACAAATTATCATCTTCATTGAATTAATGTTTTCTCACCCACTTTCCATTAATATAGATATAATTTGTTGAATAATCTGCTGTAAAAATGCTTGTCTTCATTTTCTTGGTTTGGGTACATATTTCGCCTTTCTCTAATATAGTGTTATCATCTGCGTCAACATGAGATTGTTGATCACCAATATGTGCAACAAATTTTTTGTTGTTCTCAGATGAGCACACACACATTGACAGCAAAAGTACCAAAACTGTGTACACATTCATAATGCATATATAATCCATTAAAGTACGAACCAGAATTTAGTTGACACTTATAGCAATTTGATATTTCTCCATAAAGTTGCTAAAACTTTGTTTTGTTTATTGTAATCCATTCAATAACTCGTGCGCAACGTCCGTTTACGAACACCCGTCTATTGGGACAGTTTCCATCAAAAAGATTTGAAATAGTTTTATGTATAAAATATATACGAGATAGTTTATATCTATATGTCAACGAATCTTCTTCATCTGAATATTCATTTGGTTTAAAATCGAGATTCTGATTTTCAAGAAGTAATTTTTCTTCATTCTCACAAGCCGTAAACACAACTGATATTATTATAAGAAACGGGAGAATTTTAATCATTGTCACAAGAGTTAATATGTATGACTGTTTAGGCGTAATTTAATATTTCGATGCGATTCTATAACTTGTCACCTCTTGAACTTAATAATGCTTTAATCTTTCAAGGTTTCAAAAACTTTACATAATATTATTAATGAATAGTTCTCCAAGAACGGCCAATATCTATATTGCGCATTAATATAGTAGTATATTAGGCAAAACACAAAAGACTAAGGAACAGCGCTTAATTATTGTCTTAACCGTAGTAGTGTATTACTGAATTCCTAAAGCATGACCTTTTAACATTCATATCAATCTCGATACTAGCATTAAACTGATATGACATTAAAATCCATAGTTTATAAAATAATGTAGCATTTTCATCTGTGTTTGTTAAGGGGAAGACAGGTCAATTCTCAATTATTAATCTTTCTATACCACATATTTTCATTAATTTCTAGTCCGAGAGAGTACTTAACTCGTTAAGTTTTAACGCGTAGTATAGATTTCTCAGAGATGAGATATTTTCTCGTAGGAAAAAGTATCCTATATGATGACACGGAAAACCAGTTACCATCAAACCAAATTCCATCAAAATCTGTCCAGTGGTTTTTTTCGTGTTCCGGTCTCGTCTGTCTGTGGCATACAAAAAAAATCTAAAAACCATAGATTCGGCCTGTATCGATATTAATGTCTATTTCAATAAGATTTTCCAAAAAAAATGTACAGATCCGGCTTAGTTAGAATTTTATTATATTATGTAGGTATAGATAACTAATATAATCATACACATTATTTAGTAATCAGGCACTGGAATTAATTGAAACTAGCTATCTTACCCTCGCTCATCCCCACAGTAGCCTTTGGTCCATTCCAGGTCATACTACCAGAATAAAAAATAGTCTCTAGTTTTCGGGGGTAATGCATTTTCATATTAGCTACAGAACTTTCAGAACCGGAGTAGTAGTTTTAGAGATTATCCTTTACAAATTAATTAAAATATTAAGCAAATTTACAAACTTTACCTCTTTATAATATTAGTATAGATAACCATGTCAAACAATGCAAAATTATGTATAGGTATCGGAAAATGTTATTTTGGCTTTTTATGCCAAAGTTGTTACAATTCTGTACCATGTATAAGTTTTTTTAACATTTTAGGAAGAATTACTGTCGAACTTCCGAGGACTTTATTAAGAAAATGGAGGAATGGTCAAGAGAACATAATTCTGATGAGGAAGAGGTGAGCTAATTTGCAATTTACTGTTTCAATTTTAAGAATAAACTATGAAGTTGCCGTTTTACAATACTGGCTGGCCATTTGAAACGTAATTTTATTTTAAAAGTATGCAGTTCTATTTTCGAGTTCAGACATTAGTTTATTGTTTAGTGTTATGTTTTCAGTTTAGTTTGTATTTTTTTCATCGATATGGATACAATAAAAATACAAGTAATTATGGAATATGAGTTCCGTCGCGGTAGAAATGCCGCACAACGGCTCGCAATATTAATGACGTGTACGGAGCGAACATTACAAACGAACGCACGACCCGTTATTGGTTTGAACGCCTCCTACATGGAAATTTTGATTTAAAAAATTAACCCGTAAACTAAAATCAACAACGACGGATTAAAGGCGATAGTGTAAACTGACGATACTCTATCTACGACTGAGCTAGCAACAGCTCTCAACGTTAGCACTCACCAGACCTTGAACCGACAGGCTTCTACTTTTTCTAAATTTTGGAAAAGTTCTTGGCATGGAAATAATTCGATACCCGAGAGACAGTACAAAACGCCTTTGAAGAGTTTGTTGGCTCCCGTACACCTGGCTTTTTCAAGAAGGGCATTAAAAAATTATCACTGCGTTAGCAGAGATAGAAATAAAAAATATTTATAAAAGAATGACTTTAACTTTGTATACTAAACGGCAATTTATATAACATAGGAAGAGACCTTTTATTTGTACAGTATTGGTATCATATCTCTATTCCATAAATAAAAATTTAAATGTAAAATAAGAATTTCATTTTTTTTTTATAGGTTTCTAAAATGTGGTATCGAAGCTCGCCCGCTGAACTGTACTACACTAACGTAGATGAAGCCGAAGGAGTTGAACAGACAAAAAAACTTGAAAAAATCTGTGAAAAGTTTTACATGAAACTCATAGAGAGAGGTAGAAATGCAAGGCCAATAGAAGATGAATTACCGCCTCTGAAGCCGCAACGATCAAAGATGTGTCGACATAAAGGTAAGTTTTCGTATCCAATAAGACCTAGATAGGTTAAAAGACATTTAAATTACCCAAAAAAAAAGTTCTCTTAATATTAGGAAAATTGTACACAAATAAAAATTTATGACTTACAAATTATACAGTCTACTAAATCGGATCTTTAGATAGTATAATGTTCTAAAATATATTAATAGATTTTGTGTCTTCTACATCTTTAGGTAATAAATATATAGCTGTGCTCCTTCAAAGAGAATAGTTTTTATCCCATATTTTAATAGTTACTGGTCAAAACTAACTCATTTATGTAAGAGTACTTTGTTTGTTCTGTACACGAACAAAGTACTCTCAACCTTGCATTTCCATTTATTTCAAAACGCGTACAAAAGTGGTGTTCTACTAATCCATGCTTAATATAATAAACGCTTCACGCTTAAAACGTTAAACAGAAAAAATTGGCAAGGACAAAGATTGTTGTACCATGGAAACTGAAGAAACCAATAGAAAAGCTAGCAAAAACCAGCAAAAAATAAAAAAAATTGGAGAGTATTACTACTTTTGAAAATCTAACATATAATAATAAAATTTTAACTAAGCCGAATCTGTACATTATATATTTTTTTGAAAATCTTATTAAAATAGACATTAGTATCGATACAGAGGCCGAATCTATAGTTTTTAGAATTTTTGTCTGTCTGTCTGTCTATCTGTTACCGCATCACGGGAAAACCACAGGATTGATTTTGATGAAATTCAGTATGATGATAGCTGGTTATCCGGCTCAACACATAGGATACTTTTTACTGCGAGAAAATATCTCATTTCTGAGAAATCTATACTAAACGTTAAAACGTAACAATAATATATAACATATAATTTTAATCTTTTTATATGAATAGACTTATGAACTGGCTCGAAATGCTTTGGACGCAATCGACATCGATTATTCTGCAGAGCTTTATATTTCTTATGTTATTTTTTAGTGGATGAAAAAAGTTCATCGTCTTCTGAAAGCGATGAAAGTTTAGATGAAGAAGGATTACAGGGTTACACTGATCGAATTATGTTGGAATTGCAGAGGAAGCAAAGCCATCCAAGAAGGCTTCATCCAGAATTATGGTTTGTTCAATATTCATATGTTCAAAAAAGCAGTTTTCTAAAATATGTACGCTGTAAAAAATATGTAAATATATATTTTAATATAGTAAAATTCAATGTGCATTCATAAATACTTTTTAGTGACTTTACTTTACTTTTAAGTACTCATAAAATATAAACAGTGGCATGTATGAATACTCAATAAATACTAATTACCTGGTTATAGCCTGGTGATTACCAATAATAATAACAATAATAAAAACTCTTTATTGCACACACAACATAGGAATAAATATAAAAAAAGAACAATACAGTAGCAAAATGCACAAGAGGCGACCTTATCGCTAAAAAACTTATAAACTTAAATCAATAACATTACGAAAAATTTATTTAAAAAAATAAACTAACTAAACTTACTTATGCTACACGCGGTAGAGTATATTTGAAACAAGAATATACCTTTTTGCGAAGTATCTTTTCCTTTAACTCATTTTATATTAACACTAATAATAAATTTATTTACAATTAAGAAAATTACAAATATACTTAATTATATATACAATGCAAATGTACACCTTGTTATTACTGTACAAGTCATGTCCGCGTGGAATAGTGGTAAGAATGTTAGCCGCATTCCCCCGTTGAATGGCAATGCCGATTCTTTGGGTGAAAAATACGCCAGCCCTCCTGTCACCAGTAGAGGCGATAGGACGAGGTGTTATGTCTTTTAAGAAGTGCTTAAAAAATAACAAACTGATTAATGTAATGAGTAATCCCATATAAATACACTAGTCTTTCCTTATTCCTGATAAGGCCTGATGGTTTGTGTGATTAGGTTCAACAACAGTGGCGAAATGAATGGTGGTCCCTTGTGCCGATGCAGCGCTCGCGCGCGTCGCCACGGCATACACCATGGCGTGTACGCGGGGGAACAGACCTTCCCAAAGTGCATCCCCACGCGGAGTAATATCGGCAAGCTGTATCATTACTGGTAAATATTATTATACTAAAGATCACTCATGGCTTTGTCTAGGTGTAAAGCAATTCGTGTGCCATTTATCGTACGATGACGGTATACAATAACTCACTAAAGTTTCGTCTAAATCGGATAAATGATTAAAGAATATATAAGTTAACCAAAAAGAAATAAACACTTATTCATCTAGTGAGAGTAGTACTTACTGATAGAATTTTTCGTTTTCAGCATTACTGTTTCGCCACCAACCAATTTCCTGATCAAAGCACCAACAATCATAGCACATGATGAACACGAGTTTTTGTTCTCTGGATTTTCAATGTTCTCGCATTATAAACTGAAAAAACTACCTAAGTGCAAGGTCATAAGATTTAATATTGAGTACACGATATTATATGTGGAAGAGCCACCGCCTCAGAATTTTACTATCCAGGAATTAGATTTGTTTGGTAAATACAGTACATTTCATATTTCTTACTTAGCTTAATTTATTGTTTAACAAATTCAAAGTTCTGACTGATTGATATAACAACACACAGCCTAAACAGCTGATGAAATTTAGAGGGCTTATTCTTTGTGAAGTGTAGTTATCCACTATGAAAGGGTTTTTTGAAATCCCACCCCTAAGAGGGTGAAATGAGGTGTTGAATTTACTGTGAAAACTTTTAATGTCTAAGACTATTCAATCGAAAATTGGTACATATACTCTTCAATTATAATTATGATTCACATGTATCACAGTTTTTCCAAAATCATCCCCCAACAGAGTCAAATAGGACTTCGAAAATCCTACACGGCATGGTAGACGGGCGCAAGGCGCGCAAGTTGGCGTAGGGCTTGCGGGGGAGCGGGGGTGTTTCTGTATTAATTACTTATAACATAAAGACAAAGCATTTGTTTTTTTTGTCGTTTTAACGCGAGTCTCGGGTTCTGCTAGTTTAACATAAAAAAAATTGTAATCGTTTATTTTTATACTTTTTATCATTCTTAACTTACGTTTTGATGTCATTAGAATAATGACATTACCCATTAAAAGATTATTTCGCAGTCAAAAAAAAGACGACCTTTGAGGCATACCTTCCGTTAAAAAATATCAAAATCGGTAGTCGGTAAAATCATAATAAGCAAAGAAATCGCGAAATGTACACAAATGAGAATCAATACTTTTAGCAGATACATAATGACACTTGCTATTCAATCTACGACGTCCATTGCTGTGATGACGGTTAAACGATCTACCATTTTATTATTGGTTAAGAATAACTTATTTGGAATATTTTTTCTCTATATTCTAACTTAAAAACATATCTCTAAAACTAGCGACTCACCCTCGCTTAGATCGGATTCGTCCCTAGCTTGATCCCCTACAAACTTTCATTCCCATTATCTCCCCCTTAAGGGATGATTTCCGGGATAAAAAGTATCCTATGTCCTTCCCAGGGTTTCAAACTATCTTCTTACCAAATTTTATCTAAATCGGTTCAGCAGATCCAAACAATACCCCTTACAACGTCACAAACTCAGAAACTCACAAACTTTACCTCTTTATAATATTAGTATAGATTAGTGTTGTTTTGCAGAGGAGTATCTGTTCAAAGAGCTAATGGAGCTGGTCGACTTGGACTTAGGAAAAGGTACAGAAGACTCGTGCTCGCAGTTCCATTTCATGCCGCGGTTCATTCGATACTTACCTGAAGGTGGCTGTGAGGTAAAATTCCTGTTATATTGTGCTAGTTTCTGCCTTTGGTTTCGCCCATGTTTTGTTTTTCATGCCCTTCCAACATTCTTGCCATCCATAGTTAGTAAAAAAGCTGGGAGTTACTGTTTCTAGAATATAATTAATTTGCACGGTTATCCCATGGGGTAGAGACGGAAAAAAACCGTGTTCTACTCTAGTTTATGGTCTATGCCTTGTTTTACCGAAATATGTTTATTGATTTACATTTATTTATTTGTATTTTATTTGAGATGTGCAAAGGCGGCCTTATCACTATGAGCGATCTCTTATAGGCAACTGTTAGGGAAGGATACAGAATTAATGTAAAAAGCGGAATGTTGCATAAAGTGCAAGTTGTAGCTAAAGTGCAAGTTACTTAGAATTTAAACTAAATACACATACTTACAAAGTTTCGTACATATGATAATAATTTAACAATATATATTTAATATATATACATAAACGTCGAGTCGAATCTGTACATTAAATATTTTTTGGAAAATCTTATTGAAATAGTCATTGTTATTGATGCTGAGCCGAATATATAGTTTTTAGAAGTTTTGTCTGTCTGTCTTAAAACGCATCACTAGAAAACCACTGGACAGATTTTGATGAAATTCGGTGTGATGGTAGCTGGTCAACATATAGGATAGAAATTTATCGTCACTGAGAAATCTATACTAAACGTGTAAACGTAACTAGCGATGAACCCGAGCGGAGCGAGGATGAGTAGCTAGTTTTTTATATAAATATTTAGTAATTTATTAAAAAACTAGCATTGGCCGCGGCCCCGCCCGCGTTCTGATGACCAAAAACCAAATTCTTAGGTTTTACATATTAGTATACTCTAAATTACAGTTTTTGTATTTTTTCTCAGAAATTAGATATTTTTCCGCGGTAAAAAGTATCCTATATGTTAACCCGGATAACCAGCTATCATCATACTAAATTTCATCAAAATCCGTCCAGTAGTTTTTCCGTGATGCGGTCACAGACAGACAGACCAAAATTCTAAAAACTATAAATTCGGCCTTTGTATCGATAATAATGTCTATTTCAATAAGATTTACGAAAAAATATTTAATGTACAGATTTGACTCAGTCAGAATTTTATTATATGGATAGAAGAGATACGAGATCTTTTACGTTTAAATCTGTAAAAGATTAACAGTTTAAGTTAAGAATAAATTTTAAATATTATTGTGACAGGTATTGTCTATGTGCGAGGTTCTGAAGTATTTGATAAATGAAAGCGAATATCTGATCCCGCCGGAGCAACTTGAAGAGTTTCATGATATGGATCACTACAGTTGGCAAAAATTTGTTGATAGAATTAAAGGTAAATCAAAATTCCTAATTACTATTATAACTTTTTATAATTAATGTATAATTAATTTTACATAAGTAAATTCCTAATTTATTTATTTTGATGTATGTACTACATAATCTGCTAAATGATGCAATACTTTTAAACTGTTATTTTTTACACTTTAACGCTGGTGCTGGCATGCTATATATTAAAGAATTTGTATCTTCAAGATATACCTACTAGTATTCTGTAGTTATGTACATTTATTTTTATACAATTAAAAGAAATCGTAATTAAGAATTATCTGATTATAATCTTTGCAGATAAATAAAATTTAAGTGTCCTTTTGTAATGTCAAAATAACAGATTTTTAGTAAATGTATATGAAAGTATACATATGTATGTACATATGTATACGATACTAATAAGAAAAAACATTTCTCTAAATTTTTGTCTGTCTGTCTGTTTGTTTAATTTTGACGGGACCTTCACTGACAGATACCGATAAGGAGTAACTCAGGCTACTTTTATTTTAGAAAAAAAGGGTTCTGCGCTAAAAAATTAAAACCCATGAAATTGTGAACAAAATCGTACGCACCTGAGCGAAGCGTGGGTGAGTCGCTAGTTTCATCATATAAAAACAGCATAAAGCGAATTTGATAGTTCAGTAGTGATGAAACGGATAGATAGTAGTGGCGGTTACCAGATACCGAATATTCGGCTTTGGCATTGTAAGGTCGGATTTCCGGCGGCCGGATATTCAGTCTGTTCTCTCGTTGCATGTTATCGCAAAAATTTGGGGTTATTGGAGTATCATCGTGTATTAGTGACTAGCGTAAGTCAATTGTCTACTTGCTCAATCACTTTGCGACCCTTATATAATATAGTTGATGATCTGTTGGCAGTATTCTTACTTGTCGAAGCTTACCAGAGTGTACCTTTCAGCACCTTGCTATCTTTAGAAGTCAATTTCATATTATCAAAGGTAATATCATAGTTTTTAAATATCCGGTATCCGGCTGAATATTACGTTACTGTCTGATATCCTGCGGGATAACAAAATAAGGCTGGATAAGCTAATGGAGAAGTTTCCAATTTTTTTATGTATTAATTATAAAAATTGTAGTAAAATACTTATAACAAATATATGAAAGAATTATTAAAATATCTTAATAAATGATAAAGTTATGAAACTTTAAAGTTGCGCTTGTAAGATTACTTTTATGACGTCACACGACCTCAACGACTGAAAATATTAATTTTCATTCATATAAATGTCATTGATAGATTTCAAAAAAAAACACCTATTTATGTTATAATTCCATTGCGTTAAATATGATATTGACAACATCATGAAACTTCTCCATTACCGTATAATTGCAGGATAACTGTTTGATCTCTAATTGATCTCTAATTTTTACCAATATATTTAAGTAAAAGCGTCAAGACCACTAATCCATCCTTAGACATATAAAAAAGTAACTAAATAGAATGGTATAAAAAAGTATGTCTCATATCTAATCATACAACATTTTATAGATTATAAAATGCGATGCGAAACAAACGTTTTCTTTCAAAAATTGATTATTTTATTAGTTTTAAATGAAATTAATATATATTTGATTTTTCGTTCCTATGATTGTTATCTTTTATATAAAATACATTAATTCGGAAATATCTACCTTTATTGTAAAAAAATGTTCTATAGATTCTTAGCAGGGTTAAACCCCTTAAATTTTCAAAATTACTGTTTAAAAAGGGATATAAATGTCCACAGAGAGTTATGAATTTGAAGATACTTATAGAAATTAATATTTAAACTTATCTTTATATTGCTAAAGGGGGAATTTCATCAAGCTCACTGCTTTTAGTTAATTAATTGTTTAAATAATATATTCTCCGTTGTCTGCCTTTGGTTCTTTTTTTTATGTTATTATCTGTCTGTGTTTTCATTTTGTTATGTTACCAATTAAGTATGAATTACAGGTATGATAGTAACATATCCAGGGAAGAAACCGTGTTCAGTCCGCGTGGACCAGATAGACCGCACCCCGCCCACCACCGGCGATGGGAAGAGCTCTAAGGAAATATCTAAGACTTACTATCCGGAAATTGTGCATTTCGGCATAAGACCGCCCCAGTTGAGTTATGCAGGCAATCCTGAGTGAGTTTAGTTTTTCTTTCTTTTTCTTGTTATTAAATATATATTTATATATTTTATAGGCACTTTAACTTTTAATTTTGTTAATTTAAAAGTGTTGATAATTTAGTTCATACATGTTTCTTTTTTGAAGATTAAAATCTTAAATGAAGATAATTTTTTTATAACAAATGTTTTAAATATTTTTAACCGTTATATAATATAATAAAAACTAATAAACGTTAAAAAGTAATACTTTCTTAGATTTATGCGAATATTTGACATTTTATATTAATAAAACTATCTTTTCGGTCTTTGGATTATTTCGCGGATTTATTTTGATATTTGATTTGAGCAATCATTGTCACGGGAGAGACCGGAGACGGTAGTCTCTCTCGTGATCATGATTGCAGTATATGCTTTAGCATACGAAACATACTTTTAAACGTATTAAATTAATCAGATATCAAAAAGCCTGGCGCTACTACGTGAAGTATCGTCACCTGATAGCGAACATGGCGAAGCCGTCGTCCATGGAGAGGCAGAAGCTGGCTGCCAAGGAGGCTCGTCTGCAGGAGATGAGGACGCAGAGCAAGATGAAGAGGGACGTCACTGTGGCGATATCCTCTAAAGGGTTCTTCACCACGGGGCTCATGTGTGATGTTGTGCAGGTGAGGGTGTTTAATAGGATAATAAGGAGAGATAAACAATAAATGGCATCACTCACAATATTGCTGCCTGCACTTATATCTGCTAATGTAGTCTACAATGAAATGAAATTTTGTTTCAATTTATGATCTTGAAGATAAGCGGAAAATTATATATGCACCTTAAAAAAATATGTATACTTTCAATTACATTTTTTAAAAATCTTAAAGTAATATAAAATGCTTATATTGTAATGATACAGCAGTGAAATTTCGCAGTTTACTAAAGTAAAATATTTCATTTTATTAAATTAGAGGTTTTGCTCGCGGTTCAATTAAAGTAGTAAAAAAATGTCATTTCCATCAAACTATCCTAAATAAAATTAACCACGACTAGCACAACTGGCGGCTTCGCCCGCATTCAAAGTACAAAAAAACAAACCTGTCCCTTCCCTTTACAATAACGTATGGACGTCAGCCCGATTTGTTGAAATTTATGATTACTGCTTCCCTTGATAGTAGCATGTTGATATATAGGATAGGATAGGATAGCCTCAATAAACGGGCTATCTAATGGAAAAGGAATTTTTCAAATTGGATTAGTAGTTCCTGAGATTTACGCGTTCAAACAAACAAACTCTGCCTCTTTATAATATTAGTATAGATTGAAACTGTTACCATTACGGTATAATGTAGTAAACATTCCAACATACTAACTCAGTTTATCATTTTTAGTACTAGTGATAATACATATATTATACAAAATCCTTTCACCTGTTTCAACAATATCCAGTGCTAAATATATATATATATATATAATATATATATATATATACATATATATACATATATATCTTAATATATATATTTCTTGTGTGCGTGTGTATGTGACTGAACTCCTCCTAAACGACTGGACCAATTTTGATGAAATTTTTTGTGTGTGTTCAAGGGGATCTGGGAATGGTTTAGATTCACAATTTGAATAATAATTTTCATCAAAAAAATTATTAAAACGCTGAAACAGACCGACTCTTCGACCACGTCCAAAGGTCGGTTGACTTTGTGCTAGGGTACATCCCTTCCGCGGAGGTGGTGATCCTGGGGGACTTCAATGCCCACCACGTGGAATGGCTAGGATCACGTATCACCGATCACGCGGGAAGGTGTGCCCAAAGCTTTGTCCTGGCATATGATTTTAATCAGCTAGTAACTAAACCAACTAGGATCCCTGATATCGCTGATCATACTCCTTCTATATTGGATCTCTTTCTTACCACTCACCCTACCGGTTACCAGGTAAGTGTCGATGTACCTCTAGGGGGCGCGGCTCTGCTTTTCTTCTGAAGACCCGAACCTCTGTGCTGAGGCAATTGCTGAAGCTATACTCCAAGGTATGGAAACATGGGCGCAGCAAACACCGCAGAGACGTAAGCTCTCTTTGCGTATTTTATCGGCTATATAGAAAGCAATTTCACCCTCACCACCTGGGTACCTGGAGCACTTCGACTGTCCGTTGTGCCAGATCATTTTTTGCCTGCTCGTTTGCTCGCCTATATTATAAAGCTAGTATATATATATAATTGTGAGAGAGAATTAAAAATATGCTTTGACTTAAACAATAATATTTTTTTTAATTTCAGCACGCAATGCTAATACCAGTTTTAGTGCGTCACTTAAGATTCCACAAATCGTTAGACAGTTTAGAGGAAAAGATCGGATACACGTTCAAACAGAGAGCTTTGTTACAAACAGCCCTCACACACCCCTCGTACAGGGAGAATTTCGGAACAAACCCGGACCATGCACGTAATAGTCTCACCAATTGTGGGATACGACAGCCCAAGTATGGGGATAGACGGATACACTATACTAGGAAGAAGGGTGAGTTTATTATTGTTTCATCTTTAATTGATACAGATTTTTTTTGAAGTGAAACTTCTTTCGAATCGTTGCGATTTGAAATTCATTGAAACGGAAATGCAACACTAAAAAGAGACAAACATAAATATATAGGATTAAGCCGACGAGAGAATGAGATAGAATTCATTAAAAAGGTAGTAAAAAATAATAAAATTGATTACTGAATAATATGTAATGTGTATTTATGTCAAATAAAATGTAAAATAACTTTTAAACTTGGTAAAAATATTATTAAAAAAATAAACCTTATAATTATCCAACTCCTGATACTCTTCTCCCTCTCTCTCTCCTGTCCTGATAATTTTATCTCATTCTGTCGTTGTATGTCTGTCTCTAAGTATGATTAGATCTTTAAAACTACGCAACGGATTTTTATGGTCAAGAGGATTTTTTTAGATATTTACAGATTAATTATATAATAGATAACACAATACTGCTACTACAGATATTCTACCAAAAAATTGGATCATTATTTAGAGCTATTTTTATAAGCCTAAAAATATGATGAAATGCGAAAACAAAACAAATGTTGATTATGATAACAGTTTGAAAAGGGGCTTGCTTTTTTTCTTCCTTAATCGTGAATCCGTATGAATATGATTATGATTAAACAAAATATATATTCAGATAATAACATAATTGAATAGCACATAGCTGGTGGTACATTTTTCTCTTTGACTTAAATATTGATATTTAATTTAAATGTATTATACTTTAAAAATTGACCACTCAAAAGTTTTTGTAAAATCTTACGTCATTCATTCATTTATCAATCACTAGCGACTCACCCTCGCTTCGCTCGGGTTCGTCCCTGACTTGCTTCCCCATACAAACTTTAATCCCCATTCTTACCCCCTTAAGGGATGTTTTCCGGGATAAAAACTATTTCACTCTTCATATCATGAGATTTAAAAATAATCTTATTTTAGAAAAAAAATATTCTCTTTTATAATTTTCTTCTATACAAAACTTCCTGACAAAAACACACAAAAAAAAGAATTAAACAATTTAATGCAGTCGATCCGAAGTTATGCGCGTACATACATTTCGGTGATTCATTTTTATTGATATAGATTGTTGATTTGCATAAAATATATTTTGATTTGATTTATATTTCCCAGGTATTGTAACCCTGATCAACATAATGTCCCGCTTCGGAAAGCTGAGCGAGACCGAGTCGGAGATCAAGCACAACGAGCGGCTCGAGTTTCTGGGGGATGCTGTGGTGGAGTTCATCTCCTCAATACACCTGTTCCGCATGTTCCCCGGACTGTCCGAGGGCGGCTTGGCTACTTATAGGGCTTCTATAGTGCAAAATCAACACTTGGCGCAACTAGCTAAGGTATCTGTCTTCTATTGCCTGTATTTTTATGCAAATTAAAATGAAAAATATATTAAAAGGTAATAAAGGAATTTAAAATAAAATGTAAATAGTAGAAACGTGCACGCCTGACTTATTATTATATGAAATTACAATGAATAGTTAACATAATAACATCTTTTTCTTCCTTCGTACATTTCTTTCCACATCCCCAAATCTTCCAAGCAACTTAAGTTAAGAATTATATTCTTAGTATATAACGTAGACCTCCTAATAAATAAAATACGATGGACAAAAGATACATTTGTATGATATTTCAGGAAAACCCAGCCTCATGTTCTAAAACTTATATATTTTAACTAGTTTTATTAACAATTTATTCTCAACAATTTCTTATTTCTTTCGCTCCATTTAAAAATCACGGATCGCGTCCACCCCTGTCAACTTCTGTCGACCAATGCCATTTTTTGTTTTTTTTTTTTTTAATTGTATTTATATAATTTTTTTCGGCCTGACTATTCTCGTCATTTTTAACTGCCTGATTTGCAAAGGTATCATAATTTGTGCGTTCGCGTTGTCATTGTGGCCAGTATAGTCAATAACTGTTTTATTATACACTAGCGACACACCCTCGCTTCGCTCGGGTTCGTCCCTGGCTTGTTGCCCACAAGCTTTCATTTCCCATTTCATTTTTTCCCATATTTTCCCCATTCTCACCCCCTTAAGGGATGATTTCCGGGATAAAATCTATTTCACTCACTCACTTCTCATATCATGAGATATAAAAAATCTTGTTTTAGTAAAAAATATTTTTTTTTAATTTTCTTCTATACAAAGCTTGTCCTGATAATAAAAAAACACAAAAAAAGAGTTATCCAATTTGGTGCAGTCGATCGGAAGTTATGCGCGTACATACATTTCGCTGATTCATTTTTGTTTATATAAATTAAAGTAGCGAAACCTTACATATTTTCATAACGACATATTTAATATAAGTGTATATTATCCAGAACATAGGTCTCGAGCAGTACATGCTGTACGCGCACGGGTCGGACCTGTGCCGCGAGGTGGTCATGCGCCACGCGATGGCGAATTGCTTTGAAGCGCTGATGGGAGCGCTCTTCCTCGACGCCGGACTTGAGGTATTGTATAAAATGGCTATCACATAATCTATACATATAATAAAATTGTAATTAAGCTGAATCTGTACAATTAATATTTTTTGGAAATTCTTATTGAAATAGACATTATTATCGATACAGAGACCGAATCAATAGTTTTTAGATTTTTTTTCTGTCTGTCTGTTACCGCATCACGGAAAAACTACTGGAGGGATTTTGATAAAATTTGGTATGATGATAGTTGGAGCTAATGAGAACCCAAAATTTGTTTCTAATGGTTAAGTTGGTTTTTATGATACTTGCATTCCCGGATAGGCTTACTTTAATTCCGGGAAAAAATAAACAGTTTTCTTATACATATTCGTTTAGTGTTGAATTGTTTATGGTTAATTGTCTATAAATTGATGATTTCACTGTTGATTTATGTATTATCTACCTATAATAAAATTGTAGAGCGATTACTGACCTATTAATTATCAGCTATTTAAAAAAAAACAAAATAATAATAAAATTGATTTAATAGATGTAAACCTAAACATATGGTAAAAATTTATTGTATTTAGGAAAATGGTATTTAGGGAAATGGTTTTCCTGGAAAGAGAGTTTATAAAAATCGTTTTCTCTCATTCTCATTATTCAGTACTTTCCCGGAAAATTAAACAGGTGATCCCAAGAAAAGAGTATAGATATAAATAGATTTATGAAAATTTTAATTCTTACGTGGCGTTTCCACATATGAGTATCATGGATTTTGATATTTTTCATAGTTATTACTTATTTATCGAGTCGTATGTCAATATTATATATTACAATACTCTTCATTACCCGCAGGTAACAGACAGGGTGTTCGGTCTCTCTCTGTGGTTCCACGAGGCGGACCTGCTGGAGGTGTGGAGCAAGGAGCGACCGCACCCGCTGCAGGACCAGGAGCCGCTCGGCGACAGGAAGTACATCAAGAGCTTCGAGTTCCTGCAGAAGTTGACCGAATTCGAGGAGTCTATTGGTGTGTACATTCAGCGACTCACCCTCGCTCGGGTTTCGAGCGGAGCCGGGGTCCGTCCCTAGTTAAGTTTTAATATTTGGCATATATTTCTCAGAGCTGAGATGTTTTTCCGTAGTAAAAAGTATTCTATATGTATGTTGACCCGTACGTATAACCATAGGTGGTTCATATCAAATTTTATCATTCCAAATTTTCATCATACTAAATTTTCCAGTAGTTAATTATATTAGTGGTTATAGTTGTAATATTGTATGTATTCATACAATATTGTGATTGCCACTGGTGAATCTAATAAATGAATATATGTTTGAAGGTGTAAAGTTCAAGCACATCCGTCTGCTGGCGCGCGCGTTCACGGACCGCTCGGTGGGCTTCACGCACCTCACGCTGGGCTCCAACCAGCGCCTGGAGTTCCTCGGCGACACCGTGCTGCAGCTCGTGGTCTCCGACCGCCTCTACCGCCACTTCCCCGACCACCATGAGGGGCATCTCTCGGTAACACTCTTGCACTTGTCTGATATACCCAGGGCTGCCAGATAACAGTTGTTTATTTATCCGACCAATAATCCTCAAAATAACCCGGTTTATCCCGCCGGGGCCAACCATGAGCAGAATACCCGTAAATAGATTTTTTTTAAGTATTTATTTATGTTTTATATAGAATAAAAGATTACTAATGTTAGAAAAATAATCATTGTAATCAGTTCTCAATTAAACAGCTTTAAATTATTAAATCAAACATAAAAAAATGCAAATTCCCGTCAAAATACCCGCCATCAAAAATCGCTTAAAATTACCCGCTTTTCGGGTAATTTACCCGGCAATTGGCAGCGCTGGATACAACTAAAATATAATTGAACTTGGTTAGGATTGCATTGCAACCAACCGCTGACCAATTTTTTCGTGGGTTTATTTTGATTTTTGGTTCTTGACGATAAAGAAAAAAATCCAAAAAGACAGTTTTATTTAATTATCAAAAAAGTTACTGGATGCATAAAATATTTGTATACCTTCAACGAATATTTGAAATGAAAGCGTTGCTTAGGTTTGTCTTTTAGCAGAAAGCAACAAAAATGTTTAACCAGTACAAACAGACCTCGATTACATTTTTTATGTACTAGCGACTCACCCTCGCTTCGCTCAGGTTCGTCCCTAGGTACATTTTAACGCTTAGTATGAATTAGATTTTTTTGAATGTTTTCGATGTTTTAATAGTTATTCTGCTATTCGAGGTGAAGACAAATCCAACAAATCAAAGATCATAAAAATCGGTCCAGCAGTTCTCGAGTTATAAGTGTTGTAACAAACCTGACTTTGTTTTATATATATTAATATGTCTAAGTAAATATTTCTATTCAGCTGCTCCGGTCGTCACTGGTGAACAACCGCACGCAGGCGATGGTGTGTGACGACCTCAACATGTCGGCCTACGCCATATACAACAACCCCAAGGCCAAGCCCACCACCAAGAAGCACAGGGCTGACCTGCTCGAGGCCTTCCTTGGCGCTTTGTATATTGATAAGGTATTATTTGTTTTTTATTGTATATGTTTCGAACAGTATTATAAGGTATAATTCGCGTTTTTAAATAAGGATTTTTACTTTAATTTAAAAATTGTACTTTACGGTCCTCAAAATATGATGTATTTTTGCTTTATTACTTTATGCTAAACCTTTTCATATGTGCTTGTATGAACTATATATAGTTAAAAATTACACTACAAATAAATTACATGTATACATTTATATACCCCATATTACACATTATAAAATACTAGCGACATACCCTCGCTTCGCTCTAATGCTTCCCTAAGCTTGAATAGTTTTAGGAACACATTAAAGAAAAACGTCCAAAGGTTTCTTTTGCGACGGAAACTGTCACAGGCGTATACAGAATTACCCACCAGAGTTTCATCACAATCGGATCAAGGGTGTTGATGTTGATGAATTGGAATGCATAGAGGACAAACATACGAACATTCATTTTTAATTAGAAATATAGAAGATTATACATTAAAAGCTACATTTATGTTCTTTTCGGTAACAGAACCTGGAATACTGCCAGGCATTCTGCAACGCGTGCCTGTTCCCGCGACTGCAGGACTTCATCCTGAACCAGAACTGGAACGATCCCAAGTCCAAGCTGCAGCAGTGCTGCCTCACGCTGCGCTCCATGGAGGGCGGCGAACCCGACATACCCGTCTACAAGTATAACTTGGCTTTCTTATCATACATGCTCATCATATATCATACATTATACATATGGGGCACTCCACGCCAAATCGGACGGTTTCAAAAATTGTTATTTTTTATTTTCTTAATATTAAATTTAATACCTCTGAAAAGAGGATTCCTGGTAAATTTTGCTTTTTTTTAATGAGTGCTTAAAAAAATATCGAATTTACAAAAAAAAACCGCTATTTTTGGTTTTTTGCTCATGACTTTCTTAATAACTTACATAAAAAAATATATATCTTTAAAATGTTTTCATCGAGAATTTTGAATTTTAAGTTTTAAATGGTGTTTTTAAAACTATGTGTATCCATCGATTTCTAAAAAAAATCTATTTTAAACTTCTATCCATCATGCAACTTTTAAGCCCAATCCTGTAGTGGGCCTTCCATAAATACTAATTTTTTTTCTATTTTTAAAAAAAAATATATTATGATATATGATATTATGCTTAATTTTTAAAATATCAAGAAGTTTGTGGTGAACTCATTATATTAATAAAGGAATATCCCATAACGGAATCACTCAAAGAAGCATATGTTTGTTATTTTATAATATCGGCCTCTCACCAAGACAAAAAACTTTAATTTTTTTTAGCAACATTATCAAGGATACTGGGACCAGGCTATGTTAAGTGACTATTGTTGGTCTATTATAAGAGATACAGATGCAAATAAATACAAGAAAAAAACTAAGATTTTTTTTTTTGTAAATTAAAATAAAGAAATATTTTGGAAATTTGACGTGTTGGATTATTTAATTTTTTTTTAACTTAGTGCACCTTAATTGTTAAGAAAAAAACCTTTTCATTTTGAAGACAAAAACCATGTAAACTAGTGTAATCTATCCACTACCCAATAAGTGTCCTATATGTTTATCCCTAGGATGTATTCTAAATTTCACTTAAATCCGATTTACAGTTACGGTTCCTCCCTCACTAGCAACTTACGCCTTTACATATATATATATATATATATAATAACATAGTGTGAATTGTGTGGTGCAGAGTGATCGAGTGCCTCGGTCCCACGAACACGCGCGTGTACACGGTGGGCGTGTACTTCCGCGGCACGCGCCTCGCCGCCGCGCGCGGCCACTCCATACAGGAGGCGGAGATGAACGCGGCCGAGCAGGCGCTCACCACTGCGCACGGTAGGCACATTGCACACTACACTATTATACTACACAACACTATTTATTTATTCCTTCATTGGTTTTTTCTTAAGGAATTCCAACAAAAGACATACAATACATAAAAAATAAAAATATAAGGTTTGTGGACAGTGCTTAAAGTTTTAATGGAGAACACTAACAACAATGAGCAAATTATATACGAAAAAGTCTTAAAACTAACTTAATAGACGCCGAATATAGAGTAAATAAATAAATGATTTGTAGTGTAAATTGCTATCGTCAGTTTGTAATTTACAAATCATATACTCTCCATTTTACTAATGTTTATATTAAAGTAATTTTTATTTACTATTTTACTTTTATTTTTAGAATTATTCCCACAACTTGACCACCAAAAACGGATGATAGCAAAGAGCATGCGGAAAAAGAAGAATCGTCAGAAAGGACGTGATAAAGACCCGAACGCGGAGAAGGAAATTTTGTTCCAGCAGAAAAGAATTGAAAACAACGCCCCCAAAGCCTACAGACTTGATGCTCAAGATGAGGCAAGTTCAGACGAAAGTGTTCGAGAAAAGTCTGATACAGAACAAGAACCGAACTTTGAGGATAGACTCTCTGATGATGATTCTGGCCTCGACAGTGATCAGGAGTCGATACCGGATAAAAAACTAGAAAATATACAAGTTAGCAGTCTCCTCAGTGACATGGAAAAATTAAAGCAAGATTTAATCAAAAGAAACGAATACGATAAGCTCAAGGAGAAATGTCGCAGGAACGAATCTGATGAAGATGATTTAGCATTTGCACAGAACCAGTGAATTGGTTGGTTTTATAGAAATGTACTTCATATATTATTAATAGTAATTTAAATATTCCAACTGTATTCTTTAATGTCAAGGATATTACACATTTTTTACTTAAATGTATTAGAAACGATAGTTTTAAGATAAACAGACAAATGGCCGTGTTAAAATTAAGTACTTTAATCATATTTTCAATATATTTAAGCACACATTATGAATGTCGTATCATGAAATATCCAGTATAGAATAATAAATATGTAAGTCCAGTGAAATATTTATTCCTCTAGCTTTGTAACAATAAGCTTACGTATAATACATTCTTAACACAGTTTTACGTATCTTTGGTATAAAATCCATATTTAGGAAATAATAAAGCAGTTAACTTAAAAAATAATTATAATTATAATTTTATTTATAGAATCTATTATCCGGGCAGATAAAGAATAAATAAGAACTGATGACCCATTGAGCCTGTATAATATGCATGCTACAGTTTATAAGCGACAGTGATTTATTTCATTAATTTATAACTCCATAGAAAATATTTAGCTGTTAATTTCAAAGGTTATCTAACGGTCCTACGTTATTACAAAAAAATATGCCAACATTAAAATGATCTGAAGATCATTTTAAAATTAAATTAAACATTGTAAAATGAAAATATTTAAAAAGAAACCATTTTAAAACAAAAATTTCATTTTAAAAAGGGCATTCTTAAAGGTATTGCTTTTATTAAATGCCGAGATCGCGAAAGAAAATATTTAAAAAAAGATACAATTGTATGTTTGAAGGCTATACTGGGTATGAATATTAATGATGGCGCATTATAATTCAGTGTTGACGACATAAACTTTATGGTATATTTTATTAGTTTTTAAGCATATATATTTTATGTGTCATAGAAGTAAGCAAAGCAGATGCAATCTCTTTATGTAAGTAATGATATACTTTTTGAATAATTATTATCTAAAGAGGTGTTTTTATTTAATATTTCCTTTTATTGAAATATTTTAGATTTAATAATAGAAATATCAGACATTCCTAACTAAAAATCTTGTTTGTTGAAAATGGTTAAAATATACATAGTGTCATTTTTCTTACTATAACAAAATGATAAAAAATAATTAACTTACCTAAATAATTTATTCAAATATAAATATTATTACATTATGATTTCCCCTTTCGATATGTTCATTCGCAACCTTCGCCATTCAAAAATCATATAGATAAAAAAGACAACTACTTTTGTACAATCGATGCGATTGTACAAAAGTAGTTGTTTTGTAAACGGTTGATTATAAAAACCCATTGTATATGAAAATTTATTTATTAGCTATTCAATATATAATAGCGGCATTAAATAGTAAGAAGATAAATCAATGTTAATGAAATATAACATTTATCAGTATTCAGTGTAGCACGAGACAGCAGAACGCGAAGGCGACGGGTCCCCTCAGCTTGTTGGCGCGCAACGTCAGCCATTGCTTTTGATTCGGAACGTACATTTCCGCGGGCATCAGCTGTTCTTGATTGTCGGTTTCTGGAAATGTTATATAGATATTATTTAACCATGAAACCGTACATTTTTCCGGGATAAATAGTAGCCTATGTGCTATTTCAGACTACACTCTATCTCTGTGCCAAATTTCATCCAAATCCGTTCAGCCGTTCTAGTGTGATTCGGTAACAAACATCCATCTATCCAAATTGTCTTATGTACATATATAGTAGTACTAGCGACTCACCCTCGCTTCGCTCGGGTTCGTCCCTACTTACGTTTTAACGGTTAGTGTAGATTTCTCATAAATAAGATATTTTCCCATAATAAAAAAAAATCTATATGTTGACCCGGATACCCAGCTATCATCATCAAAATCCTTTCAATGGTTTTTCCGTGATGCGGTCACAGATAGACAGACCAAAATTCTAAAAACTATAAATTCGGCCTCTGTATCGATAATAATGTCTATTTCAATAAGATTTTTCAAAAAATATTTAATGTACAGATTCGGCTTAGTTTCAATTTATTATATGTACAGATTAAGTAAATATTTAAAAAATAGCTTTCATTAAATTATTAAAATATTTGAATAATTCTATTGATAGATTTAAACAATATTAGATTTGTCTATTACCCCGGCGTTCTTCGCTAGCAAGGACGAATATAAACGCTCGCTAACGACAAAAACATAGCACATTTTCTCATGTCTCTAAAATAAAGGTTATAGAGGTATAAGGTAAGGTACCTACATACCTGAATAACACGTCTTGGGATGTGAATTGTGATCGTTTCCAGGCTATATGATGTTCAATAAAAATGTGCAATTCAAAAAACGTTTCAAATATAATAATCCCGCTGAGATTTTTTAGGCTTTTTTACTTAGGACTGTGGTATTAATTGAAAAACTTTGTATTGGCTATTTTCAAGTATTAAGTGCGAGTCTAACCATTTTTGCGTATGTTGGCGGCGTGCAACGCGGGCTCCTGCATGGAGATGAGGTCGCCGGGCGCGTGCAGCAGCAGCCGCCCCACGCCCTCGCACCGTCTGCACGACACGATCATTGATACCTCACTTTTATATTATCGTATGTATGTATTCAGCCCTTTTTAACGTCCCACTGCTGGGCACGGGCCTCCCTTCAGTACGAGGGGGATCAGGCCATAGTCCACCACGCTGGCCAAGTGCGGGTTGGCGGACTTCACATGTCTTTTGAAAACTTGCTAGGTACTCTAAGACATGCAGATTTCCTCACGATGTTTTTCTTCACCGTAAGGCAAGTGGTAATCATGTTGGAAATGATTTGCACATGAAAATATCAGAGGTGCGAGACCCGGTATTTGAACCCGCTTCACTCGGTTTCCAAAGCGAGCGTGTTACCACTGGGCTACCACTGCCTTTTATATTATCACTATACTTGAATTTATCCCCTATTACGTCCCTGTGATGGGCACCTACGTCCGTTAAATACGAACTGGATCAGGCAATAGTCCACCATGCTAGCCAAGTCTGGAATTCACATGCCTTTCGAGAACTTGTTAGGTTTTCTCAGAAATGCAGGTTTCCTCACGATGTGTGTATACTTATTTGTATATTAAATTTCATTCAAATCTCTTTAGCCGTTTCAACTAACAAACAAACACACATACAGTCAAACCTTGCGTACCTATTTATAATGGCAGTCAGGATATTAAAATTAAAAAAATCATCAATGGTTTTTTTAAATTGTTGATGGTTTGGTAATTCAGCAGTTGATGGACCTTTTTTAACGTTATACTGAATTTATCTCATAAGTTACACAAAAGATACATTTAAAAACTTACGCATTTCATTTCTTGAAAAAAATAATAATATTATTGACTACAATAAAAACCATTATTCGTAAACTTATAATTTATGCAAATCAATCAAAATTCGTGTCGTATTAATTTTGGTGAATTTTTGAATAATTTTAGACTATACCTATACGTTTTATATATATTTACCTCAGAACTTCATTTTGTAACATTTGTTTCTTGGCCGGAGCTTGCAAATGCTTGCAATCGTTCAACCAGTTTCGTACTTCGTTGAAATCTGCTAAGAGCTGTAATGCAGCGTCTTTCCTAAATCAAATGAGAACAAAACTTACTGAATACACAAAAACACAACGACACTAAAATTAAATATTATTATTATCAAGTATTGTTTGTTCTTTAATAGGTCTCTTAAAGAAAAAATATCACTCTTAAACTCAAAGTGCAAACCACAATACCTTTTTTTTAACGTTGGGAAATGCATTTACGCTCGAGGTGTGGGACTCACCGGCAAAGCCAGTACTACCCACTAAAACCCAACAAAACCTTCCCCCGTCTTAATGGAGCGTCGCAGGATCGCTTACGCATTCAACTACGACGCCCCGACGGCAGGTCTGCCGAAGCAGACCACAACAACCACGGGGTTGCTCCACAGTCCACTCTGCTATCAGAGAAGTACCAGGAGCAACCCGCATGGTACACTGCCCTCCGAAGAGGGCCACCTCCCACCGCCCACCGAAGTGGGCAACCTCCCTGTGCGTTTCTGGGCTTCGCGCCCGGTTGGGTTGCCGGGTACTACTGAGCCCCCCCACCACGACAAGGTGAACGCACGTTGGGGGGGAAACCACAATACCTACCCAACATAAACCAAACTATGTATCAAAATCTTAGCACATATTTGTCGTATAAATTATTTGTGGAATCCAGATAACAATATTATAATTTACAATCGAGAAGCATCATAACCAGACCATAAAGCCAGGAGGTGATAGTAGAGCTCTTCAATACCTATCGAAGGTTTCACTAATCTTAACCTTCGATTTTGTAATCACTGGGTTCGTTGGTTTGAAGCGTTTTGCTTTAGTTTTTTTTAACTATAATTTTATCATACAGAAACATGACTGAAGCTTCTTAAAAGACCACCTTTAGCAAGCCAATATGTCTAAATTCAATTAAATTCTCCTGTTAATGGCTTCATAATGTAGAATGGCCAAGACACGAGTGAAATTGATCGAATGATGTCTAAAACATTTTCTTTATACAAGAGACATAAAATGACTTAATATAATTATAGTAATTATTATTAAATATCTAATTACGAAATATACTTACGTAAATTTAACCTTCGCGACGTAAATATGATGAAGCCACGACTCGCACATGATTCGTAATATCATATTGAGTGTGGTGATGTCTTGCGTCGCCATTATCACTGGTAACAGCATTTTATCTGAAAAGTTATTTTAAGTGATTTAAAATTATTTCTTTATTACATAACTTTATATTTCTGTTTCTGTCAGTTGAAGTTAATAAATATTAAAAAAAAGTTTTATTAATGATTAATTCAAAAAATATGCCCAACCTGTATTTCTAAATCCTGTAAGTATATGTTACAATTTAGCATTTATTTTGACTTCTATAATATGTTGTTTGTAGTATGTAGGTTTTTTTCTTTTGGAAAGTTTCCATAAGTATATAGGAACCATTACTTGCTAAAAGGTTGCTCTTTTTTTGATCAAACCGAATTAAATTACGTTCACAAAATAACAACGACGGTAATGGAAATACATTTTGACAAAACATTCTTAATAATAATTATTCTTAGATATGTTTAATCCAATCAACCAAAAAGCCCTTATGACGACATGTATGGCTCAGTTTGTAGTGACCCTACTTGCTGTGCGGTCGCGGGTTCGAATCCCGCTGGGAGGATTCATGTGTGTGAATGTTTGTACGCAGGAATCTTTGTACTGCAGTCTTAGGTGTTTGTATTTATAATATGCGTGTATTTAAAGTTATATATGTGTAGTGTATCAACTATCTAGTATCCATAACACAAGCCTCGTAGCTTACTTGGAACTAGATGGTGCTGTGTATATTGTGTACTGTGTGTCCCTTACCCAAAAAGTCCTGCACATATAATGAATGCTCGGGTCCGGGGACGGCTATGCGCCGCCACTCAGCGTTGCTCGGGAAGATCATGGTGAGGTGCGCGAGGGAGGTGGTCGCACACACTGAGGCTAGCACAGCTGTTATCTTTTCTATTGCTTCCTGAACATAATACAATAATTGTCAGTCGTCATGGAACATATACCCGATCATACTACTATTATATTTATATCAGCACGGTTGGGGCCTTATGTACCTAACAGTACAAACACCGCTAACCAAAGACAAGGTAATGGTGTTGAAGTTTTGATAAATTCTACTATATTCTTGGGTAGGTAATACACAGACTGAATATTTCTAGTAAGCGTCGATAGGAGCGGAGCACATACCTTCAGTTTCTGTATGTTGACTTTAACTTCGGATACTAATTTTTCTCTCATTTTGGCGCAAACATTTTCATGGACGCCAATTTTTCCTGTAAAATCAAAAAAATATCAAATACTTTGTTATATGAAGTAATTAAGTTCAAACAATTCCTATAAGGTACCTACACGAAAAAAAGACATAAATTCTTTCAAAACAACAAATACACATAACTTTGTCAACGTATTTTTTTTGTTATAATTTGAAAATTTGTAATGTCTATCTAGTGTAAAGTAATTAACATACGAATATTGTTTATTCTGATAAAAGTTACTAGGTAATTCTAATCCACCAATAGAAAATACATTTATTAATCATCCTATTTAGTTAGAATACGACCATTTTTATTTCTGAAAGAAATCAGTAAGTAATTCTAATCACCACTAACAGAATATATAGGTACTTACCAGAATCGATAGCAACAGAATGGTCAGCAAACCGCAAGCTATCCAGCTGGTCGAGACACGCGCGCAAGTCACGTTGCGACACACGGAAGAAGTCGTCCATCGCCCACGCGTTCGCTAGCGACCGCGTCACCGCTACGCACCACAGACGGTACGTGTGAATCGAGTGGTCTGTAATGTAGGGACAGAAGTATCTACTTTAGCTTTAATAATACAACCACAAATATCGATGAGTGCCAGAAAGAGATAGGTAGAATAGAGTGGTCTGGCACTTTGTGGAAGTAGGTACTTTAGCTTTAGGAGTCTTAAAGAGTCAATATTTTTTTGTATTATTTGGGCGCCGCAGGATCACTTACACACTCACCCACGGCCACCTATATATATATTATTATTATTATACCTATATTGCCGGACGTTACTGAGCCATCACCACGATGAACACACATTCGAGTAACATAATGTATGTATGTATTCAGCCCTTTTTAACGCCTCACTGCTGGGCACGGGCCTCTCTTCAATACGAGGGGAATCAGGTCATAGTCCACCACGCTGGCCAAGTGCGGGTTGGCGGACTTCACATGTCTTTCGAAAACTTGCTAGGTTCTCTCAGACATGCAGGTTTCCTCACAATGTTTTCCTTCATCGTAAGGCAAGTGGTAATCATGTTAGAAATTATTCGCACATGAAAATATCAGAGGTGCGAGACCCGGGATTTGAACTCACTTCACTCGGTTTCCCAAGCGAGCGCGTTATCACTGGGCTACCACTGCCTCGAGTAAGTAGCATAATACTAATACACAACTATTAGTACGTTTTATTTGCACTAGGAAAATAAGAATGAACTATTATTTATGAAATATGGATAAGGCAGTTTGACATTTTGACAGATGAGTATTCTGGACTATATGAAATTAAAATTCTAATCTCGAAAATTGCATGTTTAAACTTTAAACGTAGTAGGTATCTGGCGCATCATTAAAATCTGTTTGCAGAGTACAATAATAGCACTCATTAGTAACTAAAAAAATAATATTTAATATATTCAAAGGCATTTTGCAACAAATAACAATTTACCCAATCTATGAAGAATAGGTATTTGCTCCACTATTGGCAAGTCTTCCAAGGGCGCCCCCAGAATGTAATCCCACGTCACTTCGCAGTGGTTGTTGAGGGTGACTAGTTCTTTAAGCATCAGCGCAAAATTCGCGCCGGAAACTGTAGCCTGAAGTAATCAATGATAAAAACATTATAAATTTCTTTTCAATGTATATTTATGTTAAAAATTTATTATATAATACAATTTTTCGGGGCCCATACCGATTTTAATGTAGTTTTAGGCCCTTCTCCCATTACAAAACAAGTAGGATACAATACTCAAGTCGCATATTAGCTGAATACTTGTTGGCAACTCGATGTTCGCACATTACGCTACTATTTTCAGTAGGAAAATAACAAAATGCGTTGTTTTGTGTTTTTTAATGAACGGACGAATTTTTCGAGATGCGTAGAAGACGCGGGTCGCGGACGCGTACGATACCGGTAGCGTAGTGTGCGAGCAGCGGTACAAATATGTGCGACACTCCGCGGCGATCAGTCTCCGGGATTCGCGAGATACTAGATTCGCCTGAGCGTATCGTAATGCGAGAAGGGCCTTAATAGGGAATAGTGGCCTCATTTAAATAAACAGCAAATAAAATTCTCACGCTAAAATTCTAAAGGGCAGGAAACTTTCAAGATGAATTTTAATTTCTATTAAGAAATTTATTACAAAGTAATTGTTATAACATTATCCTAAATAACACCAAAAAATATTTAAAAATTCTTACTTCTGTGACGTACACCGAAAGGTCTGGATAATCCTTTAGCGATACTGGTTTTAGGTTTGTTGTTAATGTCGCCCTAAAATTAGTTAAAAATTGTGCAAATGAAGTAAGGATTAGTTGTGGAAATCAAACTTATAACCTAAATAGTACCAAAGTACTACTTGTAAGTAGCGTTAATTAGAAACGTCCGGCACATGGAAATTTTTTGACACCACAACAAAAATACGTTTTTTTTCCATATTATTTTAATATATTTTAATTACGGAAAAAATAAAATGCATCTAATTCGTTTCATATATTTATTCTTAAGGTTTTTATAACTATGTAGACGGAATTACGTAATACTTACCCAAAATGCTTGTCCCAAGACGTTAAAGTAACATGACATCCCAAAGCATCTGCCAAAATTCTTAACGATGATAGGACAAGATCTGGAGTATCTGTTATATGGAAAAAAATGTTTCTAAGTTCATAATATATAGGTACATATGTGGATAACTAATAACTTAATGAGTCAAAAACACTTACTATTATCATTGAATGTAGCAAATAACCACTCTCGTAGATTTTGGCATGTGTTAGGTGACCTGAAAAAATGGAACGGTAAAATTATATTAAGTGTATTGTTAGCCTAAAATATTTTATTTCGCATACCTTGTAGCTAAAGGGAAAGCAGACCACCATAACACAAGGTGTTCCAAGCAACTACCCACATCGCCCCACAGCAAGTTTTGATAATACTCGGTCACTTTTTGTGCAGCCTTCTTGCTGGCTTGCACTCTGCCTGTAGTTACAAAACATAGCAAAATAATAAATATAATGTACCTATTCCCTATTGCTAATTTAGATGAAACTTTTGAGAGGAGCATTTAGTTAAATTAACTATTAGATAATTTTTTTAACTTTTTAAACTTTATTATCGGTATAAAGTACAATTATAACCTGATTTAAGTTTTTTCACTCCTTTTGGTCCCAATAATAAAGGCGAAATATTCGAAACAGTGTCCAAAAGGATTTCTATGTACATTTCTTCACTTTGAAGTATTCCATTTACATTTTCTAGAAGAAAAGAAGAATTTCTTACAATCAAGAAATTAATTTAGATCAGTAAATACATTTAACTAAACAAACTTAGTAACTAAAAGTCATATATTATAACAGTGAATTAACATAAACTAATGTTAGGTCAAAATTACATACATATGTCGGGTTGTCGCAGATTTCTAAAGACTGTTTAGACATCGACATCGATAAAATCTAATTACGCTTAGAATAGCTACTACTAGGTACTTTTAACGTAAAATAATAAGATAACTATTAGGTTATTACCATCACTATTAAAGACATTATCTAAGACACATTCGTTAGTCAACAGTGAAGTGTAGGGAACTTCACCATCTGAATTTTGGGGATTTAGCATTTCAGTAACCTTTTTATGTCCATTCTTTAGTTCTACGAGACTTTGGGCTTGCTTCATTTTAGCTTTTTTGTTATCGATAAACGCTTGTCGACGTTTTGCTAGACTGTGACGACGAGAGGCAGACGATGTGGGTGGAGTTATATGTTTGGTCAAAGTACTGAAATAGAGGTAAAATTAAAACTAAAATACACTTTATTATCCACATCATCGTCATACCACATATTATAGAATAGACTTATATAGGCAACAAAGCTAAATCAACGGCGGGAAGTACGACATAGAAAAAATTATATTTACAAATTTCTTTAAAAAATGATATTTACAAAAGTCATTAACATTTGAACACTTAGAATATTGTTGATTGGTGATTAAAACTTACTGGAATATTTCCAAGCTATCCGCACTACTAGAACAGGAGGCACTATCTATGTGGTCGTCAGGATTGTACATCAGTACCAAACAGTTAATAAGACGGTGGCAATTAACCTCTGTGCGACTTTTTGCAAGAACCTAATCACAAGCACAAAATAAAGTGTCTGTGGTATGGTATAGATAGACTATATATTATATACATATATTATAATTATTTTCCGACTTAAACTTGGCGCATTGTTGTAGATGTTATGATTGTCGTAGATTGAAAGTAATCCGAAGTAGCGATTCCCAAACAAAATAATAGTTCTGAAATTTTAGATTATTCAGCTGTTCTTATGGGTTTTCCCTCTTTTTTATATTTAAACCACCTCTGACACATCCCCAAAAAAAAAACAAAAAAAAAAAGAAATATTCAAATCGGTTCAGCCATTTTTGAGTTTTAACGAGACCGAACGGCAATTGGTTTTTATATACATATGTATATGGATAATGACTGTAGTGGTAGCCCAGTGGTAACGCGCTCGCTTGGGAAGTCGAATAACGCATGTTTAAATCCCAAATCTCGTACCTTTGATATTAACATGTGCGAATTATCCCAATATGATTACCACTTGTCTGACGATGAAAGAAAATCCCTCGTATGGCCCTTGCCCAGCAGTGGGACGTACAACAGAGCTAACTACAGTATTTCTAGTAGTAATTGATATTAACTCACCTGGACAATTTTTGTTAACGTGAGAGGTTTTGTTTCACTAATAGTACTCGGGTATGTGTTACTGCAGATATTGAATTTGGCTGTAAATTTTTTGTAGCTTAAACCTATTAAATTGTTGTAAATACCAACTAAACTGAAAAAAGTTAAAACGTCGTATACATAATTTTAATAGTTGTCTAAAATATATTATAAAATTTTAGTGTTTGTAATAAAAATGCTGTGGAATCTGAAATACTTGTAAAAGTAACATTAGTTACCTATAAAGATATTTTGTTCAAAAATCATTAGTTTTGTAATTTAATATTTAATTTTTTCCTACATTTCTACTGCGTATTTAATCAAACAAGTACCTACTAAAATTTAAGTTTACCTTAAACAAGACTCGATTATTTTTCTAGAATCTTCTCTATGGAGACAAGTGGATAATATCGTCATTATAAGATTGTGTATGGTTTGTAACATTATAAACCTCCTGTTACACAATCTATCGAATGTATGATCGTGTTTGCTAATAAGTAGTCCATTTTCCTTTTTTAATCTAGCTAACTTAGGATTTAACTTGTAAAATGATTTTACTACTTTCGATAAATATTCTATTATTTGATCTAAAACCTGCAAAAAAACTCATTTCATAAACACGTTTTTTTTTCATAATAATAAAAAAGTTTTTACATATAGGTAAGTACTTATAAATGAGAGAGTGAGTGTATGTTTGTTAGTTCTTTACTATGTAACGCTTAAACGTATTAAAATGAAATTAGACATGGTAATTAGATATATATTAAATTAACACAATGCTTATAACACATTATATGTACCTACATAGAGTTTTACCGACTACGCGAACGAAGCCGCGAACAAAAATTAGTTTTTTAATAAATCAAAAGATTACCTGTATACTAACTAACTCCATAATATAGCTACGATTTAATAAAGTATGATTATTTATTTTCCCACCACAATCCTTCCATTTGTTGTCGGCTTCCAAAATCACTTTGGTTATAGCATAACATACAATATCCATTTCTCTACAATGGCTAAATAGCTCCTCCTCATCTACCGTTTCTTCGCTGATCCACTTTTTGCTAGTTATTTTTGCCATAGTCATGTTAACAAATATTTATTTTCTAAGTAAATAAACAAAAAAATATAATCTACGACGCTAACTGTATGGAGTCATCATGGGAACTGAGGTGTTGTCGTATTTTATAGAAAAGATCGATGTTTAGAGACGTCCGTACCAGCTTTCCTTACAAACTTAGCGTCTATGTTCTTGTAGGACAAGTTAGAATTGCTATCGTTAAACTTTTTATGATTGTTCAACCTCGACCTTGGTGGTAATGGAGTAATTTCGAAAATGAACGACCATTTCCAATACTTATGTAGAGGTCTTCGTTAAACAAAGTGTCTAAGTTAGTACTTTTTAATACTTTGTCGTTTTATTTTATGAGCTTTACGCATTTAAATTTATAACTTATTCTATAGCTACATCAAAGCTCCTGCACATTATTTATATAGTTATTACACATTAAAAAAGAACCAAAAAAGTAATAACACTTATTTCTTGTAAATAACATTTCTTGATTATTAAAAATTGAGCGCAATGAGTTACCTACATACTCGTATATTAGTGTCTCATGTTGGTTTATAATAATATTAGCTATAAAGTTAATTTAGCGCTGAAGTTTAGTTTAAAGCCAATTTTATAGATATTTGATATTAGGGCCAAGGTAAGCTCTAGCGAATCGGATAGCGCTACATTACATAATGAAGTTTGTCTAATAGCTTACAACAATTTTCAAGGTTTTCTTTTCCTAAAAGCAATATCTTTAAATATTGCAATGAAAGAAAATAGGCTATCTACTAACAAACTAATACATAAACCTCTTTTATATGTAGATATTATCGTAAGAGGGGTGTAAAAAAGTTCTCATAGCATTGTACAAGTATATTATATTCACGAACAATAAATAAATGGTTCTATTTAACAAAATAATTTGCTAAACATTCAAACAGTATTGCAAAGCGGTATTAGGAAGAATATATCACAGTAAACAATTTATTGTTACAATATAACATATTTCACTGTACAATAAAAATCATGCTACTTTACATAATACCTATATTGCCATAACTATTTTCTACTTAGTAATTACACAAATTCATAACCAATAAGCTCAGAAAGTACAGTCAATCACCTATATTCAGTGACGTATTCTATAGTAATTTAAACATAATTTCATACAATTTCAAAGTTAACTATTCCGTCTGACTGTACTTTTGTTGAAGCTTTATTGTTTACATGGAAAATAATCTTATAAACAAATTAAGCACCTATTTATATAACCACGAGAAATGCGATATGCAAGTTTGGATTATAAGTATTTTGTATTCTTAGAACGATGCCAATTTTTTATATACATTATTTTAAAAAATTGATATTTTTGTAATTTTCAGAACACCTAAATAGTCTAATAATTTAAAACGTTACAAATTACAATGTACATTCCCTAAATAAACTTACGTTAGTAGACAGTTGAGTACGTTCATATAATTAAGTATAATTTCATAACTTTATCTTTAATACATATTATTCATACAAACAAAGAAATTTTAAATACATATGCACAAAAATGTTAGCGTAAAATGAACATAACAAGTGAAAGTTAATCATAAATCTACCGACATAACTGTTTTTCTATACACGAAAAACGAACGATGCCATAGCATTGAAATAATGCAGTCGTGTTCATTTTTCAGGTCTAAATGATATATATCTCTGGCGAAAAGATAGATTGCGTTTAGACACGAAACTTAAAAGGAGGTTACGAACTCACTATAAAAAATTTTGCACTTATGTAGTTAAGTATACAATGAAGTGACTTTCGTTGATCGTCCAATTTGTTTTTCTTATACGAACATAATTAAAAAATAACATTATCTCATTCCAATCTTACTAATAAACTTCATGAAAAGTAAAAAAATATTGATATCTCTTGATACTTTCGAGTTTAAAATTTAGTAGAAGCAAATAGTCCAAGTAAATTCTTATAAAGGTCTAAAATTATATTTTTCAATTTGAAAGTGCAATAAAATAGATGCGAAAAGTGGACGGCAAAGTATTTCTTTTTGGTATCGGCATTCACTTCTCAATCTCATAGACGACTATGAATGTTCACTAGTAGATATTTCCATTGAAGGAAATAATTAGATTGGACTACCGACTAAAACTAGCCTTTTTGCACCAACATTTTCAAAGAAAAACTAATTATCCTATTTTGAGATCACTACATCTATAACTAAAAAATCCGAAAGTGTCACGTAATTTGAACTAGATCTCAATTTCTTATGAATTATCGGCAGAAAAACAAACCAAGGTCTCAGTCAGACAAAAGTTTTGGAAGATATAGATTAGTTTTTTTTAAACGGTCTAAAACAAAATCAAATTATTACACCTATACATATAATAAAATTCTAAGTGAGTCGAATCTGTACATGAAAAATCTTATTGAAATAGTCATTATTATCGATACATAGGCCGAATCTATAGTTTTTAGAATTTTGTCTGTCTGGGAACGAATCACGAGAAAACCGCTAGACAGATTTTGATGAAATTTGGTATGATGACAGCTGGCTATCCGGGTCAACATATAGGATACTTTTTACTGCGGGAAAATATCTCATCTCTGAGAAATCTACACTAACCGTTAAAAAGTACTAGGGACGAACCCAATTGGAGCGACGGTGAGTCGCTAGTATGCATATATGCACCTACTTCAAAATCTCTTAAACGTAATTATTCCACCGCGCAAAAACCCATAAAAAATACAGCCGATTTGGAGTACCTTTGTGAAGTCTGTCAAAAATACGAATAATTAAAATTTAATTACTTCAAGTCAAGCTTAGATTATAAAGAGTATACCTTGAGCACCAGAAGTACAGTAAGAGTTTAATTCGGAAATCCCTCAAAAATTAACTAGCAAAGATGCAGGAACCGTGAATGATAGATAAATTATAAAAGTTACATTCTTTTTAGGCCGGACCTTGTCTCAGCTATGCCGGTACAAACAACAATATGGCCTATGGAATTGAATCTAGATTCTTCTAATGCAGTAAATAATGACATACAGACACGCAACTGTAATATCAATTACGAAGTCGAATCCATGTTGACATTTACGTAAGTATTTATATTAAATACGAAAGTGTGTTTATTTATTTATTTTCTTCCATCGCAACGGATTTTTTTCTATAGAAACTTGATGTTTTTTTATAAACATGACTGCTTCAAATCTTGAGCATCAAGTGAGTTTGTTTGCTAATAACCCATATTCTATACATATATTATAAAAAAAAATCCTAATCCATTTACCTTATTGCATATTATATATATTTTTTTGTATACTGTAATGATTATTACATAGTTGTATGTTTTAGTTATTTGTTTAGTACATTATAAATCTAAAAAAAAATCAATTAAGCATATCCACGACCATAGTATGAACTACACAAATATAACCACTAACAAATATAAAGCTAAAAAGCTGTGTATGAATATAATTTTTTAAAATATAATACTAAAGCACTCAACACATACTTGTGTTTAACAGTCCTTTATATTCCACTAATTTAACATATATTAATTGTTTTTAACTTAAATATTACAACTACTGACCTGCATTTTGATTCTAACCAGGGCCCGGAACTGGTTTAAAAAACCCGGTTTATTTCGGTAATGTAATGGGTAATTCATCGATCGTTCTTTAACCGGTTAGTGAAACCGAACGGTTTAGTAAACCGAAATAATAAAGGTTAACGTTTATTCTTTGAGAAAGGTTGGTTTTCGGTTTTGATACCGAAATAAATCGGTTAATTCATTCATAAGTAAGAAACGTGCATTCATCCTTCTACGACGACGCGCCAAATGTAAACACACAAACACTCATTTTAACCTGTTAATTATATTCATGAAACCTAAATTCATCAAAAACCTTTCTCGCGAATTTAACGGGTAAAAAACGTAACCGAAACCTTAAACCGAAAAGCTATTCAGATTGGGGTCAATGAACAAAACCGGTTTAAAGAGTGAACGAGTTTGTGAGCCCTATTTCTAACATTTATTCAGTAAGAAAACTCTCTTGCTTGTTTGAAATCCTTCACATATTAATATTGTTTGAAATTAATGTAATAAACATTATGTACAAAAAACCATTCTGTTTTTAATATACAAAAAAATAATTAACACCTAAATTCAAATCAATATATAATCTTAGACTCAATATATATATATATATATATATATATATATATATATATATATATATATATATATATACATTTACAAAGCAAGACCTAATAATACCTCCATTTCTATTCATTTTTTTCATACTTCGTGTTTAATTGATTATATAGGTATTACTGATTCTTCTACCGCCTCATACGCAAAGTTATGCATGCGAATATAATCATTTTTTAAGGTAAGATGCGAAACTATTTATAATTTAGTTGAAAATATATGGAGTTATGTAACATGCATTGCAATCGTCTATAGCTTACAATTGAATTAAATTTTCTTATAAATGGCTTCCAATCGTGCCTATTGAACACATATCACTTTGCCAATGTCACGTAGAATGGAGAAAACACGAAGGAGATTGGTATTTTAGCTTACATTAATTTCATTTGAATAATCGAGACAATCGAACACACCAATTCCCATCGAACGACTTTTCTAAAAACAACCAATTTCACTATAATTGTAAGATAAAAAAATAGAACAGGGTGTAAAGTTATAATAAAATGTTAGTAAAAAGTTAAAAATGAATAATCGAAACACTGCATTAGTAACAAAACCGTCAATAAACACTGATATCTATACAATAACAAACTGATCTAATATACGGGTAATATCTTTGCGGGATAGCTTACAAACTTAACAATTTGTATTGCTTTATACAGAAGTTAGATATTTACAAAACACTAAAAAGTAAACTTTCATACCAAACTCTATCCATATTGATTTTAAAATTTTCATGTATTACAAAAATTTTCATACAATATAATTTATTGTATGAAATTTTTTTATAATTTTATCGTATTTATATGAAAACCCACTTGTTTCGTATACGGACATTGGACATTCGACATTCCTCACAGTACATATAAAATTTCAACACACCTAGAATTTAGCTAAAATTTTGGTCTTTGTAAATTTTCATATTAAAACCTTCAATACTAATATGAAAATTTACTTCGCATAATCCCATTTAAGTGTCATTTAAAATAAACACTTAGAAAACTGGCAAATTTCTAACAAGTGAACACACATTTCAGCACTCATCAACGAGTTTAAAGAGCATCAATCCGGCATATCGATACTCGTCACAGGCACTACTGGTTTCATGGCTTCGTTCTTCTTTTGATTTTTGTGAGACTTCTTTTCTTTCACTTTCTTCTGTATTTCCTCGTCCCTATAAGGCTCCTGGTTCATGGGTTCCGTTGGTATACCACTTGATTGATTTACATTATTATTATTGTAGGCAATATTCGCATATTCCTGGAGTAAAGGAAACACTGAGAGAAGGAACTGGCAAAAGTCTTTTCTGATTCCGAACCACCCTGAAAATGATCGTGTCTTATTTAAATGAAATAAATGTGTAACTAACACATAAATATAAGTTAAAAAATCTTTAAAATTATTACAATCAGAAATACAAATTATTGTAAATATAAAATAATATATGTGGTAGTATCAGAATAGATCAACGGGAGATTTTGATTTTCCATTGAAATGTGGAGTTTTGATAAAAACGTCTCCATGAAACAATCTATGTTTTTGCCAGATTTCATTGAAATCTGTTCAGCCATTACAAGAAAAAGGTAGCAAGCATCTGCATAATTAATTATAACTAATCTCAGATTTTAAACCTTTGTAATCTTGCTTGAACCTAACGTTATCTCACTTTATGATCATCATTAAGATTTTAAAATTTAATTAAAGTAAGTAGTAAAGCTTGAAAAAAGGTGGAATGACTTCAATGGTTTTATTTTATTTTAAATATTTGTCTTTATATAGGATCTAATAAAGGTCGCCTTGTGTGCGTTTTCATATATTAAGTTCTGAATTAAACCACTACATTTTATAACTCTCCCGCTGCTTTGAGTTTACGTTTCACAGCTAAACTCCGAAATCACTGTTCGGATTTCTAAACAGTTTTCACTAATAGAGAGAGAGAGAGATTATCTCGAAAGATAATGTGACGAGCGTGATTAATAGTAATTAATATTATAAACATGAAGATTCACTAATTAAAGTTAAATCGAACAAAGACATAAATAACAATTAACATTAGAACAGCAATGAATACATACAACACAAACACTTACATTTATTTCCTCCTTTGGAACTGAAGGACATTATGATAAGTGTCGCGTAAGTCACAAAGAGTGGACTCACCACTACTATATATGAGAGTGATAGTTCATCATCCAACTTGTTTGTTAATAGCACCTGCAACAACACGCAAATTATTAAATTATACTAGCGACTCACCCTAGCTCGTTCGGGTACGTCCCTAGGTGAATGTCAGTAGTCTATGTGTTACACCAGGTCATACATCTTTTCACCTTGTCGCGGTTTGGGTTCATTAGCGACCAGCAATCCAGCCAGTCGTAAAACCAAGACACACTGGGAGGTGACCTACTTCAGTGGGTGGTGAACCACGGGTTGCTCCTCTGATAGCAGAGTGGACCGTGGGAGCAACACCTTGGTTTTCAGGGTCTGTTTCAGCAGGCCCAACGTGGAGGCGTCATAGTTTTAGTATATAGTTTATCGTCATTATAGACGCCTTATTAAGACGGGAGAGGAACCTTTTTTTTTGTGATTAGTACTGGCTTTTCTAAACTGCGAGTCCTATAACCACCTGTATGTATGCAAGTGGTATGCGTAAATGTATTTCCCAATGTTAAAAAAAATAGTTTGTTTTTGTTAATTATATTTGTTAGCACATTAATTCTTTTTAATCTTTCAATCTCACTCTGATTAGTTATTTATTATTAGTGAGAGCCTGTAGTGCGTAATTATTACAATATTTAATGGTTTTACATTGTAAAAAAATATTTTTACAATAAGTTTTCTTCATTTGAGATTGCTAATAGAATTAGCTCAAATAGATTACCGTTATATAGATTGATAATGGGTATAAGATAAATATTAAGTTAATAATGCAGACTAATGGAGCGTGGAAGGACGAAGTTAACAGGTTCGATATTCATTTGAGCTTGTAAACATGTTTTTAAGTATTTGTAGCTTTAAAATTTTGCAAATAATTGCGAAATTTTAATCAGCAATAAAAAAATATTACTTTAGATCATATGATCTCGTTTGCGGATCGACTTACCTGAAATACTAATATGGGTATAACAGTGAAAGTATAAGCCAGGGCTGTGTTGAAACTTGTCCGCCTTTGCTGTAAATTTGCATCTGGCGTCCGTAGTAAAATGCCCGCAAATATAATGCTGTAAAGCACCCCTAAAACAAAGAGCTAATTAAAATTTTCTAGTCACAATTCAAAGGGGTACTAAATAAATTTCAAAAATCATACATTATATTAAAATTTAAATAGTAGGTACTATAAAGCGCATATTATAAATAGGCATAACAATGTGTTTTCCCAATCTGACTTATACGAGTCTGATGAAAAACTCAATGACAATACTAGGCCCTACTATTAACTCGGATCGAACGACGCATTTTTCAAGTGATTCGCAAATACATCTATACTAATATTATAAATGTGAAAGTTTATACGTTCGGATGTTTGTTACTCAATCACGCCAGAACGGCTGAACGGATCTGGATGTTTGGCACAGAGATAGATTATAGTCTGGAATAGCACATATGCTTCTTTTTATCCCGAAAAATGTACGGTTCCCGTGGGATAGGTTTGTTTTATTTTTCTAGAAGCGAACCCGAGCAAAAAGAGGGTGAGCCGCTAGTAAGATATTATTCTATCATATCAGTATAGGAGTAATACAAATGTTAATTTAGTCTGGTTTAAAATCTCTATGATTTATTCTTATCTATTCTTAGATTTGAAAAAATAAATGTCATTTTTGTTATCTGCACCCTAACAAACATGCCAATTTAAAAGTTGCCAATTTTACATGACATGAGAAAATGTTTTAATCACAAATACTATACTATTTAATTTAAGATATTACTAATGTAAGATATTTATTCATGGTTTGAAAATAAATAGCATTTTTTATTTATAATAAAGAACACGCTAATTTTAGTTCTAGTAATATGTGTTAAAAAAAATAATATGACAAGCACTTGTCTACCCTAACAATAATGTCCGCAATGTGATATAATAAAACATATGGGATTTGGGTTACTACAAATGGCCTGTTGAGATGCTTTCATTAAATGACTTAAGAGTTGAATGTGGTATACAAAATAATTAACAAAATGTTGGATTTCAGAACAAAAATTAAGTAAGAAAATAAAATCCTTAAGTTTTCATAGCAAATATTGATTTCACAAATATTTATATGTTTCAGTCTTTCTACCAAAACAAATTGAATTTTTAAGTACTTACTGGTAGTGGTAAAGGGTTTTTTTACTAAGCCAATTTTTTTCACAGAGGTAACAATACCTTGCATTACTCTAGCCCATAAATAGGGCTAGAGTAATGCAAGGTACTTTTCATCTCATATTTATTATTTATTTATTATATAATAGTTACAGTTGGATATCAATCCATTGCAAAAAATACTTGGAACTTGTCTAATTTTATTACTTAAAAAACATAGTTAATAAAAATCACCACTCAACATTTATTTTAAATATTTACCAATATAATAAAGTTATTGGCTACAATACAGTTTTAACTTACATAGTCTTTATCATACAAAAAAAACAGGGAACAAAAGGGAATAAAATACAAGCAGTTATCATGTTAATTCTATTATATCAATACAGTTTTGTCACAGAATCATGAAGAGGGTATAGAACAATTTAGAAAAAACAGTGCTCTGTTGTCTATGTCCTAATGTAGTCATAAAGACATAAGGGATTCTTTTCATTTAAAGAAGGTTGAAAAATGTGTCATGAATACATCTGATGCTACTATAAAGACCAATTAACAGAAATTTACTGATAAAATAAAAACTTAAATTTTCAAAACTTATAATTTTTAAAGCAAAAAATCCATGTTTCTTTCTTTATGTATGACTATAGAAAGTTAAAATATTATAAAGGTATACATACACTCACCTACAAGGCTGAGGCACATAAGAATCCATAGTGGAACAAAAACAACTTCCCAAGACCAATTAATGAAAATGTCCAATTTCAATGCCAAAAATATAAACTGAAGTATATTTACAGCACAAAACAGTTCCAACTGAAAAAAATAAATAAAAATGTATGACATTTAAGAATATTAATTTGTACAAGGCTTTGATCTAACATATAATAGAAAACAAAGTTTTGTCCTACAATGTTGCTCAGCCAATTGAACAGTAATCTATACTAATATTATAAAGAGGCTTACAAACTTTACTTTGTAAGTTTGTGACGTTGTAGGGGGTAATTTCTGGATCTACTGTACTGATTTAGATAAAGGTAAGATAGTTTGTGTAAGGAATCAAGCTAGGGACAAATAATATGTATAGTTATTTTGGTAATCAAGGAATTATTATATATAATTATAATTAGAGCCCATTTCTAAAATACATATTTTTAAAATCGATTATCTATACTAAGAGGTAGTTGGCGAGTTTGTGAGGTTGTAGAGGTAATCTCTAGAGCTATTGAACTGATTTAGATGAAATTTGGTAAGAAGATAGTTTGAGACCCTGGGAAGGACAAAGGATACTTTTTATCCCGGAAATCATCCCTGAAGGGGTGAAAATTGGGATGAAAGTTTGTATGGGGAATCAACCTAGGGACGAACCCGAGGGAAGGGAGGGTGATTTGCTAGTTATATATAAATATAATGTAAATAGGAGTTTAGATGACATAGACTTCAACAGATTTTTTAACTATATTAAAATGAGTCACATATTCCCGAAGTATAGTTAAAACATTCAAGGTATTTTTTAAAAATAAATATTAAACATAAAATAATTACTATTGATTTTGTCATCATAGACAAAAAAGAAAAATCATTTTTTATTTAAATATATGTTTATGATACAAACCTCATAGCTACGATCATGTTTCACACACCAAATGCAAATAGCAATGGAGATTATACTTATAAAAATAAGTGGTATAAAGACTAGTATCCAATAGTGGCGGGATGTAGTTAGCTGATCACAGACAAGTAACTCAAACATAAGTAATATTAGATGTATGGCAAGACTTATTAACATTGCTTTGTAATGAATGTATGCTTCACCTTCTAACCTGTAACAATATTAAACAAAATTTATTCTAAACACCATATAAACAGTTATTTCATGCACTATGTGTGTAATTACAAGAAATCTTAAAGAGATTTAACAAATATATAACTTAACTTATATTTTATGGAATTGTTTAGCATATCATGACAATAAAAATGTTATAAAGATATTTTTTATTAAACTTGAAGTAGTTCAGACCTGAAATGAGGATATTGCCACCAAACATATGTACCCACTGTAGCACCCAGGATAACGAGGAATTTCCAGATCCATATTGGTGTAAACACTGCCCAGTAGGACCATGTTATTGTGTTATCCAATTTTAAAGCTAGTAGGGCCGTAAATATCAGCAAACAAGTGTGCACGACAAATTTGCTGCACAAAATAAAACACAAAATTATATATTATAACTATACACATTTAAATATACATTAAAACATAATTTAAAAAAAATATCAAACACTATTTACCTAGGATTAAAATCCTGGAAAAGGGTCTGTAAATTCATTTCCATACACATTTAACTGTTTATTTGCAAAATCAAATAACATTTCACAATAACTTCGGGGTCGAAGTGTTTGCTTTTTTTAATTACAATTTACAATTTAAGACGTCTGACATAGATTATATAAATGAAAATAGTGTTGTCACACCGTCAATAATATGTCACTTTCTTAGGGCTTTTTACACTATGCTTATTCTAAAAAACGGTGTGTCTATTAATCCGATGTAATCGTATGAATAAAAAATATTTTATTCGTCCGACTATTGCTTGTGGACTATTGTGATATATTGTGACTGCGACTATTTTTATGTTTCTATAAAAAGCAATTCTAAGTTATCAGATAAGTATCAAGATATAGTTTTTAAGAATATCGATCATTAAAATTTAAGCTTTCTGTAAAATGAAGTCCACCTAGCCTTAAATATGAAGATTGTGATTTTGCCAATTTTGGTCATCTTATTACTTTAGCCCAAAATCTCTTTAGTTTTTTTGTCTTTTGGGAACAAATTATATCCATTTTCTTTGCATCAAAAAAAAACTCCAAATGCTTGAATCATAGCTTTCTTGCAGGCATTTTTAGTTAGTTAACAAACTAATTAATCTTAGGAACGATAAAATGACCAAAAAATTTTATTTTTAATCGGATGGCTAATTTTAAGAATTTTTACTTCGCTATCTTTGAAAGCCAATTTTAGCCAAAGTAGCCCCATTATACCTTTTTTTTTCGCTTGATTTCGATCGCTTGCGCACACACTACAACACCCCTGCGGACGGCCCGTACCTCGCGGGCCAACCTCGCCTAAATCAGGATGCCCTCGATTCACAGAGCATCCCGACCGCCCCGATGACGAGCCCCATTATACCTACTTTTTATTAATGATTGTAAAAGCTGAGGATCTGGCGCATTCCTAAGTCTACTTAGGAACCATGAAGTCACCTGTTTAGATTTTTTTATTTAAAGTTGAAAATTTAAGTCATAATTGACCGAACGTAAATTTTTTACTTAAGACCAACATTTTATACCTTTCATCACAGTTACAAAGCTGATTAAGAATTATTGAAATATTTCTTTTTCGCGCATTACTTTTCCAACTTTTAAATACATATTGCAGCATTGTGAACGTGTTTACGTTTGCAGTGTTTCAATAGAACTAATCGAAATATACGTTCACTTTTCAAATGAGCTGATATTTACCGAGACGGATTTCTTACGCCACACGATATCTAGTAGTATTGTTGATCGAAGACCATATTAGATAACATAGATGAACAAGTAAAATTTGACATTATTAATATGCAAGCATCATGGATGACAAATAAAAGCAAGCATCTGTTTTAGTGAATAGTCTGTTTCTGTAACTGACATTAGACATAAAAAAATATTATGAATTAGCCAAATTTCAAAAGTAAGACGTCAGGGTTTCCAATTATCCAAACGACTGCTATAACAATCTAATATATTAATAGTATTAGATATTTAAATTACAGAAGCTTTACATATATTATCGAGCTTTATATTTATAGGTAGATTAACATTGACAACATGGCCTCTCCGTCTCCGAAATCACCAGAACAAAGTGAGAAAAATAAACAGTACGACCGGCAATTAAGATTATGGGGGGATCATGGCCAAGCTGCATTAGAAAATGGTCATGTTTGTTTGATAAACGCTACTGCTTTAGGAACAGAAATATTAAAATCCATTGTTCTTCCTGGTGTAGGAGCTATAACGATTGTTGATCATATTATAGTAAGTGATGAAGATATAGGTAGCAATTTTTTTTTGGAATATTCGAGTAAAGGACTAAATAGAGGATCAGAAACTCTTAGACTTTTATTAGAGTTAAACTCTGCAGTTCAAGGACATGCTGTACAAGAAACACCAGAACAAATACTTCAAGATAACCCTGATTTTTTTAAATCTTTTAGTGTTGTTGTAGCTACATCACTTGGAGAAAAAATTATTCAAGATTTAACACAGCATTTATGGGATATTAATGTTCCATTTATATTATGTACATCTGTTGGCTTTTTAGGATCTTTTAGAATACAAATAAATGAACATGCAATAATTGAAACACATCCTGAAAATGAACAAATTGATTTACGTTTGGATGTACCATTCCCTGCTCTAGCGGATTACTTAGATTCTTTTAATTTAGATAATCTGGAATTAAAAGATCATGGTCATATACCTTGGATTGTTATTTTATATAAAGCTGTCCAGAAATGGCAAATTACAAATGAAAATAGGTGGCCTATGAGCAGAAAGGAAAAAAATGGAATTAAAGAAATTATCCAAGAATTCATACGAAAAGATGAAAATGGTATACCTATTGAAGAGGAGAATTTCGAAGAAGCTTTAAGAGCTGTTAATACTGCTCTGGTCCCAACATTTTTGCCAGTAAAGATCCAAAATCTTATTTATAGTAGTTCTGCTATAAACTTGTCCAAAGAAAGTTCACCATTCTGGATAATGTGTTCAGCACTAAAAGCTTTTGTTGAAGCAGAAGGAAAAGGAAAGTTACCACTTAGAGGTGTTTTGCCGGATATGACTGCTTCTACAGAACATTATGTAAAGCTTCAAAGTATGTATAGGGCACAAGCAGCTATGGAAGCCGAGATAGTTTATAGAAAAGTACAGGAAATTGTTGCCCAGCTTCACTGTGATCATATTAGTGAAAATGATGTTAAACTGTTTTGCCGACATGCTCATGATCTTTATCTTATGAAAGGTTCAAATATAGCAGCTGAATATCAGTTAGGCAATGCTGTAGCATCTTATATAGCAAGATATTTGGAAGAACCTGATGTTTTGATGGTCCACTATATAATGTTAAGAGCTGCAGAAAAATTTAGATCTGAGCATTGTCGTGCACCTGGGGAATGGGAACCAGAAGGTGATATAGCAAAATTAAAAGCATGTGTTTCTAAACTTTTAAGTGATATATCTTGCTCACCATTTTCAAAAGATGATCATATTCATGAAATGTGTAGATATGGTGGTGCTGAAATTCATAGTGTATCTGCTTTTCTTGGAGGATGTATAGCACATGAAGTCATCAAAATTGTTACAAAGCAATACAAGCCTGTTAATAACACTTTTATATATGATGGAGCTTCCTCTAATACTGCTGTTTTTACGTTTTAATGCTGCTTGTATAATTAATAATAAAAAAAAACACAATTTATGTACAAGACTTTTATTAGAATCTAATAAGAAATTAAAATTCTCAAGTTTAGTGAACCGATAGAATGTTCATCTCTCAACATTATAATTTCTTTACAAGAAAAGAAGCTTTATTTTTTTATTATCTTTTGGGATAACAAAATTATAAAAATATTCCAATAAAAATAATGGCCCACCAGCACTGATTAACAAAAGGGATTATAAATAACAAAGATGCACTATAATTCTTCAAAGTTGTGTATTTTCAGAAAAGATTAACCATTTACTTATTGAGATAAAAGAAATTGCAAAAAACATTTTCATTAACAATTTTTAACACATAAATTAGATAAAATAAACATATCACATGATCAAAATATTATTTGAAATAAACTATACATTTGGCTAAAATCAACATGGCAGGCTTAATGTTACACCATTATTTAATACCAGCTATCGCCCTTAGTTTCATAAAAAAAATAAAAAGCATAAATCTAATATAACATTTATGTTTGCCATTTAAGTAACCTTCCAAGGTATTTTTTTATACATATTATATGATTTTGTTAAAAACTATTTTTCAAAGAAACAACCTATTAGGAAAACCTAATCTATGGGTTTATGATGGTATTTCTAATACAAATCCACGTTTTCTATAAAGAGTATCTTTTTTTATCTAGAACATTTGTTGTACTGTTCCATAATTTGACAATTTTATTATTTGGTATGGTAATAAATTTACTTTTTTAGAAATATCTATCTTATTTAGTCCTTTTTAACATCCCACTACTGGGCACAGGCCTCCCTACAATATGAGGGGGATCAGATTAGGAATATGTTAAGAGTTATATAAAATTAGGATATTTTATCTATATCAAAGACAATGTACAAAAATGACCCCTAATTGATTTTGACAAGTGGTATAGGATAAAAACAGTAAGAATTTTTGTGTATATATATATATATATACATACATATATGACTGAGACTGTGTAGCAGCAGATAGTAGAGCTACAAACACAACAATGAGAATCTCTCATTTGTTATCTACTTATTTCACCTTAACCACAATTTCAACCGCAATGCATCTACCCCATTTAGGTAGTATCGAAATAAGCGTTTATCTCTCACAAAGCCAAGATTTTCATAAAGTTTTAGTGCAGGTTTGTTTGTGATTTCTGTTTCTAATACAACTTCATCAGCATTGTCATCTATCATTGCCTGAAAAAGAAAAATATATTTCAAATAAAAATAGGTTGTAGTTATTTATAGTTCTAAAAACCTTGATATATTTATAATAATTCATAAAACAAAATTTCCCAAAATTAATTCACTTTTAAATTTTGCTAAATATTTATTTGCAACAATAAAAGGTAAATTTAACTTAAACTTTAAAAATATTATTTGTTGTGCAATAATTTTATGATTGTCTTTAAGGAGCAATAATCCATTACAACTCTAAACAAAAAGAATAAGGTTTGCTTTACCCTTATTGCCTTCTGTACTAATCTAGAGCCAATCTTCTTTTTCCTATATTTTTCATCTACTGCCAACATAGCTATATACCCTCTTTTAACATTATTTCGATGCATATCTAACTTACAAACAATGGCACCAATACATTTGCCTTCATGACTTGCCAAGAAGCAAAGTTTAGGCCAATTATGAATAAAGTATCTATAAGTATAGATAGAATAAGGTTCAGATAAATCTTTCTGAATGAGCCTCATAATCTCTGGCATTTGCAATTCAGATTCATATGACAATATTTCAATTTCTTCTTTGTGATCTTCAAGAGAAGAGTTTGCAAGGCTTTCAGTTTCAATTTCCTTACTACACCTGACCTTATTTGAAGCATATGTTCCACTATTCTCGTTCGTTTTTATTTTCCCGACATCACTACACTGTACACTATTTACATTCATTTCGACTTCACTAGGTGCTGCGTCTTGTGCTTCATTTATATCGTTGACACTATCTTTAGAATGATCACTGGTACCATTCGTTAGGTTACTATTAATTTTGTTAATATGAAGAGTATTAGCTAACGTTTCATGTAGTTTATCATTCATTACATTCCATTTACATATTGCTACAGGCGTCTCCGAAGGATCTTTGGCCTTTTTATTATTTTTATTTTTCGTACTTGCATTTTTCTGGCTGCACTTCATATTCTGGACATTTTCATCGGAGAGTTGATTCATATTGACGATATGCTATCTATTTTATGTACACATTTAAACAATCGCAAGCTCATATAAATTTCATAAAAGCATTGTATTATTATACAAACATTTTCTTGTCAAAAACGTAGGTGAGTATTACCGACATCTTGGTACAAAAGTAGTACCTACATAGCTCGATAGAAAATGTTAACTGACTGTACTGTTCTATATTTTTAAGTAAAAATCTATTTATATAGAAAAAGTAGTAAGTTAAAACCAGACGTATGAAAATATTCAAGGAAATATATTTACGAGAAGATCTTTAATCCCTCCACAATCACATTGCAAAAATGATGAATTTTTACAGTGTTGCTCTATCAAAAATTGCAGTTATTTCACTTGGCAAAGATTAATGAAACGGAATACCTTTAAAGTGCATTCCAAAATCACATGAATAAGTTTGTTTAAAACGCGTTCAATTTTGAAATTTTGATAATCAAAGTGGGGACTAAATTTTTCCTTTTTTTGGATGGATTTTTTTCATTTAATTTAAAATTTAATTAAAATGACAAATTGTGCAGTGGCAGCATGCAAAGAAAATGGACCATTTGTTCCCAAATGACAAAAATTGAAGAAATTGTGGGCTAAAACTATAAGATGACTAAAATTGTCGAAATTACAATCTTTATATTTAAGGCTATGTAGACATCATTTTAAAGAAAGTAAATTTAAAACTCTTAAATCGTCTACACATATTTTTTTTAATTTTTGTACCTTTTTACATATTAATTACAGAATTTCATACAAACTTGTATCCCCTATTCTACCTCCTTATGGGATAGAATTTCGAAAAATGCTAAAACACGTATTTATTTAATTGTATTTAACCACTAATACCAAGTTTCAAATAATTCTAATTATAAATAAGTCTTTGCCCATACAAACTTAATTACCCCCTTTTACCTTTTTAAGGGATAAATTTCGAAAAAAACACATATAAAATTTTTCTTATTTTTTATCTTAAAGCTAGACCCCACTTTCTGTGTGTTTTAACTTTCACATTATGAATGACAGTTTCATACAATCTTTAATCCCCTATTTTACCCACATAGGGGATGAATTTCGAAAAACGTTTTATACATAATGAATATGTTCTCCAAATTTCACGTTTCTACAACCACCGGTTTAGGCTGTGTGTTGATCCATCAGTCAGTCAGAACCACCGCAGGATGCACATCTCCTTCTTAATTCTTCCTTCAGCTGGTCTAACTTACACAGTTAAAGATGTGAATACAATAGAAGCATCAAGCACAACAGGCCATACGTGTAGCGCCCTCCTTTCGAGAAACCTTCCCTGTTAATTTACTTTTTTATTATTATTTAGTAATTACTATGCCTCCCACTTATTTTGCAAATAATCATAATAAAGAAGTATATAAAAAAAAAGAAAATGACGATATAATATAAATATATATATTTCCTTTTATTTCAAATATACATACTTTTATAATGCTATATTTTCCAAAAAAGTTATTAATATTTTTATCAGTATTAGAAAAGATAGACCAAGTATTAATGGACATATAAAATTCTAAAGACTTACTGTACCCTTCCTGTACGATTTCTAAATTAATGTGTAGTGAGTATACTTGGCCCCCAATATTGATAATAATGGATAGTAAAACTTTTCAGTGGTTACTAAAAACTTTTGAGTTTGGGCTCTTTTGATTCTTTAGAAGGTTTTTATCAACTTTGTGGTTGATAAACACTTAAAAGAGCGCTTCTTAAAAGTTTGGCGATCACCGGTAAACTATATAATTAGTAACTTTAATTAATGCATTTATAATACTAGCGACTAGCCATCGCATGACGATTCGCTCGGGTTCGACCCTAGGTACGTTTTAGAGGTTATTATGGAATAGATAGACTGTTTTATCTATACATAAAATAAAATTGTAACTAAGTCGAATCTGTACATTAAATAATTTTTAGGAAATGTAATTGAAATAGACATTATTATCGATACAGAGTCCGAATCTATAGTTTTTAGAATTTTTGTCTGTCTGTCTGTTTTTTTGTCTGTCTGCCTGTCTGTTACCACATCACGAGAAAACCACTTAACAGATATCGATGAAACTTGGTATGATGATAGCTGGTTATCCGGGTCAACATATAGGATACTTAATACCGCGGGAAAATATGTCATTTCTGAGAAAAAATACAAAAACTGCATTGTAAGAGTATAGTCATATGTAAAACCTAAGAATTTGGTTTTTGGTCATCTGAACGCGGGCGAAGCCGCGGGCAATGCTAGTTATAATATATAAGCAATAAGAGGTATATGATGTAGCTAGGTATAATACATATAGAGGTATTTTCATTGCAAGTATGTACTATCCACTTTACGTATTGCTGACGTCATAGAAAAGTAATATGGCCGCTAAAAGCGCGCTAGTGTCGCGTCGTAGGTAGTGGCTATTCTGTTGAGTACTCGACTCGAGACTCGCTCACTCGACTCGAGAGACGAAAAGTCGACTAAACGTACGTTATACGAGTTCTGAGTTCAGTATCCGGTTGACAGCCGGTGAGGCGGCGGCGCTATGTTATATTAACGTACGATACGCGCGCCGCCTCTGCGCGATTTTCTATAATTTGTAAATATGTTTTGTACCCTAAATTATGTGCAGTTTAAGCTAAATAGCTGAGTGCCAGTGACGGTGTAAAGAGTACTGACTAAACCGTATATTCAAACGCAATGAACTGTAGCACAGCTTGATACATTTTTAATTCTGCACTGGTTAAATAATAACATTGATTAATAATAGCCAAATATTTATGTGTAGTATATGATTATTAAACGTTCAGTTCGGAATTTAGTGGTGTTCAGATACAATGAAATATATTATGTGTTGCTAATTATATTAGTAAGTGTTACAGTTGACTACTGTTGGAACAGTTATATGTAATTAGTATTGTCATAAAAATTTGTGAGGTGAAATTAATTGTCTAGTTTGATGATTTCCAAATCAGCAATGGCGGATCGTGAACGTCCTGCAAAAACCCCCATCAGGGTAGGTTTTTATGACATAGAAAGGACCATTGGCAAAGGAAACTTTGCCGTCGTTAAGTTAGCACGACATCGAATAACGAAGACTGAGGTAAGCAATTTTTTTTTGAGAAAATTCCTGTTAGAATGCACTAGGCTATTCTTGCATAAATCTTTCATACTTAAGTTTCATTTAGTATAAATAAATAAGTATTAAATGTTCGTAGAATACCTAATTGAATAATCAACTAATCGTGAGACGAAAGTTTCCCCTAATTTAAATTTTATATATGAGCAATTTGTGACGTAATTTTTAAACTGTTAAAAATTGTAGTATATGTAAGTGTACTGTGGTATTAGTAACATAATATACGTTGCAGATCTTCTAGAAAAAATGTAAAAGTACTCTAAAAATGTTGCTTGGAGCACTGGCTAAGCCTATTTTCAATGTAAATAATCTATATTTTAAACAATGTGGTCACATCGGTTATATTTTTTCTTATTTTGATTTGTAAAATAAATATTCTAAGACAAGATGACAGTTTAATTGGGTCGGTAATACATTAACAATAGATTTACATACAGGAACTAATCATTATGCACGTTCTATACTTAAGTATTTGTTATTAAATGAAATATTGTTTATGTAAGCCATTTGATTAGTAATACTTTATCGTTTCCTGTTTAACAATTACCTTCTATAAAGCAATCGTATTAGGACATTTAACCTTCGAACGGGTTCATAAATAACGCTGTTGGTTTTCGTCATATTAAAAATATCCACCATAAAAACTATAATGATAATTTTAGTCACAAACAATATGTCACGCTTACTTTAATACGCTTAATTTCAGGGTACGAAATTATCAAGATAAATATATCTTTTGATAATTATCACGATAATTGTCAGATAATTATCCGATAATTATCAAACAGATATAGACTTTGCAATCCTTGTGTAGGTATTGGTATTTGACTACTTGCCTATCATAATTTACTTTAGAATAAATTATACACTTTTAACAATCAAGATAATCTTTTATTATTATTATTTTTTCATTATTTTGACATACAAACTATGAAATAAAAACAGAATAAATTTAACCAATTATATAGACACTATTTAATTAAATTAAAGGTCTCTGCCCACTATACCGTCTCATACCATGACGTGCTAGGACCATAACAGGACCGTGGCAGGCAAAAAAATATTCTTTGTATTGAAAAGTATGTGACTATGCCCACTAGACCGTTCTATCACCGACCAAGACCTTTCCGCCACCAACCAACACTGTCGCGTGCCGTGCATAAAAAGTTAATAATAATTGTCGGCAAGAATATTTTGCCGGTGCCGATACGCTCCGTGTCTGGCACGCAACGTTATCGAACCGGTGCGCGCGGACGGCGAAACGGTGAGCACACTGGTTATAACTGCGTATGATGATCGTTTAAGCCCGTTATAAACGTGTTGTCGTTTGTCTTCTAGTGATAATAAAATAAAATAAAAATAGCCTTTATTAACTTACTACTTTCGTTAACATTTTTCTTTCTTTTGAACACAACTACTTATACAAATCTTTGGGACTCTCTATAAGTGTATTTGTAAATGTTTTTACTTATCTATATAAAACTATATGACAATCTATAAGTAAGTGTTATAAAATCATATGACTAACTATAAGTGTACTAACTTTTGTAAATCTATATTTCTATATCTATATGTGTATGTAGCATAAAATAATAATCAGTATATATTAGTAGTAGTCGGCTCTGCGGCGTAGGCCTCTCCTAAACCTTTCCAAACATCTCTTTCTCGAGCCTTTTGCATCCAGTCATTACCACACCTGTGTCTGTAAATGTCTCTCCCATCTTTTACTAGGTCTCCTTATTCTCCTTTTCCTGTCCCTTGTAATCCACTCTGTTAAAGGTTTTGTCCATCTATTGTTCATCCTGCAAACATGCCCTGCCCATTGCCAATTTAGTAATATAATTCTTTTCCTAGTGATACTTAATATAAATAATATATAATAATATAAATAATTAAACAGAGTGAACATAGTAACGTCGTGATCGACTGATGTTATTCTCTTTCTTCCTCGTCTAAAACAATGGCTATCATTGTTAATTTTCCGTCGGACAAGTTTCTAATGGCCATCGTATAGGTATAGGAAATAATTTTTGTAACAAAAATATTCACTCGCTCTTTCTGACGCGGCTGTCTCACGCGAAAACACAGTTTAACTACTACCACCGAGAAAACGGGAACTATACGAATATGGCACGGGGATGATACGTGGTTGATACGCGAATGATACGTTCTAGTGGGCATAGTAGTCCGTGTCGTTTATTTCCGTGCCTGATACGTTCATAGCACGGTCATGGCATGAGACGGTGTAGTGGGCAGACTCCTTAATGAGTGAAATATCATCAACCTCCTCAACTGCATTAACTCAATTTGCTGATTGAGTTTTTTTAGCTGATTGAGAGTTCAGTAAGCTGATCGACAATTTGAAGGTTTACAAATTAAATATTTTCAATTATATTTATCAATGATAATTATCGTTTCGAACCCTGCTTAATTTAATCATTTATTTCAGGTAATATTTTCAAAAAGATCTTAAATATGTAAACAGAGGCCCACAATATATATTCACCTTAAAAAGTAACACACACACACATATATATATATATATATATATATATATATATATATATATATATATCAATTTTAAAACTTAAAAAACCTAAAAACTTGAAAAAAAAATATAGTAATAATAATTTGCAGTCCAAGGCAAAAAAAAGCTCTTTAATTATCGAAATAGCATATGACCTATTGAAATAAATGTTAGTGTTTTTTTAAAATAAATGTTTGTCACCTAAGCAAGATAAGCAAATTACTAATATAATGCATCGGTTTTCAACAAAGCTATCGGGTAATGATCAATAAGAAATAAGTATCTTTTTATTAAAATTACTAGTATGTACCTAACTCGAGAATTATGAAATAGTGATACAAACGCTATATCCTTTGTAAGGGATATAAAATTTCATAATACCTACAACGATGTGACATAGCTAATTTCGAATAAAATCTATTTAGTAGACTAGATTTTATAGTACGTTTCATAAAACATACTGGTAAAAAACTTTTAAAAATAAAATAAAAATCGACTTCCGGCACTAAAAAGTAAAAAGAACTAAACGGGTGTTTCATTTAGAATAGATATCTAATCAGATATTTTCGAAGTCTGTGCCAGCCGACAATATTTAAAGATATGAATATCTAATAGGTAAATATGATTTGGTATGAACTTTAATTATAGTTTAACTATTATACATCAATTTGTGACGTATTTTAGGTATCGAAATAGGTATAAATTAGATTTGCTTTGCATCGGCTGGCACCGACTTCGAAAATATCTGATTAGGTATCTATTCTAAATGAAAACCCCCGTTTAGTTATTTTTTACATTTTAGTACCTGGAAGTCTGTTTTAAGTTTTTATTTTTCCATTTTTAGTGCAGGTTAGCAGGTAATTTGTGAGAAGAAAGTTTTTTAATAACATAAAAAAACGAAACGAAAAAAAAATCAAATCGGTTCAGGCGTTTTCGAGTAATCGGTGAACATATATAAAAAAACAAACATTCCGACGAATTGTGAACCTCCTCCTTTTTAAGTCGGTTCAAAATCTGTGGAAAAAAACACGCATACAAAAATCACTGCAGCTTGAATGCATGCCATGCAAGTGTGGTGTGAGAGCAAGTGTTACGTCTAGCCACGTTAACACCTCCAGGTAAATTTCTAAGAAATTAATTAAAATACTACGAAATCTATTGTTGACTAAAATATTGTGAAAAGGTCATGTAATTAATTAATATCTTATCTAATATTTGGTGCATATACTTATACAAAGTACTAGTATCCTGAAGCTAGGAAAGATATTGATGATCCTGACAGTAATGAAAAAGATGTTTTTATTTATGAAAATTCTGTTAGTATATATAAGATTATCTATTTATTAAATTAATTAAAATTTTATGATTTAAAATGGCAGCTTATATACTTCTCATCTAAATCATGTATACTACAATTTTACGTAACAATAGATTATATATTATTAAAATAAAGTAGCCTATTATGTCGCCAGAATGCACTATAATATACTCGTATACAGAATAATCTATACATATAATAACTAAGCCGAATCTGTATATTTAATATGAAACGTCGGGAACCAAAAATCAAAATAAATCCGCGAAATAATCCGAAAAGATAGTTTTATTTTTAAAAATGTCAATCATTCGCGTAAATCTAAGAAAGTATTATTTAATTTGTTTTTGAAAATATTATAGAAATGGACATTATTATTGATACAGAGGCCGAATCTATAGTTTTTAGAATTCTTGTTTGTCTGTCTGTCTGACCGCATCACGGAAAAACCACTGGAGAGATTTTGATGAAATTTGGTATGATGATATATATAGATATGATAGATGGTTATCCGAGTCACAACATATAGAATACTTTTTACTGCGGGAAATTATCTCATCTCTAAGAAATCTTATACTAAACGATAAAACGTAAGTAGTAATACATATCTATAAATAAAGATATGTTATCGTGAAACTAAGTATTTAGAAAATCGATTGAGATTGCCGAGCATTGTGAATCGCGCCCTAGTAATTATTAATTTAAACATTTTAGAAAATGATATCTAATATTTTGCGTCGGTTTATTTGTTTTTACATGCATACGACAAAAAAGCCGTCTCTACCTATTGTTTATTTTACTGTGTCAAATACACATTACGCCTTTAGAGTATAGACCAGGGTCGATGATTTTTAAAACCAAAAAAAATAATAGTAGGATGCAACCTATTAGAAAAGGAGGGGAATATTATAAAAATGAAAGGAAAAATAATTTACGGGCGATCTGAGGTCGGGAAGGGGATGGGGGTGAGTTTTTAAGGGTAAAAAACGGTTTTTCTCGATTTCCGGCAAAACTAAAAGTCTTATCGAAAAAAGTCAAATGGCAAAGTTGTAGGTAATAAAAAGATCTAATACTTTTGTATTTACACTTTTTTCACATAACCTAAAAATTTATGTGAAAAATTCAAAAAACCAAGTTTTTGGTTTTTTATTTTTATCTTTTACAAAAAAAATTTTATTTAATGAAATTTTTAATATATTTTTTATATATTTAGACATTTATTTCTTTAATATTAGTAGCATTACTTACATATAAAATAAATTAGAAAAAACAACCATATTAGTAAGTATACCTATTATAGTTCATATTTTAAACCACATTTTTTATTTTCCGTAACAAGCCTTCAACGTAAATAATTAACAATAAATGGTGGTTAATTTTATTTCTCTTCATTTCCGGCTTACGGATAAAGGTAATTCGCACAATAAATATAATTCATGCAGGAAAAAAATACATTATTTTTGTAACAAGGCATAATACCGCTTTGTAATTTTATAAATAAACTAGCATTCCCAAACCAAAAACCAAATTCTTAGATTTTACATATTAGTATACTCTTACATTGCAGTTTTTGTATTTTTTCTCAGAAATGAGACATTTTCGCGCGGTAAAAAGTATCATATATGTTGACCCGGATAACCAGCTATCACTATACCAAATTTCATCAAAATCCCTCCAGTGGTTTTTCTGTGACGCGGTAACAGACAGATAGACAGACAAACAGACAAAAATTGTAAAAACTATAGATTCGGCCTCTGTATCGATAATAATGTTTATTTCAATGAGATTTTATAAAAAATATTTAATGTACAGATTCGGCTTAGCTACAATTTTATTATATGTAAAGACAAAAATATAAATTTTAATTATTTTTACTCCTTATCTGGCTATAATTATAAATATTATCATGACCGATAATGTTATGTAACAATATACTTATCTCAACTTGAGTAGAATGTAACGTTTAAGGAGCTAAAATCTAAAATCTCTCTCGTAGCTAAATGGAGAAATAATAATTAGTATTGCTTCAGAATTACATAATATACGCTTTCTTTTGGTATAAATGTTGTCTTGAAATTAATTTAGATTATTTATTTTATTTCTTAAGCTCATTAAAAATGTTAGTATGATTTTGATGAAATTGTTTAATAATAAAGAAAAAATATATCCAGTTTCTGTATTGTACGTAAACGACACGTATCTGTTATTATTAGACGGGCTGAAGTAGTGCAAGAGTGCATTGAAGTGGGTCGTCGCCCCAATACCGTTGGGTATGACTCACTACACTAAAAACTATTGTAATTGACTATTTTTATTTAGTTCAAACAGATTATATAAATCATTTGAATATTTTTGTTTTAAAATAATGATGCATGACTGAAATTTACACGTGGTGCTACGTTAAATGAAATGCATCGAAAAACCTAATAGAGCCGTTCCAGGCCTTCACCACGTTTAGTGTTTGCTAACACATGTCCTTCGTTTCGTCATTCAATATATTAATTACAATATATTAGTATATTATATTATAATTTTTTAATGTTTCATTTTATTTCTCAATTAAGTTGTAGCATACGAGTATTTTCCTACCTACACAGACGGTTCGTTGTTTTATTGTTTAATTTAATTTTACGTGAAACTATTACCATCGTTCTGATTGATTTTTTTATTTATGTTGTTCTTACTGGATCTACTTCAATTTAAAAACTCTTATCTTACATATAATATAAAACCTACCTCACATAGTTATTTTACATATTACTTCTTGCATTCGTATCTACTTCCGAAATAAAACATTTTTTTAATGTGCTTATTAAGAAAATCTTGATAACATTTCCATGAACATAAGTATCAATCGGCGATTCGGCATAGTTTGTCGACTGAGGTCGACTGTGCGTTGCCGCGTCCCAAAATACCACGGCATCGACCTTGTCTTCAGATGCACGCATCATGTTGTTTTTATTATTCAACATTTTTCCGTGTGAACCATTAGCGCCAAGGTGACGGCCAGAGGCTCTCTTATGAATAGCCAATATCTGTACCTACAATTCTGCAGTCCGATGAGAATAATAGTTTGCTTATCGAAAAAAGATTTTTTAGCTTAACTGCTTTGTTATAATCTATAAATTTATTTATGTTTTCTATATAAGTACTACATTGCTATAGAGTGCATGTTTCACACGCATCCACTCATCGTGATCGATGCTGTATTATCACGATTTGATAAAGCGCTGCGCATATTGCAAAGTGATTTGTAGCGACGATACATATCTCACGCAACGAAACGAAGTGGAACTTAGCCATTGGAAGCATTAAAAACGTTAAGAAAGTGATCATAAACATGATGCGTGACGAGAACATATAAGTCAGGCAAATATTTTGCCAGGAAACATTTCGTATGGCACGCGTTGAGTTTACACTGGGGCGGTTGAAAAATGTTCGCTTGACGCAAATGCGTTATCTATTTTGGAGTTCTGCGTCAGAAGTTCACTCTTATCTGTGTTCTGCAGTCTGGCGGTCATCTCGGCGATGTCTTAAATACTTAATTTTACGCTCAAAACTTTCTCCCAATGTTTTGATCATAATACCTAGTTATAAACGCTAACCTTATAGATCGTAAATAGATATATACAAAAATATGATACGAAATAAGAGAAATATCCTACTTTCTAATCTTACTGTCAAAAATGTTTATTTTGAATTTACTATTATATTATGTAGTAAGCGTTTGGTCACTCAATGTGCTGGATTACGTTTTCCGAAGTGCTATTTAGCACTTCACTTTTTCTTCCGTTTGAAAAACAAAGCTGAAACGACCCGTTCAAAAGTTTCTCTTCTTTTTACTAGTACTACTAGGTACTCTAGTTTCATACCTTTTATCTTAACATAGGTTATAACAAATAGTTTGTAGTGGTAAGTTGTATTATTTTTATATTTCTGACTACATTAAAAACTTAATTAAGTACTTACTTTAAAAAATATTTTTTTATTTATTTATTTTCATTCGGACACAGGTCCATATTTATTCATCCATTATCATCCATTATATGTATATCAATACTTATTAGCTCTCTTATAGAGGAAGGAAACCTTAAATACCTACCAGTCAGCATTTCCCTATAATGAGAATTGTCTTACAGTATAGATCACTTATTGGAACAATTTCGTTCCTAATAATAAGCATAACATATTTCAAATTAAAGCTATTGTACTGCATCACTAGTTATTTTCATAACACAAATATTCTTTTTATATCCACGTAGTAGCATCTTTTGTTACTAGATGTGAAACAAAATATTCAGCAAATGTGAAACTCGTGTGCAGAGCATTGCACTGACAGTACCGAACAAATTGAATCTAGTGGGGGTAGGTAGGTATCCTTGAAAAAGGTTTTCCGTGCCTACGAGGGGTGGGAGGTACTAGAATGGAGGGCACTACGCTTCCCATCGTGGTTTCGTTCGACGTAGACGAGTAAAGCACTTTAAAACTACGTACATTTAACGTGTTTCTACCCGAGAGTTGTAGCTGTAAAATGAGAATTGCTGCAAATAAAATAGAAACACCCATGTCTGCTAAAGGTTACATTTACTTTTTTGACATGCACTTACTATATTTCAAAATAATTACGATTTAATTATGTTATTAAAAGTGATATGTAATCAGATAAAAAAATATATTACTATTGAGTATGTTCTTGAAATAAAATTTAAATAAAAATGATTGTTATACTATTTAAATTAAGTCTTAATGTAAGTCAAGGCGTACTTTGTTGCAATAAAAATTCATGCAATGATAATTAATTTGACGCTCTCATCTGTAGAATTTCACTTCATTATTCCTACTGGCTTTGCAATGTTGCAAAATTGAATGTAGTGGCGCCATCTATTTAAACCAAGCACAGGCTGGGCATATGAACTGAAAGCAGAGTAAGTACTACGCAGCAATGTTTCATTATACTCAGGAAAATACTACGTGCAGCGTAATCTCAAGTAAAGAAGCTCGAGGGAGGGAGAACCTTATCTATCTTTGTCGCCCTTACGCTTTCCCGCTTCCTCGCTGCTATTGATCGCCGTCTAGACTTGTTGATCACTGTGAATTTGGACGGGGATGGATACATAAAGCCAAGTTTTCGATGCATTCGACAGCCGTCTTGTTTATCTCTTGAGTAATAAAAATGTTATACTTATTATAAATATATCATGTTTCTCCTCTATCGTCATAATAATTGATGCGTGAGATTAAAGCAAATATATGAGACCACGAACATCGTCGCCCAAAATATTGCGGTGACGCGTGGATCTGTTTAATAAATGTCGATTTCAGTCGTTAACAAAAGTACTGACGTCATAAGAAGATTTATATCTTACAAAAAGTACTCTACCATTTAATAAGCCGCAGGTGCGTCAATAGCTGGTATATAATATAATACATACGTTGTCTTGAGGCTTATCATAATTATTATAAAGGTGTGTACACACTGAACTCACCGGGTTTCCACTGAGTTTGCTTGACGGGCTAATATTGGAAAGAATCTTGCTAGCAAATAGCGGCATATTGGCAGCGTGTGCGTGCCCTGCATTTGTGTCGCCGGCAAAGTCGCCTGGCTTATAACGTCTTAACACCACCAACCCGTCTCACAGTTGTCGCTGAGCCGAAGTTATTCAGTGTGTAGACACCCTTAGATAAGAATTGACGCAAACTTCCGTCATATAAGTTATAATCCATGATATTTAAGTAATATAAGTAAGATTTTAATAGTACGTTGTTATTATTGCTTTCCATAAGTATTAATGGTTACTAACGACCTAAAATAAAGGGTGAAACAGGCAAAAAGATTTCAATCTTTTAACATTAACCTACGTTACGTTAACAAAACTTTTATATATAAATTATAATATTTCTAGACATTAGGTTTACCAACTACACAAAAAATACTAGGGTCTAGTCTGACCGCTAGCGCTATAACCCTTGCTTTAAAAGGTACGGAGAAAGAAACGCAAGAAGTACAAGTTTACATGTTATCGGTACTACCGACTACGCATTATTTCTAGCGATATTGGTTTTCCTTATTTTAATTATTATTATATCTACTTGTGTATTAAGGACGATGGTAATATATTATTTATTTGTTATTTCATTATCTTTTTTTCTTATATGAAAATATATAGCCACAATAATATTGACTTCACTTGATAAAGCACTCGCCATTATTACATAGTATGTATGTCTCATAAGTTTAAACTTTAATGTGTCAGTCTGATACAAATAGTATCTACTTGTAAAATCCTAAGGCTTTGATGATTACAAAAACTAAATAGACCACTTCTTCAGCAGCTACTTTATAAACATAAAAAAAAATATATTTGTTCCATAATATAGCATTTAAATCATGCAGGAGTCGTTACCAAAAAAATATGTTAGTATGATGTTCTCCTAGCCGATTCCGGCTACGGCGGCTGATCTCATTGAGACTAGTCAACTGGGCAGGAGATATTATAGTGCACAAGTGTACGCGCAGACACAAGTGCACTCTCTATTCCTGTCAGGGCGCGTACACATAGAACGTCCGTTTTACAGGTCCGTTTAAACGTATATGTTATTAGCGTATGTAGTTGTATGAGCCAGTTCACACACATGACAGTATTCCGGATCTAGTAAAAAATCCCACACACAACAGAAATACTGACCCGTTTTATCGGATCGAAACCGCGCGAGGCTTGGCACAGGGGTGCGGGGGTTTTCCTCCAGTTTGTGTCTTACTTTTTTAAATCCTTTTCTAATCTTTTAAGAAGGTCATCAAAAGTAGATGTCGTCATTCGGAAATAAGTAAAAATGATGTGTAAATATTACCTCCAGTTGCGACGGATCCGTTAAAACCGGTCCTGTAAATGCTGTGTGAATATTACCTCCAGTAGCGACGGATCAGTTAAAAAGGATCCTGTAAATCGGACGTTCTATGTGTACGCGCCCTCACTCTCATACTCCGGTGGGACGACTAATCGACTCGACTAGTGAGAGTTAAGGCGCAGAACCGACATCTTTACGTGCTCTCCGAGGCACGGGGGTGAAACACCACCAACTTCCCAACTCCGGGCTGTTACTGAGACTTAGTATACAGAAAGACTTAATAACTAAACTTGGCCCGACCCGGGACTCGAACCCAGGACTTCCGAGTGTGCAGCCGTACATGCTAGCCACTACGCCACCGAGGCAGTTATGTTAATAATAATGTTATGTATTTTATACGTAAAATGGTAAAACGTACGACTTCTGCGCACGCTTTATCAGGCGCTTTCAGTGTAGTAGTTTATGGAATGTCAAGCTCTGAATCTGATGTAAAGCTCCACAAATTAACCCCATGTCGTAGTCAGTTATGATGCCATGTCGTACTGTATGTATTTTCAGTGTATAATTACTTCAAACATTCAGAGAAGAGTGTAGAAATGTGAACGCTCGAATTTTTTTAATGCCTAATACTGTATGATGAGGATGCCGAGAATCTATAAATTTTACACTCCTTATCTTACGTTTTTATATACATTAAATTTTGACCTTAACTAATACAATAATAGCGTATTGGTAATATAACGTTATTTTTGACTATAAATTAAAATATCATTAAAAAACAATAATAAAACAAAACAACAAACAACCCTTTCCAAATTCAAAGTGTGAGTCAGACAAAAGAGTCGAGCTAATGTTTCTAATCCGAGACGCCCTTACATAATTAAATCGTTAAAAAACTGTCAAATGTATGTATCTATAGGAACCGAAAGTTCAGTATCACCGAACCAATATTTTTTTATTTATTTTATGAAATTTCTAATCGGTTACCTTCAAAGTTATTTTCTTTAGTTCGGTATTAATCCTTATCCAAATGAATATTTTAGTTAGCTTAGTCATTTAATGCAGATTAAAATTGCTCTTTACACTAAATCAATCAGATGAATAGTTTTTGAGATATCGTTGTTAGAAGTAATTAGTAGCGAAACATTTTTAATGCTTGGCGAGCATTGAGATGCCTACGGCGAGTCCATCCCCTCTGCCCCGCATCGCTCGACCGCCTGCTCAAGCTATATAAACCGGGCGATGTAGCGCGCGATCCTAGGATACTTTTTACCGCGGGAAAATATCTTATTTCTGAGGAAAAATACAAAAACTGCAATGTAAGAGTATACTAATATGTAACACCTAAGAATTTAGTTTTTGGTCATCTGAACGCGGGCGGAGCCGCGGGCAATGCTAGTATAATATAAAAATATAACTCTTTAGAGATAGAGCCGGCTGTGAGAGAGATACAAAGAACTCCGGGATATTAACTTGTGTATAGAACAGTGAACATTATATTTTAGTAATAAATTATGTTTTTTATGATTATATTTTATTTACATAGTACATTGGACTAGCCCCTGGGATCTTGTGTACTTAATAGCACAAAATTAGGTTACACTCACCCTCTCTCTATACCACTTATTAGAGAAGGCCTTACACACGGTAATGTTATACATAGGTACATATTATGCTACCTTTTCTCTGCAGAGACATAAAAAGATTATTTTTCTTTGCAGACCTTTTAGTTTTCCCTTTCCAGAACATTACATTTTTTGTATTAAAATACAAATATGAAATAATATATTTGTAATATTCTTAAAGTAACATATTGTATATTATTTTGCTTACATTCATGTTAAAATAACAGTTCACTTAAATGAAAATATTGTTTGTATTGTTATAATTGTATTTTATCTAAAAATGTATTCCATAAAAAATATTCATTTATTAGCAATAATTATGTAAAATATTTAATTTTAAAAATATTAACTAACCAATTGACGACTAGCACACTCGGTTGTATCCCACCCCGGCACGCGTCACTGTTCCACAGCGGTTCAATAACATTAGGTTATTGACCTACTGACAGGTGACCGTGCACTTTAAAAAAGTACATATGTACGTCTAAACTGAAAAAAAAACATCTTAAACATCTGCGGTAAACCTTATCTTCCGTTAAAACGTTGTTTTTAATTACCTACTATAAAAATAATTACCATCTGCGCCCAAGAGATTTACGTTTTTATATATCTACTAAAAAAAAACTAAAAAATATTCTCAATTCTATAAGTACTCACTCAGTAATTAACCTAAAAATTTGAACAATAGAAATTAAACCTGACTAAAACTTTGTTATTTTATTTTTCTCAAATATTAATCTATATTAAAGTCTTATATTTATAATATTTATAAAGCTAGGAAGCCTAAACTAAACAGTTAATATTATAAATTTGTAATTTTTTGATGATTCATGATCGATGACGATATTTTGGAGTAATCTAAATAAAAAAAAAACAATTACAGATTTAAAAGAGACGATGATAAACCGCATAGACGGGAATCTTCCAATTAAAATAAATAATTATTAATGAGCTCATTTGAACTTGGTGTTAGAAGCCATTGTACTGTTGATCTGATAGTATATTTTTCTTACTATCCAAATTTTCGTACTTCAGAAGCTACTAAATTAAAATCGATTTGGAAGATTTATTCACATAGAAAGAAGCTAAATAGCCAAGAGAAACCCAGGAATATTTCTTGTTTTGTGAGCTGACGCAAAATATCACGATGTTTCCTTTGTGAATATTCCATATGCCTATTTAAAGTAGTTAAATTATTAATTTTATAAGTTACTAGCAGAACACGCGGCTTCGCTCGCGCTAAAACTACAAAATAAACTCTAAAAATGTAGGTTTTTATGAACTTTCATCCCATATTTTACTTCCTTATGGTATGAATTTCGAAAAATGCTAATACACGTATTTATTTAATTGTATTGAAGAACATGAATACCAAGTTTTAAGTAATTCTGATATTATTAATGAGCTCATTTGAACTTGGTGTTAGAAGCCATTGTACTGCTGATCTGATAGTATATTTTTCTTACTATCCAAATTTTCGTACTTCAGAAGCTACTAAATTAAAATCGATTTCCAAGATTTATTTACATAGAAAGAAGCTAAATAGCCAAGAGAAACCCAGGAATATTTCTTGTTTTGTGAGCTGACGCAAAATATCACGATGTTTCCTTTGTGAATTTTCCATATGCCTATTTAAAGTAGTTAAATTATTAATTTTATAAGTTACTAGCAGAAAAGGCAGTGGAAAGGCAGTGGTAGCCCAGTGGTAACGCGCTCGCTTGGGAAACCGATTGAAGCGGGTTCAAATCCCGGGTCTCGCACCTCTGATGTTTTCATGTGCGAATCATTTCTAACATGATTACCACTTGCCTTACGGTGAAGGAAAACATCGTGAAGAAACCTGCATGTCTGAGAGAACCTAACAAGTTTTCGGAAGACATGTGAAGTCCGCCAACCCGCACTTGGCCAGCGTGGTGGACTATGGCCTGATTCCCCTCGTACTGAAGGGAGGCCCGTGCCCAGCAGTGGGACGTTAAAAAGGGCTGAATACATACTAGCAGAACACGCGGCTTCGCTCGCGCTAAAAGTACAAAATAAACTCTAAAAATGTAGGTTTTTATGAACTTTCATCCCATATTTTACTTCCTTATGGTATGAATTTCGAATAATGCTAATACACGTATTTATTTAATTGTATTGAAGAACATGAATACCAAGTTTTAAGTAATTCTGATCATAAATATTTGTTTATGTTGTATTATAACGTGTTTTCCAACTATCTCCACACAAAAACTCACTCCAATCCGGCAATCGGTTTCAACGTGAAAGAAGGAACAAACAAAGAAACAAACACACTTTCACATTTATAACATTAGTACGGATTTTAACAATAAACAAATCGTATAATTTATTCATGTTATATATTAATACTAGCGGCTCACCCTCGCTTCGCTCGGGTTCGTCGCTAGGTACGTTTTAAATAGATATAAAAAGAAAAAATCTTTCTTTCTCACATTTTAATTATATGTTTTAATACTTACCTATTCCGGACTAAGAGAAATCCAAAAATTAAAATATCATAAAATTGGAACGCGGTCGAACGGGATAAAAAGTATCCTATGTCCTTCTCCTGGCTCTAAACTACCTCCCTGCCAATTTTCAGCTAAATCGGTTCAGCCGTTCTTGAGTTATAAGCGAAGTAACTAACACGACTTTCTTTTATATATATAGATGAGAAAAAAATTGTTTATTATTTATTTACCTATTTTTCGATAACAATGATTGATTTAGGCCTGTATGTCGAAGAACAAGTTTGAGCTTAACGAAATCAAATGTTAGCAAAAACTAACGGGTATAAAATAGAGGTTTTGTTGTTTCTTTTTATTTCTTTATGTTTTATATCCTGGGAGAACACAGTTATAATTCGAGAAGTTGAAGAGGAGAGAAGTATATTTTTAGACTCAAAAAGAATTCTTTATGAAAAACCTTATAATTAAGGCATTTTGAAACTGAATTATCAGAAAAGTTAATAAATAATAATTGATTCAATTAATCCAATCTGTGACACCATAGTATAATTATAATAATTATTTTCAATCTGTTCTATTTTTTTTATTAATTTACTTCTTGAAAATTGCAATGTCAATTTAATTAGTATGCCACCTTGAACAAGGTTAGTAGCTTATCGAGGTTATTATCTTAGAAATATATCATATTTTGAAGCACCTATACCTCGTAATACCTAGTACTTTTAGTGAACACTTGACTAAAAGTTTAATTTGTATAAATAACTAGCGGAACCCGCGACTTCGCTCGCGCTAAAATTACGAAAAATCCTTAAAAAGGTAGTTTCATACAAACTTTCATCATTCCCTATTTCACTCTCTTATAGGATGAATTTTGAAAAATGGTAAAACAGGTATTCATTTAATTTGATTGAAGAGCATTAATACCATGTTTCAAATAATTCTGATCGTAAATATTTTTATTGGATTGTATTATAACGTGTTTTCCCGTGGGAATTAGATAATCTCCCGCGGTAAAAAGTAGCCTCTGTCACTCTCCAGCCCTCCAACTATCTCCACACAACAAAAATCACGCCAATCAGTCACTCCGTTTCGACGTGAAAGAAAGACAAACAAACAAACAAACACACACACTTTCAAATTTATAATATTAAACTTTAAAATATGGATATCTAAGTCAGTAACAGTCAATAGGTGCAGTATTAAAATATTTCCACAGATAGGATATCACGACGCTGAGTATTGACTTAACTCAATTTGATAGCAAGGGCCTCTGTGACGTAAAGATACGTGCGTAATGGTCCTATCAGTGCAATCGGGTCAATGTCAGCTGGCTGACCGGCATCACATCACTGAACATCTTCATTTTCCAAGACTGCATCTATTTTAAAATCGGCAATGTTTATTGAAAAAGCATTCGCAAATGGGTTATTGAATACTGTAGCAGACACGGCCGTAGTGGCTCGAAAATAGAAACAGAAACAGGGAGTAGAAATGTCGAAATGGCTGCATAGCTGGAATTTTCTACTTGATATTTATATATATTTACACTTAGGAATTGCAATATCTTACTCCAGCTACATAATAGTTATAATAATTTATTTATTCCTTATTTAACCACAGTACAGATATTTGTTATAATAATTGTTTACTTAGAAATGCACTATTGTCATAATCCATGTTTGACGTCTGTGTGTAACTTTTTAACACCTCATAGTAAAAATAAATATAGGTACAAAAACCAACCTTCATAACTCAAGCTGTTAACGGGAAGTAGGCTTTGATGATTTTGCGAGTACCAATGCATGTACTGCAAGTGTACATATGTATTTTTTGCGTTATTTATAACGCTTACATTGTAACATCTTCAAGGATCCTAAACTTTAGTATTTGATATATTTATTTCAAATTAACTTTTTAATTATACTTTAGCGGACGCTTAAAAGTGATATAGAAATGTAGTAAGTAGGTAGTTTATAACATTGTCATTTATGAAAAACGTTAATTTCATGGACGAAGTGGTTAATTCGTTCATGGTTAATTTATGTAAAATGACTCAGTTACTTTAGTTTTAGTTACATTACTTAAAATAGATTACAAGTGACGTATAAAACTTAATATTATAAATGTGAAAGCGTGTTTGTTTGTTTGTTTGTTTGTTTGTTGGTTGCGTGATTTTTCATGTGGAGATAGTTGGAGGGAGTGCCATAGGCTACTTTTTACCGTGGGAGATTATCTAATTTCCACGGGAAAACACGTTATAATACAATCCAAAAAAAAATGTATGTTCAGAATTATTTGAAACTTGGTATTAATAATGCTCTTCAATAAAATTAAATAAATACGCATTTTACGAAATTCATTCTATAAGGGGGTAAAATAGCCATAGGGGACGAAAGTTTGTATAAACTATCTTTTTAGATATTTTTTGTAGTATTAGCGCGAGCGAAGCCGCGGGTTCTGCTTGTAATATTATAAATAAAAACGTATTCAAACTACGTAAGTTGGAACATAGTTTTCCGTGTATTTTATATTAAAACTTCTGAGTATATTTAGGTCGTATTTTTTATTTTGCATCAATTGTTAAAAAGAAAATAGGTTGTTTTGGATGTTATCTTTTAATTTTTTTTAATTGTATTTTAATGTGTAAATGTAGATTAACGCATTTACCATGAACGAATTAGAGACTAATTCGTTCATGGCATTTACTTATTTAAATTAAAAACCAAATATTTATTGTAATATTTAGTATTTTAAATAGCTTTCTTTCTCATAATATTCTTCTATTGAAACGAGGAGAGGTCCAATCACGTATATCACGTCAATTGGCTCAATCGGAGCTAAGCAAGTGACGCTAGTATGACGTCAGCACCTCTTGTCTGTATGGAAACAGCAAATCACCGAATAACTGTTTTGTTCCGTTCCAAATAAAACCTAATTTTACTTTTCATTTTGAAAATTGTATTATGTATTAAGTTTAAAATGTAATACTTTGTTATATAAGTTTAAAAAAAATCTATGGTTAGAATGAAACATGTTACACAATATATTAAATTCCTACACATTATCTTTATCATTTACGTCAATAACTTTTCATTAAAACCATAGCTAATAGTGTGGTTTATCGTATGTTATACTAAAGATTAACAATTATACTCAATGACGAAATTAAAAGCTATACAAAAAAGAGCGTAAAGTAATTCTACCGTTTCTAAAGGAAGTGCGATAACCGATTCCTAACAGTACCTACCTATTTAACGATATAACGAAAATTAGCAGTAATTTTTGTCTAATAATAGTTATTAATTTATAGGAAAATATTTGAAAAAAGTATTGGCATACAAGCTAGCAAGCAAATAATCAGCTTTAACAATTGGGGTTTTCAGTTTAAAGTAATTTCATTGTTCTCGTTTGAACGTATACCATACACCTTTTCTCTTTATGCAAGTTATTATTATATATTAATAATACATAATGTAGTGATTTTCTGTTCTTTTGTTCCAGGTAGCAATTAAGATAATAGATAAATCACAATTAGATGCCAGCAATCTTCAAAAAGTCTACCGCGAAGTGGACATAATGAAGAGACTGGACCATCCTCATATTATTAAACTTTATCAGGTAAATTAAAGGTTTAAAAACAAATTATTAAAATAAGTTTATAGAATTCGTAAATCCATATCAAGTTTCCGAAAGTAAATGTCTAAGAACTGAACCTTAGTTTAGCGTAATAGTGGTATTTAACAATCTCGCAGAATCCGAATTGCGAGAGCAATGAAAATGAAATATTAAATTGACTTTCATCAGACTGCCTTTTAAATTTTAAAAAAGTATAATTATTAAGAATCTAGTGGTACCAGTGTTCTGTGAAGTATACGTAACGAATTGTTAATATAAACACATTAACAATTCGTCCAGTCCAATTAAGTTAAGCAAATCCTATGATTCATTATATCTTATGAAGATGTTTCTTACTATTTAAAGTCCAATTATAATTATTACTTTGTTTGTGTTGGTAACAACTGTATTTAAAAGCGGACGTTCAATTTCTTTGTAGTAGGTACAAAATTAACGATGTTATGGTAATAATATGTTATTCCATTTTAATTATTTCACTGATGTTGGTGATATTAACTTCCTGGTGGCGGTTACTAAGGATAAAAAATGGGGTTTTCATTCAATTCATTCACATTATATATTATATTATAAAGTAATATTATAATGTAACGTTTTATTACTATTATGTTGCTATTTCAGATTTTTTTATTTATATAATAAAATAAATAAAATAACCACGAAAAATCTTTTTAGTTTTTAAGTAGGTACCTACTTGTTTACAATTTTTTGGGAGACAGTCAAAGTTATGGAATCACCTAGGTCATCTGTCTGTCATATATTTATACAGAGATGGTAATCAGAGGCTAAATATAGATGTGAAGTATTAAAGTCGATTTTTCAACATAAGGGTTAGTTCACAGGTTAAATAAGATAAAATATGTTTTAAAACTATAAAAAAGAGCAAGATTTAAAACAGTTCAAAAATATAATTCTTAAGTACAGTTAAATATAATTCTTTATGTACAGTTTTTTTATAGGCAATTCTTTTAAATAATGATAAATATCTTTACGATCTAAGACACATTTTTAAGTATAATGATTAATGAATCATCAATTATACCCAGTGTTCACTAGTAATTAACGCTTGGTTAGAAATTCATAAATACCCAATGCAAATAAAGTGAAATAAATGAATATTTAATACATAACAAATTCGCTTTCAGGTTCAATATTTGACATTTGAATACGTCACACGTTAAACTTAAAACTGCATTGTTTAAAAAAAATATTAACACTTCAATATAATTTACTAATAAAGATACCTTTATCATATCTATCTATTTTCGAGGTTTTTATGTATACATATGTATATGTATAATTTTCAAATATTCTCGTATATGATACCTACATAATATACAGTATGGGTAGGTAGGGAGGTTGGTAGGTACAGACTTCATACTACGTACATTGTTAATTAATTATTGACGTATACGCTCATTACATCGATTTGACGGTCATATGAAAAGTCAGATAGTGAGTCAGTGGATATTTATAGATGTTTTTAGTTTTACGCGGCTACGATAGTTCATGGACACGGTCTAACAGATTTACGAATACGTATGTTATTCTATAGCAACTAAAATTACCCTTCACTATTTAAAGCGGAATAAACGAAAATTAGGTATATGTAATATAAAAATACTTATGCAATTATTAAAATTAAACAAATCATTGGGTCGCTTTAGGTTAACACAAGAACATAATATTCTAATCAAATACCTATTTATTAATTTACGTAGAACAGAAAATTATAAATTTTGTTTTACCACTAACTTTAATATTAATTTAAAATATATAGTAGATTACGTTTTTTTTACATTGCTACATAAAACGGGTTCTAATTTTAACTCACCTTTATGTCTGAATTTTTTTTTGTATCAACTAAGTCAATTTTAGCAGTTGCTATATAATTTGAAGAGATTTAATATTCGTGTCATCGCTATACGAGTAGTTCTTAAAATAAGATGGATAATATTTTCTTTTTATGTTATATTATCTATTTATCTGCTAAATGCATATGTATTTATATACGGTACTTACAAGAAAAACACAATGTTAAAAAATTTTGTATGTCTGTCTGTTTGTTCCCGCTAATCTCTGAAACGGCTGGACTGATTTTCACGGGACTTTCACTGACAAATAGCTGATGTTATAAGGAGTAACTTAGGCTACTTTTATTTTAGAAAAATAATCGAAGCGAGGGTAAGTCGCTTGTATAAAAATAAATATAAAAAAACATAAATGGTTATATTTGAGATAAAAAGAATTATTTTTGAGAAAACAAAATAATAAGATTTAATTGACTGATAGGGTTATTATAATCTAGGTCTGGAATGTTAACTAATAAATGTTGCTAGACTACATAGGTATCTAACTTTTAAACAATTTAAAAATAACGTCATAATTATATAAGTAAAGATAAGTAAAAGTTTATTATAAACACATAAGAAATATACTTAAGTAATTGCTTATATTTATATTATGAACTGATATTGCGGACATATTACGATTAATGGTTCTTCGAAGTTCGATTAAGTATTTCCAATAAAGAAACTAATTGCTAAATATATTATCTATTTATTGGTAGTAATCTAATATTTATTTTAGGTTATGGAGACGAAAAACATGATCTACATCGTTTCGGAGTATGCTAGCAAAGGAGAAATTTTTGGTAAGTTTACATTTTTTTAGCTTTTAATTTATGTAATTGACCCTTTAGTGTTGTGGTTGTGCCCTTTTCTATGTACATATGTGTAGAGATGTAACAAAATCTTACTAATATTCTCCAATTTATATATTATAAAATGAGAAAAAAATATCAAAAATTATAATTTGACGTTATATCTTTTTTTTAAGATATATTTTTATATTGATTTACCTATATCTGCTCAGACAATTCCTAAATTGGAGGTGAATGTTTCGCCATCTGAATTCTAAGAACCGTAAATAAATGAAATCTTAGTAACGTCAAATTAGAGTAAGGCATAAATATAATAAATCGAATGGTTCCATGAATAAGTAATAAGTACAATGATAGCATTAATTTCAATAACTTAATGTATAACCTACGCTCTGCCATAAATATGGAAAGTGTAGGTGTAGTACATTATCAAGTACCTTATATAGCTAAGCCTTATAAGTAAGCCTGAATCAACATGGAATTACAATATAACTCATGATAAAATGTTTGTTAATGATTTTAGCTTTTTCTTGAACTTTTAATAAGTTTATTAAATAATAATATAAGTAATATTAAGTTAGCTAAACGAACAGCGATGATGTTAAATATGTTTATAACTGCTAGTATGCAATTTGTTGCTGAAATCGTGTAATCTCGACAGCGGGCGCCCAAAGACGTAAGTTCTTTGCCGCTTCGATTATGACGTAAGCAAGCTTGTCATGACGTCACTTCAGTGGGGTGTAGGCATGGGGAGGGAAACAGGGATTTCTCGTACAGCTGCTGACGGTGAAACGCCAAACACCCTCAATTACAGATAGGGATCTCTAAGTGAGAATTTAACGTTAATTAATATTCTAAACATTACGTATTTGTGTCGTAACATTTCGCACAGATGTCGTAAGATGTACATTTTAATTAGCAGAACTATAACATCTTGACAGAGATGTATTAGTCTTCCTTTATACATGTTCTAGGGCTTAATTAATAAATTATTCAAATGTAATGACAAATAATGTAGAATTTCTCTGATGAATTAATTAGTTACTTTGTTGGTATAAATATTAAATTACTTTTAGTGACTCAGGGCTAGGCAGATATGTGCTAGCTCCGGCCAGTTAAATCAATCCTTAATGTCGACGTCAGTTATCTTAATGGACTTTATCTTTCCTCTGGAATGCTTCTGTTCTAAATAACTGTCACATTGGAAATTTTACAGAATTGCATCAATTTACAAATGCTAAAGAAATATTATCACTCTTTAGCTTATAGCTATTACTTAAAATGTTTCACCAAATACATATTATTACGTAGATGTACACAATCTACGGAATCTGAAAAGAAGCTACCTTTTGAAATGAACTTTGAGTTGACGAGGAACCTGAGAATATAGAATAAAACCCTTTGCAGATATTATTCGTATACATCTCGGCCTCGCTTATGCAGATTTGATGATGCTTTAAAAATAGACTTCCTGTGTATTCAGCTTTACTTAAAATATTTGTAATGTTACAGCTTAACTTGCATTGTAAAAGGTTGAATGTAACATTGCAAATGAAAAAATTAAGTAGGTTACTAAAAATATACATAACTTTAAATAAATTTTTTAAATAATAACTTTTGAACAAAAAAATAAAAACCGACTTCAAACAAAAGCACTAAAAAGTAAAAAGTAACTGATTGATAGTTTTCATTTACTATACATACCTAATCAGATATTTTCGAAGTCGGTGCTAGCCGACAACATTTTAAGATATGAATATCTAATAGGTAGGTATCTAATAGGTAGGGGATTAGGTATGAACTCTAATTAAATATAATAGTGGTACAGTACTGTTTCTTTAAAGAAGAACAAATCTCGGGGACAAAGAGGGAAAACATAATATGAACAGTAGAATTATTGTCTTTGTATCTTAATGAGAAAACTTTATACAGTTTGAATACTAATTAATATTAATAAAAGTCCTTGCGTAAGCATTTGTCGAATAAAATACGTTTATGCAATAATATTACTTATGGAGTAAATAATGACTATAACAGTAGTCGATTTTAATATTAATCTCAATTTTTGCTGTTATAAGAATTTAGATAAATACCTAATTTCATTGTTATTACTACAATTTAAATGTATAAAACGCTATTATACTTTTATTAGTTAAAAGCAACTAACTCTACCTATACACTAATTAAATATACTAAGAATAGGTTATTTAGTGCAAAAAGTCGAGAGCAAAAAGAAACCCATTAAGAGATAATGCAAATATACATAATTTAATATAAAAAATATTGCTTAGTTATTTGTAGATTTGTTGTTATAATAACGAACCTAATTCCAGATTACATAGCGAGATACGGTCGGATGGCGGAGCAGGCGGCGCGGAGAAAGTTCTGGCAAATCCTTTCCGCAGTTGAGTACTGTCATGAAAGGAGGATTGTACATAGAGATCTTAAGGTAAGGATAGGTAAAAATAACGATTTTGCACATTACTAGCGACTAACCCTCGCTTCGCTCAGGTGTGTCCCTGGATACGTTTTAAATAGATATGAATAGTTATTGCGAGTGTACCTTAGGAGAAAGACTTATACTATTGCAGATTTTTCTATAGGCTTTATTAAGACCTACGATTTTCTAGTACATTGTTTTGATGTATCTTCTTAAGGTTTAGCCAGCGTTAGACATGTTTTCTAAGGACGACTCAATAGAACCAGTTATTGTGTTTTCCCGCGGGAATGAAAGATTTTCCTGTAGTAAAAAGGTATTCTAAAAGTTGATCCGAGTAATAAGTTATCACTACACAAATTTTAGTTAAAACCAGTTCAGTACCTTATGCGTGAAACGCGTGATTTCGCTAAGTTACTGTTTTATTATATATATAGATAGGGCAATATTATTTGATGTATACAATGCTAAAAGGGTGAATATGTTTAATTATTATATGATAGACGTTTTCTTTTTAAATTATAAGGACTTAAAAATGATTTTAAAAATGAGACCTATGCAAATTATTAGCTGTTATTGAACGACTTCATATGTTAATGATATGCTTATATAGAAAATATCATATTCAAAAGAACTCTTGTTAGATAATGCTGACGAATATGCCTATAAAATATGCAAGTAGGCAATTGATAAAATTAATATTAATAAAATATAGTCGCTGTCTAGCATTATATTCGTTCAAGAGGTCATCGCTGTATTGTACCTACAGTAAGATCTACTACAGGAGCGTCTGTATATGTTATTATCGACCGTGCTGCCGTATGTGGGGCACATTAATAATACAATCAACAGACCCTTGGTTTAATTGTCACAATACATAACAAAATATTAGTTCGTATAAATAATAGAAAAAGTCAGCTCAAGACAAACTGTGGGCAGTTTTATTATTTTTTCTCTGTATCGCCATAAAGTGATACCTTTGATCTTTGATTAGTAGCTTGACACTGGGTGTTGATCTGTTGTTGCAAAAGCAAAACTTAACCAAATCTTATTAGAGAGTGATGTGGTCAATATATTTACCCTTTATTAAATGAAAATCAAACTCAGGACCTCCGGCGTAGTAGGTAGAGTAGATTTAATATATGCATGCTTTACAAGGTTACGAATGTCATCGCTGAAAACTTTTAATGTATATATTTAAAACCATTAAAATTAAACTACACACGCCTATGCACTGAAAATGGTAATAAGGCAGCTATAAATACATTATCAAGTCAGAGCACGTGTTGAAAGAAACTTTTCTCATTTTCTCATTTAGGCGGAGAACTTGTTATTAGACTCGAACATGAACATCAAGATCGCTGATTTCGGCTTCAGTAACTATTATGCTGCTGGAGAGTTATTAGCGACGTGGTGTGGATCACCGCCTTATGCCGCGCCTGAAGTCTTCGAGGGAAAACGATATACCGGCCCAGAAATCGACATATGGGTAAGATATAACTTCTTTTTTGTCGAAATCTTTGGAGGAGGCCTATGCCCAATATTGTACATAGGCCATCAACCGGAACCACTGGTTTCCGGCGACTTTAACCAAATTGATGTCAATTAGTCCGAAGGCCTGTCCGCGCTTCGCCTTACCTTATTATTTAAGCCTTTACATAAATTTATAATTATTGTGTGCAAAATTTCTAATTTAATTTCTTGTGCTTGTATAATACGAGTAACTGATAATTGCATTAATAACCGTATACAAGATACGTGTTGGTAAAATATAATGGATTGAGTATTTCGTATATATTAGCACATTCTTTATGTTCTATAAATATTGTGTTGCTTTCGCCCATTCACATTCGTGTAGACTAGTTTCTTTAAGTTTGTTTTTTAAGACTATGATTTCTATTTTAGAGACTAACAAACATAAAAATTTGGTATAATAAGGCTAAGGACGTTTATATAGCGTATTTTTATCTCTCACGGAGATAAATAAACTGTTTTAAAACTGTAAATGACTTTGTATGATGTACGGTTTGACGTAGATTGACTAAATTAAGTGAGCTCATATACAGGGTGGTCCAAAATAACGTTGACAAAATTAAAAAAATAATATTGTAAAAATGGAATGCCTTGCGTTCTCTTTTGTTTTTGATTATTCTTTCTTCATTCTTTGGCGCCGTTTTAATATTGTTTGTTGGCTAAAAAATTTTTAAATATATTTATTACGTTATGTCAGAGCAGCGTGGAGCCATAATTTCATTGTATGAGCGTGGAAAACGGCAGTGTGAGATAGTAAACATTCTTGGTGTTAGTCGTCAGCTAGTTTCTTCAGCAATTAAACGCTATGTTGAGCTCGGCAACATCGAAGACCGTCCTGGGAGAGGACGCAAGCGGACTGTTCGAACTGCTATGAATCAACACATTATCAAACAAAGATTAGTCCGAAATCCACATACCAAGTTGAGAAAAATGTCGCGAGACTTAGGGATAAGTCGCTCTACCGTGCAGCGTATAGTGAAATATGATCTCCAATTGATACCATACAAACTCAGAAAAGCGCAATTGCTTACAGAGAAAGACAAAAAAGTTCGCCTTGAAAGATGTCGTTTGCTTAAACAACGCTCCGCTGCTTCGAATTGGAAAAATATCGTATTCTCCGACGAAAAATGACAGGATCTGGTCTTCCACTCATCCTGGAGCTGCCGCAGTCATTCCACGTCGCCAAAACGCAAAATAAATTATGGTTTGGGGTGCAATTTGCGCCACTGGCAAAACTCCCTTCGTTTTTGTAGAAAATGGTATAAAAATTAACCAAGAAAATTACCGATGAGACATCCTTGAATCTGTGGTTGTTCCTTGGAGTCAACAGCACTTTGATAACCATTCCTGGATATTTCAACAAGACTCTGCTCCAGCTCTCAGAGCTTTAAGTGTTCAACAGTGGTGCAAAAGCAATTTCCCTGATTTCATTAGCTCAAAAGAATGGCCACCCTACTCGCCTGATCTGAATCTAATGGATTACAGTTTATGGTCAATATTAGAGGCAAGGACCTGTTCTATGCCTCATAGAACTGTTGATGACCTGAAGGCTACTCTTACACCGGAGTGGGACAAAATATCTGTTGAAGAAGTGCGGAAAATTGTAGAAAATTTTACCAAGCGTATGACTCTATGCATTCGCGCTAAAGGAGGTTATTTTAAAGACAAATAGGGATTCTTGTAAAAAATAAGTTGTATTTTTATAATTTATACCATAATTTCATTTAAATTTAGAGTTAATAAAATTATTTGAAAAATAACTTGTCAACGTTATTTTGGGCCACCCTGTAATTTTTATGGTTTACAATTTTATATAAACGATAGTTTTAATTCTTTATATAAACTTCAATAAAGTGTCCGATAATGGACGTTGCTTACGAACTTAGTTTTCAGAATCGAGAATATTAAATTCAGCTTTTCTGTTGATTATAAATCGGTATTAAAATATTTATAAGCTATGTTGAAGTATATTCCCAGTAGACACATTAAGTAAGGCTAAATTTAAAAATAGAAATTATAATACTCATAATTGTTGTTGAAATATATTTCCAGAACATTAAGTTAGGTTATTTCCTTCCTTTTTTCAAAGCGGAATTCTTACAATTCGCTTATAATGAGGCGGCCTAATTTCCTGCCAAATAATTTATGCCTTTCAAATGTTTAACTCGTTATCAAAAGACCTGTTTAATTGAAGAAATACTAGGTTATTAAGAAGAAATAAATTTTGAAACTTTAAAAATATGAGGAAACAGAATCTTGCGGTTGCATTAGGTATTTAGTATTTAGTTAGAATCTTGTACGTGAGATTATATTATTTACTTTTATTTTTGTTTTCTATTATTGTTTTTGCTAATATTATGTTATGTTAACAAACATATCAGACATAATTTTATTCAAATACTAAAGCCAAGTAATAAAATAATAAACAAGGACAACGCTTATTATGAATGTAAAATTATACGTTTTTTTTGTTATTCTTTAAATAATTATATTTATATAAAAAATATTAAACATAGAAATAGAATTGTACAGGGAAGTAAACAATAGAACTGGTTGTCTAACGTACTCGTATACGTACATCTAACTTGGTCATTAACCTTTGTGAACGCAAAAACATTGGCCGGATTAAAGTGAAAACTTGCAATCGCCTGCATTTAATAAGAGTATTATGATTCATTCCGAGGCTGTTGGCTGTTACTTCGTATGTAAAACGTGTGTTTTCTACTTTTAAACCAAGGCTCGGAACTCGGCTCGGTTTAAAAAAACGGTTTATTTCGGTAATGTAATGATAATGTAATTCATCGCTCGTTCTTTAACCGGTCAACGAAAACGAACGAACGGTTTAGTAATCCGAAATAATAATGGTTAACGGTTATTCTTAGAGAAAGGTTGGATTTCGGTTTTGATACCGTAATAAACCGGTTAATTCACTCATAAGTAAGAAACGTGCATGCATCCTTCCACTTAACCATTCATCATTAGCAGACGCGCCAACTGTAAATACACAAAAACTCATTGTAACCGGTTAATTTTGTTCATGGAACCTAAATTCATCAACAACCGTTCTCACGAATTTAACCGGTTAAAGAACGTAGCCGAAAATTTGAACCGAAAAGCTTTTCGGTTTGATGTCAATGACCAACACCTTTTTAAAAATTGAACGAGTTTTCGAATCCTATTTTAAACATAGGCAGACTAGAGCGTCTTATCCTAGCTTCGCTTGGGTGCGTCCCGATGCCTAACAGTAGGTTATTTATTATGCCAGGTCATGTCTATCTGTGTACCTACTAAATTTTGTACGTATGCGTCCAGTCATTTCAGCCTGAAGCAGTAACAAACATACACATACAAACCTTGGCATTTATAATAGCAGTCCAATTAATATTATATATATATATATATATATATATATATATATATATATACATAAGTACAAAGATACAGCTTTACTATAGAGTAGAAAACCTTTACGTCTTAAATCTTAAGCTCGTCGTTTGCTTTACATTCCCCTTAAAGATGATATGAATTGCAGAGCCTCGGGGTTGTGCTGTACGTGTTGGTGTGCGGCGCGTTGCCTTTCGACGGTTCCACCCTACAGTCGTTAAGAGACAGGGTGCTTTCCGGAAGGTTTAGGATACCCTATTTTATGAGTGAAGGTGAGTTGTTCTGTCGTATCTTTTGTATTTTTCGTAAAGGTGAAAATGGCAATTCCTAGGTTTCCAGCAAATATGGCATTGAAGTTTTATATATATATATATATATATATATATATATTTAAAGTATACAATGATTGTTTTTTTTTAGTTCACAGCGTTAAGCAATATAGGATAAAAAAACAAGTTTTATTTAGTCAGCTAGGAATATTACCAAGATTTACAAGGATGAAAAACATAAGAAAATTTTTCCATAAGACTATTGAGTTAACCTAAATAACAAAGAAACGAGAATCGTAATCGAATTCCGAGTTTTCGGCATAAATTACTTCGTAAGTTAGTTCCTAGGGGATTCATTATTAAATGAGCATCGGCTTGACGGGGGCGTTACTAAACCTTATTCGAATCTAGTGGACTACAAATCTAGGATCACAATTACTATTATGTAACAAAGATCAAAGGAATTCTTACAAAAATACTACAAAGAAGCAAAAGCAATTACCAATTAATAAGCTAAAGTAAAAAGTAGCATCTATATCATAAATATCCTCTTCGTTATTCGCTGGATTACATAAATTACTATCCTAATTATATTGTGATTTATTACATAAATAATCGATTTGCATAAATCGATTTGTTTAATAATTTCTCTATAATATGATAGTGTAGCTTATAATACCAATGAATTATGATTGCATTTGATGGTTTAAGGATAGTGACTTATTATTGGCTATACTACTAATCCTGCGATGTTCATGCTACGTAGATTTTAAAAAGAAACCTATTTAAACTTAATTTGACGTCTGTCAGCTGTTTTGTCAATTTAACTAAAGCTATTAAAAGTTTTCCCCACTGTTAAAATAATTTGAACTCCCAAACCGTTTATTAGATGACTATATAAATATTGTATACAAAGTTTTGAAGTTAATTTACTATTTTATTACTTAAAGAAGATCATAAATTTATTTATTACTTTATTTTTCTTACTAACAAAATTTATATAAAAACAGCAACCGTTACAAAAAGCAAATGGTCATGGAAAAATACATAGACATACCCATTGTAAATCTTACTGACAGAGCTCAGATACCTTAATGAATGGCCCTACTGCTTTACAAATAATAATTTGACCTTTGACATGTATATTTTTCATAAGAGGAATGTTCTTTGATACAAGTGCAACCTTCACCGATGTAAGCGAAGTTCTGAACGTATTTTCAAGTACCCACTTTAATTGCATAAAAATAATAAGTATATAGGCTATATACAAAACACTAAATATAAATTGAATTATATTTTCTTTTCATCTTTTCTCTATGACATGCGGCACTGTACTTCACTGGTCGCGTGATATTGATATACTGTGTTTAGCGATATTATTAATGCAGAGCTTTGTCTTCATCAAATAGGAAACTACCAACATGTTGCGGATACTTGTTTTAAAATTTATTTTTGTTTCTATACGCAATTACTTATTGAGAACGTCCAACAATACTTTACACCGATGACTTATCTTAAAGTTTAATAAACTGTAAATACATACATAAATTAACTCAAGTCAAATAAGTTTGTTTTTTGCTCTTAATGTAGCTTTACACTTACGAACGATGTATAATGATTGGCATATTTCTTGAGCAAAATGCTGTGCAGTGGGGGAATGCTGTCACGTTGTGGAGGTGATCAGCTATATTAACAAATTAAGCGTTCTACGATTTATTAATGGTAAAAAATAACAAAACAAGTAATTGCGTGAAGTAATGTTGTTTATTTAGGTTAATATAATTTATTAAAGGTTCTATTTTATACTGAAATAAACCGAGAAATTTTCTCATAAAATTCACCATCAAGATTCATATTTCAATTTGTATCTGAGCATGCAAAATTGGCTTGAACGTTAACTACGTTCATTCGTGAACGCAGTTGTTAGCGATCATGTTCACTACGTGAGCAATGTACGTGAACAAATCTGTCTTAACGTTTAATGAATGACGTAGTTGTAGAGTATACAATCTCCGAATCATTTATTCTTATCATATCGTTTCATTTACTTATCAATGAAAGCCTTTAATACTTTAATAATAATATAAATAAAAATATGTATAATCCGATTAAGTAAATAACAGATTATGATTATTATGTCTGATATTCTACCCATATATAGGTAGGTACCTATTACAAATATGTATGTGCATGTATGTAGGTATGTGTTTGTATGAAACCTAGTAACATTGATTAGGTAATTATTTATTAAGACCAGAGAATAACTGTAATGAGATTTTCGAATCTTCCTGGTCAAAATATAGATAAGAAGTAATGAAATCGATAAGCAACTTGATAAAGTACCTACCTGCGTCATCGCCTTGTTCAATCATGCATCGCACAATCCGGGCTCGTACACATAACGTTTTCATAAACTAGTAAATTATTATGTGCGAAATAGACTGTAAAAATATTTTGCATTTATTGATCGTATATAATACATTAGAAATGTATAATTGTAGATTTTCGCTGTTATCAATAATGTCGATGAATATTTTATCTTCGTTAGCAATATTGATTTTTACTTATCTACAGGTTTTTTTTCGATATTCGAGAATATCTAATTTTCATATTAAATACATTATGTTACTATAAGTGGAATATACTTTACATGCTAAACTACTACCTAAATATATTATGTAGGTACGCTATGGAGGGAAGGAAATCGTCCACCCTCCACAGCTTGAATCACACGCTTTTTTCACTTTCTGGAGGACACTGGTTCTTTCTTGAATTCATTTTGATACTTAAAAATTAATAACACAAATCAAACATTAACAGAACCCACTTAAATGTTTCTAAGAAGACTAGACTGTGAACTCACTCATATCTCATTGTAAACAATCGTAAATCGACAGGTCTGTGCATAAAAAACGCATCAAATTATAGAGAGTAAAAGAACCCGGACTTCAAATTATTGAATGTTGGCGGGCAAGATACTATTTCTTCAACTTCAAATTACCTAGGGGACCAGTTAATAGTGATTTTATTCAAATTATCGAGTGTTTTTCAAGGGACCGGTAAAAATTTCAAATATCGAGAAATTCAAAATAACGAGTGTCAAATTATCGAGAGTCGACTGTATTATTATATTAGTGGCTCACTCTCGCTTCGCTCAGGTTTGTCTTTAGGTACGTTTTACCGGTTAGTATGGAATAGACTATATATTTAGTATATACTAGTACATGTATACATAAGTCATAACTCATCACTCCCTAGCACTCCAACTATCTCTCCTCTCTCTCTATAACTCCACACAAAAAATCATGCCAATCCGTCATTCTATTTCAACATGAAAGAAGGACAAACAAACACACCTTCACATTTACAGTATGGATTACTAAATAAATTATATTGGCAGTTGATTACATTTATAAGTCATGTGGTCGACATCAAATATAACGAATTATACGAATACCTACACTGACGTTATTTGAGAGGTTGCTTTACAATAGATAACTGAGCACGATCGAGATGGGTTACGATACGATAATGTCATTAATTGTTATCATAATATTGTACTTGCTTGACGTCTGTAGCTAATCAAGACACTGAGTAATCTGTAAACACATTTGTATAATATTTTACACTTTGCATTTATTCAGTTTATTTAATACCGACATAATAGGAAATTCATTATTTTTTGTCTCATACGTGTATGATTTAGAAAGATGATCGCAATCTAGGAATATTTTGTATAAATTTTATTTTTTGAAGCTCAATATGTATTAGGTTGTGGTCAATACTGTGTTTTTCTCTAAATCAGGTGACAAGCAACGTTTGTTTGTACAATACAAATCATATTTGCCTATATGGAAATCTCCGACTGTATACGTATAGTGTTTACAAGGCATGCCACTACAACGTCAGATGCTATTAATAATATTTACTGTAATAATAACAATAAAATACGATGTACGATTAAGTATGCAGTAGTTTTCGTATTTTTTTTTGTATACCATATATCATGTAAAAATGGCAATGCATTTACTTTTGTTAATTCAGTAAACACCTTGATGCTGATGACGGCCGTGCCAGAAATAAGTTTATTCACGCCTTCTACGTACTCTGAAACGTCGAGCATAGGTTTGACGCAAGAAATGTTAATGACTTTATATAAACATGCAATCTTAAAACAATGCATAGGAGCGTCTATAAAATAGTGTTTAAATATAAAAGAGAACATGTAACGTAACTTTGGAATATTCTCATGACGCAGATTTTACTTTAATTGGTTTTTCCAGTTTTCAGTCGTGTGTGTTTATACTATGGAGTAGGTATGTATAATTATTAATAGGGTTTTTATAGTAAAAAATGAGTCTTTTTCATTTGACTTATGACGTCTAGACTTTAAAGTGACTCCTGCCCAGAAATTTGAAACTATTCACATATGCCTAAGCCTCGTTTCGTTGAAATTTAGATATTTTTTTGTTTTCTTTCTAAAATATGGAATTACAGGTCTACGAGTACGAGTGGTAATTTTCTCTTTAAAAAAAGTACAAATAATATGAAACCTCTTTTATATATAGACTGTATTTGTATATTTTACCTAATTTAAAAAAAAAAATAAAAAATATAATAAAATATGTTAAAAGAACACAAGAGCATTCATAGTAATGCCTAAAAAGAAAAAAGGTCAATGTATCTTTTGAAAGCTCCTATGGGTAAGAATAGTATAATATTCTTTTTTATTTATTTAAGAGCATTCTGTATATTTATTGCATTGGCCCCTAGAGGCATGGCCTTGCTCGAGTAACATTCAAGGCCCGAGTCTAAAAGAGGATCTTATAGGATACGTGACTTGAATTGGAATACGTTAAATACATATTTTAAAATCGACCATATTCACTTGTGTAAGAATATAAAAGCACATGGTATCCATTTAACGGTTTTAACAATTACGAGTATAGGTCTATATATTATTTTAAAAATGCATTTAATAAAAAAACATTTTTTGGTAATTA